CCTTCTCCCTGGCAATTTTTTCCTCATCTGTGTTGGTTCATCTCATTGCCTTACCTCAATGCAATCAGCACCCATTCTTGAGGACTCTGAGCAGGATTCGGAGGTGAAGAGTGCCAGGGCTAAGTCAGGTAATGTGTGAGCATGTACTTCTGTAATAGGTACATTGTTGGGTCTGTCACCCCCTCACTCCCGCAGGCTCATTTTCTGGGCTGAAAAGCAGGTTCTGGTGGCTCCATCCTTCTTTCCAGCCAGGACCAGCACTTGCTTTGCAGCACAAACTTATTTCACTCCTGATCTCCGTTGGGGAGGATGGGTACTCCCCATGCCTGGAGGCAACATTGCATAGGTAGCAGGGCTGTTGAAGAGGAAAAGCAAGGATGGGACAGGATGGTGGGTTGTTGGACTAGCCTGATGTATGAAAAAATTGGAATATTCAGCCTTAAAAGGAAGGACATCCTGACACCTGCTACCACATGGATGAACCTCAAGGACACTGTTGAGTGAAATAAGGCAGTCACAAAAGAACAAATACTGGGTAATTCCACTTATATGAGGTACTAGAGTGGTCAAACTAATTGAGATAGAAAGCATAATGGGGGTGCCAGGGGCAGGGGGGAGGAACAATGGGGAGTTAGTGTTGAATGGAGACAGAGTCTCAGTTTTGCAAGATGACGAAAGTTCCAGAGACAGGTGGTGGCAATGGTTGCACAACAGTGGAATGTGTTTAATGCTGCTGAAATGTGCATTTACAAATGGTTAAGATGGTATATTTAATTTTATGTGTATTTTACCAAATAAAAAATTAGTTAAAAAATTGTCCAACCTCGTTGTGGGGGCAACCTGAATCTAAGATGATGGTCACTCATATAAAATGTGAAGCCCGATTAGACCCTTTCACCTATAGTTTGTGGATACAGATGTGCACAGTAAATGTGTGTGACCACACCTATAAGTGACTCCCAAGTGCTGGTTACGACCTGGGAGAGAGAAGAAGAAAGAGATGGGGAAGGGATGTGAGGTGCTCATTATATCTCTTACAACTTATTTCTTCTGTCTCTGTCTCTCTCTCTTTTTTTTTTGAAAGAGAGGTCTGTGACAACCACGACAAAGCACTTAATTCTGTCACATGGACCAGTGGCTGCATGCACGTCGGTTACATTAGCTCATGTATATTGAAATATTTCCTTGTTGAAAAGAGAAGAGAAAAAAAAAAAGAGATGTCACGGATCCTGTGTGACATCCTTGTAATCTTGCTTGACCTCCAAATTCTCCTGTTTTCTAGATTGCCACCTTCTTTTCTTCTGTGTTTTCACTGTGTAAAAGATGTCTCTCTCTTGCTTTGTGATGACTAAAAAAAAAAATCCCTAAGTAGTTAAAGCCCCACCCAGATAGTCTGTCTCTCTAAGGCAGCACAGTTGACTTAGTAAAAGTGAATAGCAATATTGGTCAACCACCAAGTGATGGACATGCCCCCTAACCTTTCATCTTGGTGGTTTTACAGTGTCCTCCAACCTCTTTCCTTGGGAACAACACTAAATAGTTTCTATAGGACCAGCGTACGGGCTCTGTATCTCTATGACACACACCTCACAGTGTTCAAGGAGTGAACAGTGTTAACATGAGCAAACATGGTGCATCTCACTGGGCAAGCCTACTAACTAACCATAATTCTGGTCTTCAGAGAAGTCCCTCTCAGCCCAGACCATTCAGCTGTGATTCCCCAAGATGGGTTTGCTGGTGACAGCAAAGAGGCTAAGTTGTCAATTCTATGAAAACAATCAATAAAACAGACTCAGGGCCAATCAGTGAGTTTAGACCCACTGGAGACTTCTGCTTTTTTCAGTTCTTCACCTGGAAACACCTTGTTTATTCTTGCTCAAGCACAGGGAGTCAGCGGTCACCCTTCTTTACCACTCACCTCATAAGGGGAGACATTGACTCTTTGCCTCTGAGTCTCGTGAGCCTGGTTGGGGAAGTCCATTGAGAGCCATTGCTGGCGGCTTCTCGTGATGGGTTGATTAGTCAAAACACTTGACATTCTGGAAACTGCTTGGGTTTGTTGGTGCAGTAAGTAGGCAGTAGACTTGGACCGGTTTTCTAACAACTGACCCCAAATGGGTATTTTGCTAATATCAGAAAAGGGAGAAGCTGGAATCCTTACACCAGGAAGAATGGTGTGGTGCCTGGAACATTGTAGACACCTGATAAAAGTCACTGAATGGTTAACTAAGGGTAGACAGTGTCCACACTTAAAATGGTTGGTTGGTTGGGGCCCTCATTCGATCCTGGCTCTCTCCCCTGGATGTGGTCACTGAGATTTCACCATTGTTTCCCCAACTCACTGGCAAGGGCTCAGACTCTATCTTGTTTCCTTAAATACCCACAGGACCTGACACAGTGCTTTGCCTGTGGCAGATCCTAGCAGTTAATCCTGTTGTGCTTATTAGGTGCTGACTATTATTCTAGGATCGTCACACATACTAATGCCCTTAGTCCTCATGATCCTTGAAATAGGGAGGATTATTCTCTCATTCTACAGATGAGAAATCTGAGGCACAGAGGGATGAATGACTCACCCAAGGTCAAGGCGAAAAGCTAGGGTTTCTAGCCAGGCACTCTGGCTCCTGAGTCCATGCCCTTAATCACAAACTGTATCAATATCTACAAAATGCTAAAAAATACAAAGGTCTATTGGATAGAATATGTGTGTGTGTGTGTGTGTTCATTTGATATTTTTTCCTAAACACACACACACACACATATACACATACAAGCAGACGTGTGTATGAGGGTTTTCTACTTGCCAACCACAATTTTCAAAGATTTTATTTATTTATTCATTAGGCACACACACACACACACACACACACAGAGAGAGAGAGAGAGAGAGAGAGAGAGAGAGAGAGAGAGGCAGAGACACAGGCAGAGGGAGAAGCAGGCTCCATGCAGGGAGCCTGATGTGGGACTTGATCCCAGGACCCCGGGATCATGCCCTGAGCCAAAGACAGACAGACACTCAACCACTGAGCCACCCAGATGTTCCACCAACCACAGTTTTAGACGTTGGGGGCAGGTACAGAGAAAAGTCCTTGCCATAGAGAAGCAATTTACAACCTTTAAGAGGGGAACAAATACATAAATAGATTATTTCTCTACTAAGGAGTTCAAATCCACCTGGGTCTGTCTCAGAGCAAAGCTAGATGAAAATGAGACACCTTGGCTCTGTTTCTTGATCTGGGGGTGGTGGTGGTTACAGGGCACATTCCCTCTCTGAAAATTCACTAAGCTGTACACTGAGGGTGTGTGTATACTCAGGGTTATGAATGTTATACTTTAATAAAACCGCCGTTTAAAAAATTTGAAAGGAAGAAAAGTGCCTTGGGAGTTCAGAGGACATAGCAAAGAGTCTTGGCTTGAACCTCAGGGACCAATCGGCTCATGTCCTGTCCTGGCATCTAACTGATCACGTATTTGTCAAGGTGCCACCTGTGCCATCTGATGACACCAGCTTTTCGCACGTGGCTCCAGAAAATTAATTTTTTCCCTTGGCAACTTTGGTCACATCCTGCACAGACTTTTTTTAGAGAACCAAATGTCTCTGTGAACATTTCAGGATTTCAGGCAGGTTTCCTTCTCTCTAGGATCGGACTCTGACTTGATATTGTGACGATAAAACAGGATCTCCCTACATGGGGAGATCCATACAAAACCTGGACAAACCATACAAAACCTGTATACAGTGGAGGGCGGAAGCCACTGGATACAGGTCCCTCTGATCTAGGTGAAGAAATGGCCCAGGGGAACCTCATCGTGCCTTTCTGAGCTGGGCTTATTCCCGCAAAAATCCATTTTCTATCTCTTCAAATATGTTGGAACACAGAATCCCATGGAACCATCATTTATTAGGTACTTGACTAGAGCCCCAAACACGAAGAAGCTAATTTCTCCTTACTCTGTGACAGTATAAATGTTACAGTTCCGCATAAGCAGACTGAATAATTTCATTTGAAACACTCAGGGTTGTTTTTTTTTTCTTCCTCTTCCAGAAACGATGTGTCCACTAACCCCATAAACACTAAAAAAAAAAAATAAATCTAAGTTAGGACATATTTAGGATTGTTATAATTTAGCAGTTTAATTTTTTTTCAAAAACCCAAATGATGTGTCTAACAGCCCGTGGCCTTAATAATATGTTAGTTTAAAAGATAAGATAAATTTATATAATATTGTAACTGCACACATTAGCAAACATGCAGCACTCCACGGCCTCAAACAAAACTTGCATGTTTAAGCCATATTTATTTTTAGAAGCAAAAGAGCCTGGTGATCTAAGCACAATGATTCCAACACTTGTTCTACTTCATTATGATAAGATGTCATTCTATTCGACTGTTCTCATTTTGTTTTATCATTTGACTATCCTTCCAAGGGGATCCTACTATAGGTAGAAATCAGGACATTTCAAAGAAAATATATGTTGAAAGAAACATGAAACCAACTTTTTCAATTTAAATTTGGGCCTTCTTGATTAAAATAAAAGAGAAAGTATGGGATAGACATGCATACTGTCAATTTATGTGTTCGTTAAGGGAAATTTTTTCTGGGCTCTTCTGTCAACAAACATGTATGGGCAACACATTTCACATCCTTTGTTGTTAGAACCTTCCTTTCCTCTTTCTTCAACTTCTATTACCCTGAGTGCTTACATGTTCCCTCTTCTTTGGTTACCTTTGTTAAACTCACTGTTGGGAAAGCTTGAGGTGCTCATTTATACTTGAGTGTCAATGGTTGATATCTCCTGTAAGAGTAATCTCATTTAAAGACACTGGCATTTTACTAGGAATCAGTAGCTGAAGCCAAAGCTGTTTAATAAAGGGTTAGATGGTGGGCAGAAGGTTTACCTGGACCACAGCCTTGTGAATTCCACCCCAGAGATGTGCATTGTGGACACGGGTGCCTGGCTTGCCTGCCTGTGCGCATTTGGTAGCCACAAGTATTGTCTAGCACATGGACACCTTGCCGGGGGCACTTGGTGGCAGGTGCTCAGAGACACTTGTGAGGGCGCTCCCGGCAGGGCTGGGAGCAGTTTCTGTTTCCCAAATACTTTCCAAAGCCTTGGGCTCCAGGCAGTTGAGTTGAGAGTGCTGACTTCCCTTCTGTACCCTCTGCTTCTCTGTGAACTCCAGGCGGGCTGCTGTATATCTGTTCATGGCCATGACCGACACAGTCATGCAGAGGGCAGATGAACCCCACGCGAGGCTGTCAACAAAACACCACCATTAGGAGGGAGTGTAGGGCTCTGGTTCTAGGGCTTTCTGCTGTGGGGTCAGTCTGGTGAAAAACCCAGCTCCTAGTTCCATCCAATTTGGACCTGGACTTCGTATGAAAAGTTTCAGAGACCAGTCAATAGTGTTGTTGTAGCCCAATGGTCAAGAGAACAGACTTTGGAGTCATTGCACCAAGCTTGCATGGTGTGTTTGCACCCGTATCTTATGATCTGGGCACCCTTGAGCTGGGGAATTCACTTCAATATCAGGTTCCTCATCTGCAAAACCTGGTTAATAGTAACACTGCACACAGGGTGGTTGTACGGAATTCAGTGAACTCATGCACGGAAAGTACTCTGCATAGTATCTGCTGACACAGAACTGTTGCATTTGTTAGTGTTGTGGTTGGCTCTAACCCAGGGCAGGCACTTGGTGTTGTTACTTTCTACCCCTACCTTCTGGAAGCCTGTTGCCTCCTGAGATGATGGTCTACACGTTATACCTTCCACAGAACCTATTCAAATGGTCGCTGAGAAAGAACCTCTGCCAACTGGCATTGGTGTATTTTCAAGGGGTGACATTCTCAGGTGAAATAAAAGTCTCCATATTTGATTGCCTACAAAGAAGCCTACCCATAGACAGGTTTTAAACCCATTCCAGAGTTTCCAATCCTCCTTAAATATGACTTGACTTCAAGGGTACCAACATCTAGGGGAAAGGCCCAACAATAGATAGATAAAGGGGGGGATCTAAAGAAAAGAGGTAGCACAAGGAACAGAAGAAAACAGTAGTCAGAAGAAAACCCTTTGATCACGATGTACAGAGAGATATGAGAAGATACTGCATGAACAAAGCAGGATCAGGAATTATGAAAAAGGAATAACTAGAACACAAGAAAGACCTTTTGGAAATTCAACTGAAATCTAAAATAGAATTCAATATGAAGGTTAGATGACAAAGAAAGGGAAATTTTCAGAAAGGATTACAAAAGGAAGTGGGTGCGATGTGTTTAAGAATGGAATAACATCAGTGTCTCTATTTCTTTCTTTTTTTAAAAAAAAAGATGTTATTTATTTATTCATGAGAGACACACACACACAGAGGCAGAGACACAGGCAGAGGGAAAAGCAGGCTCCCTGCGGGGACCCTGATGCGGAACTCGATCCCAGGACCCCGGGAACATGACCTGAGTCAAAGGCAGACGCCCAACTATTGAGCCACCCAGGCATCCCTAGTGTTTCCATTTCCTGAGGACTTGACTCTGTGCCAAGGATTTTACAAAAAAATCTCTTTAAATGCCCGTGAACACATGAGACCGTATCATCCTTTCACAGATGGGAGAGCGAGGCCACAGAATGGTTAAGAAGTCAGTCAAAGTCAGATGGTAGAACAACGGCCAAGGTCGGTTGTCCTAAACACCCTGTGTGCATCCCTGCTGGTCCATCAGGACTTGAACCCACCAGTAGGGCCAGCAACTCACCAGTAGGACCAGCCGTAGTCCCACATCTGAGGCCTCCAATCTTCTGGTCCAAGGTTCACAGTGATTTGAAAAATGGTTGTGTACATCATGTGGGCCACCATGCTGAGAAGCCCTGCACAATGAAAGCTTTTGTGAGCCGCAGTTAGGAATGTAGTTTCTCTACCTTATGTGAGTTGTATGTAAGAATCCCAGTAGCATCCTCCTTGAGCCCTTGCAAGCAGCCTTCGTGTTTCATGTACACACTAATTCCTTAGTGTCATGAATCCTCATGGCGGGCCTTCCTCTGAAATGTCATTTCTCCAATGACCAACTCTCCTGTCTATCATGCCCTGGTGTCCCAATGCTCAGAGGCTTCAATGTCCCATTCTCTCTTTCCCACACTCTACAGTGCTCTGTCATATTATTCTTTTTCATATGGATGGTTTGCTAACACAGAAACACTGGGATATTGTAGATAAAAATCTGAGTGGGTTCTGGCCACACTAGATTCACATGACAGTAATTGGGAGGAACAGAAATCAGTTGCCAATGGGATTTTCTTTCCTTTCTAAGTGGCTCAGCTCAGCCTTTTTGCCTGGAGACACTGGAAGACTTTCCCCCCTAGGTGTGGCAGGATATGTTTAGGATTTGAATGCACTGTGTCAATTTTTCCAGATACTTGGAGGGAGCTTTCTATAGAGTGTGGTCTTCTGTTAAAGAAAGTTTCCTTGAATTTCACTTTTAAACTGTAGTTGTTTCATTGGTTTGTCTTTCTTGTATGGGGACTCTAAGTCCATAGATGGTGTTTTAATGCAATTTAATAAATGGTAACTAGTTAGGGATAGGTGTCAGGGGTTTTAACTGATGGGGACAATTATTTATATGTTAATAGAGCTGGCTAAAGTCCTTATGATGTAAATCCTCAAATACACTACCTGACATGTATTCACAGTTGAAACTGAATAGATGTCCAAGAAGAGGTCTGCTCATGACCTTGGGGGGCCCTGGAGGATGCCAGGACCTGCAGAAGAGTCTCCATGAGCCCATGGCCTGCCTCCTCGCTATGAAGTTCCAGAAATTGGATTTTATCATTCTATTCACTGATGATGAGGCTGGGGAAAGACGCCTGACACTTACCAAGCTCCCAACTGGGCTGATGCACTATTAACAGAGCTTTGAGTATCAGGACAGGGAGGCAAAGAAACCATTTGTTCAGGGTTCTTTTTCTGATAGAAAGGCCAACTCCTGAGACCCAAATGAAGTTGCTCTAAAAGTTGCTTGGAGGACACAGAAGACCCCCCCATCCCCAAGAAGGGAGTTCTTCATTCTTTCATGTACATCAAACCTGGATAATGATTTTTAGCAAGGGACCATTTCTTGTATTCTTATACATACCAGGTGCATTCTTACTTGGCCATCACCGTAGGCTTTTGAGATAGCTGGCTTAGAATGGTTGAGTGACTTGCCCGGTATCACACAGCCATTAGGTAGCAGAGATCTGAACCCAGGCAGGATTTCATGTGTAGCCACCGTACTAAATTAGGCGATTTCTGTTCTCAGAGCCAGTGTAACTCCTTCCCAGAGTTGTGATAAACATGCAGTAATACATTTCATTCTCCATCCCCTATGTCTACCCTCCTTTCTCTTCATCGGTCACCCAAAGCATCATTGCTTTCCCCCACGATGGGATTAACTCAGCGACTTCTCTGGTGGACCAGCGAGCTGTCCCGCTGAACTGGCCATTGATGGAAAAGAACCAGACAGCACTTTGGCAGTGGGGACAGCCAGCCTGAAGCTCTGTCCCTGATTCTGGGGTGGGCTCTGGAGAATCGGGCTGCCTGAGGGCTGCTACGGTGAAGTACCTGCAAGCACCATGAGGATGGCTACAGAGGCATCCACTTTGAGCTGATGGAAATGAGAGTGATGGTAACTCAATCTGGAGCCCAGGAGGATGGCACTTGTCATCATCAGAAAAATATTCATGATCTCGGCCCCAATGGACAGCCACAGAACACCTGTAAACATGTGAGGATGACAGGGATGCTGAGCATTGAGAATTCAGAAGTACTGCAATGTCTCGCTCTTTGATTGAGTTCACTTCTATTTTTTTTTTATTTATGATAGTCACACACACAGAGAGAGAGAGAGAGAGAGAGAGAGGCAGAGACACAGGCAGAGGTATAAGCAGGCTCCATGCACCGGGAGCCCGATGTGGGACTCGATCCCGGGTCTCCAGGATCGCGCCCTGGGCCAAAGGCAGGCGCCAAACCACTGTGCAACCCAGGGATCCCCTGAGTTCACTTCTAAAACAAAAAATAAAAAGCAAATGCCAAGGGTTAGGAAACCACAACGAGATCTGCTGGATCTTGGAAAGTTGGCAGTGATAGAGGCCTCCTTGGGGTTGAGAGAGGAGTGTGTAAATTTGTCCTTTGCTGGGAGGGAAAAAAAATGGAATAAGAGTCTGATGTGAAGACATGAGAGATGCTGGGGGTCTCTCTTGCCCAGTTCAAAAGTTAATGCGTTGTTTAGATTTCACCAGAAGACTTTGTCTTTTTAGAGAAGATACCCAACGTTACATGAGAGGGCAGAGAGAGACATCTAGAGTTGAAGCACCCTGGTTAGAGATCCCAAAACCTTATTGGTTTCTTTCTTTAAGATTTTATTTATTTATTTATTTATTTATTTATTTATTTATTTATTTATTTATTTATCTATTTATCTATTTATCTATTTATTGATTTATTTATTTGAGAGAGAGAAAGCAGGAGAGTGGGAAGGGTCCGAAGGAGAAGCAGACTCCCTGCTGAGCAGGGAGGCCGATACAGGACTCCACCCCTGAGATCATGACCTGAGCCGAAGGCAGATGCTTAACCAACTGACCCACCCAGGTGCCCACACCTTATTTTATTTATATGTGAGCCAATTATTTGCCCTCTGGAGGGGATCCTGCCTGTGGCTTTGAGGAACTGTGTCAGAGGTGGAGGCCAGGAGACTAAGGGGACATGGAGAGAAGCTAACATTCCTGAAAGTCATCCTGCAGAGCAAGCCAGGTGCTGGGGACCCCTGCAGTGGATGAAGCAGGCGTGATTCACGCATTCACAAAACCTTTATCCCAGTTGGGGACACAGATACTGAGAAGGTCATCATGGATTTGATGAGCGTTACACAGAAGACAAAGTGCTGTAGGTTGTGGCAAGCCAGAGCCCATCTCTCCCTGGCACTGCATCTACCTTGCATTGTGGTAGCTTGCAAATTAGCCACGGTGGGAGTATTCATACCCCAGGAAACATCAGACACTACCTGTCAGGGCTTCCCATCCCTCCCTCCTGGCAAAATTGGTTGCTTAGCATTTTCCGGCACCACTGACTCCAGGGCACATGGAGAGAGAGCCCACAGTTCCAGCTTTTGGATTTAACATCATGGAAAAACAACAACAAAACAAACAAACAAATAAAACCCCTATCTTTTCCCCCATCCCAACAAAAACCCTAACAGTTATCCAGATCGTGGGGCGGCGTGCTGGTGGACAGCACATGAGTAAGGTGTTGTACCTTGTTCTTCAGCTGGTATGATGCTCTGGAAACTCCTACACTTTTCACCTAGAATAAACACAAAGAGAATATACTCATAAGTAGGAGTAACCCGAACAATTAGTGACAGAATGTGTTCCTAGTGCCTTCAATCTATCCCGGGTCATTTTTTTTCAAAGATTTTATTTATTTGGCAGAGAGAGAGAGAGAGAGAGAGAGAGAGAGAGAGAGAGAGAGAGCACGAGCAGAGGGAGAAGCAGACTTCCTGCGGAGCAGGGAGCCCCATGCAGGACTCGATCCCAGGACCCTGAGATCATGACCTGAGCTGAAGTCAGATGCTTTACCGACTGAGCCCCCCAGGAGCCCCTTATCCCAGGTCATTTGAACAAGGTTTGAGGAATGTGGTCAATTACTTTATTGTTCATAGACATGTCCTGCCCCCCACCCACCCCACAGGAGCATAATTCAATCCCATCCTGATGAATCCAGGTTGGCCATATGACTTTCTTTGGTCAGTGAATTGGGAGCTGCCATGAGGGGAGTCATTTCTGGTCAGAAGGTTTAAGGGCCAATGTCCTGTCCACCTGAGTCTTGCTCCCCTGCCTCTGTGATCACAGAAGCACACGTCTGCATGGAGTGTCCATCAGCCTGAATTGCCAACCTGAAAAATCCACACAGAATGAGCTAGACATGAATGTGTTGAGTTAAACCACTGAGATTTGGGGGCTGGTTGTTACTGCGGCATAATCCAGCCCGTCCAGGTTGATACTGAGAGCCTTAGACCCGGGATTCTCAACTCCCCCAACAGCATCCCTTCTAGTATGATTTTCAGTTTGTTTCTGCTTAGAAGGAAAGTAACCAAGTTTGTAACAATTTAAAAAAATGAATTAGGGGATCCCTGGGTGGCGCAGCGGTTTGGCGCCTGCCTTTGGCCCAGGGCGCGATCCTGGAGACCTGGGATCGAATCCCACATCGGGCTCCCGGTGCATGGAGCCTGCTTCTCCCTCTGCCTGTGTCTCTGCCTCTCTCGCTCTCTCTCTCTTTGTGACTATCATAAATAAATAAAAATTAAAAAAAAAATGAATTAGAGCAGCCCTCCCTCGCCAATGGCTCAGTCGGTTAAGAGTCCAACTGTTGATTTTGGCTCAGGCTCTGATCTCAGGGTCTAGGGATTGAGCCCCATGTTGGGCTCCAGGCTGACCAAGAAGCCTGCTTGGATTCTCTCACTCCCTCTGCCCCTCCCCTCACTTGTGCACCCTCTTTCTAAAATAAAAAAAAATATCTTTAAAAAAAGAGAGAATTAGAGAAAATTCAGATCTGTTACTGAGCAACCTAGCTATTTGCATTTCATCGTGCTTTCTGGAGTGTGGCAGGACAGGGAGGGTGCCAGGAGATGTGGGGATGCCTGAGACACAGAGCTGCTCCCAGTCTGGGCTGGCTGGAATTAAAAGCAGGGTGGGCCACACATCACTGACTCTTCAAAGGAGTGGCTTTCTCATCCCTAAAACAGATTCAGAAGTCCTCACATTAGCCTTGCTTTGGGAATTTATTTATTTTTTATTATTTTTTGAAGATTTTATTTATTTATTCATGAAAAACACACACAGAGAGAGGCAGAGACACAGGCAGAGGGAGAAGCAGGCTCCCTGCGGGTAGCTCGATGTGGGACTTGATCCCAGGACTCCGGGATCACACCGTGGGCCAGAGACAGATGCTCAACCACTAAGCCACCCAAGTGCCCCCAAATTCCTCTTCCTTTACGGCCAGGCTCCTCCACCTGTCCTCCCAACACAGAGCCCTTCCCTTGGCTTCACCTTCTAACTCATCAGGCTCATGCAAGAAGGACCATATGCCCAAACAGGTGCATGCTCACGGCGGCACATGTCTAAAGGCCATAAACCTTAAGGTTTGCCATTCTTGTCGCCATGAAAGTCCAAGGGCCCCGGGACATCATGGGTTGGCACATCTGCAGTGCACCTCTGCTGAGCTATAGGAAGAAGAACAAAGCCTGGGTTTATGATACAGCCATTTGGTCGAGCTGTGCTGCAGGGAGACTTCCTGACAAATGTGCAGAAAGGGCTTTACTCATCACCTAACTGTCTAGGGCAAGCGGCCCAGAAGAAGGTATTCCACAGCCTGGGGGTCAGGACGGTAGCATCAGGGACCCATCTGCCCATCTGAAGCCCCAGTGGCCTCTTAAGCTTTTTAATGAGGTCAACTTTGGACTGATGCGATGGGCCCATGTTCCTCACAGGTTCTCTGGCTTTGGCAGTGGCGGTGGTGTTATGGTCACAGTAGGAAAATTTGTCTGCATCCCGTGGGTTCTACCAAGGACGCCTGCACTGCACGGGGGATATCTCGACACTCACATGCTGCTCTCAGCCCTTTGGGGCTGGTGCAGAGCTTCTTTTTTTAAAAAAATTTATTTATTTATTCATGAGAGACAGAGAGGGAGGCAGAGACACAAGCAGAGGAAGAAGCAGGCTCCCTGTGGGGATCCGGATGTGGGACTCAATCCCCGGACCCCAGCTTCACACCCTGAGCCCAAGGCAGAAATTCAGCCACTGAGCCACCCAGATGCCCCCCTTTTTTGGAGCATTTCATTATCGATCAAGGTGAGTACAAATAGCCACATTTTACAGATTTGGAGGCCAGGATCAGACAGGTTGGAAAAACTGGGAACTGAAACTGGGCTTCCCCCCTGAAATCCAGTACCTTTTTGCCTATAACCACCTGCTGTCTTTCTACATAACCCATGGGGGGGGGGTGGACTAACCACCTACGTTGTCTTCCAAAGTGGCCTGCCCTTTGTCACAGGAATAAAGAGAGGGCGAAGTACAGAACCAGGGGCAGAGCAAAGAGAGAGTAGAGGCCAGACAAGGAGATAAGGAGAATTCACCCTGGCTTTGAAGGCTGAGGTCAGCCCAGGCAAGGAGTCAAGCCACAGTGACCCCTTGATTAATCTGAATCCTCAGAAATCGTGTTCCTCTTGAATGAGGCCAGCGGGATTAAAAGGAAAAATCTTCGTAAATCCCACGAAGCCGGAGAGGCTGGTGTGACATAGCTCGGCTGCAAGTGCTTTGCCGGCCAAGCGGAGCCCCAAGCCAGCTTGGGAAACCGTGTCCAGGTCCCCAGCACTGGACTCATGCATCCCCATCTGCTGGTCCTGCCCTCCCACCCCCCACCCCATGGGGCGCCCAGGCCCCTCTGTCCTTGACCTTTGTGGCTTCAACAGAACACTGCGGAATTGGGAACCAGCACATTCTGTTGACTCGTTGCTTCGCCTAAGGGAGAGAATGCCATGTGAGCACTGCCTCTGCCAGGAGTTTCATCTCATACGGGGAAGTCAGAGGTGCCTCCCCCCCCTTTAAAAGCGCTTTGGCAACAGGAACAGGAATGGGAAGAGGTGGCTTGTGCAGAGGATGTCCTGAGATCGTGCTCCTCCCCTCGAGGGTCAGCTTTTGCAGGCACAGAGATGAAGTGGATTCAGAAGGAAGAAAAAAATCCGTAAGGCCTCAGGGCAGCAGATCTGGGAATGGTCGGATGTCCCAAGGCTGCTCTCCTGGGCTTATTTGGATCCAGGGGCACCTGGATGGAGTGCTTATTGTCAGGTCTCCTGAGAGGCCCGCGCCCCTTCTGACCCTCTGTCCAAGCACTGTTTGGGTGCCTTCTCGTTCACCTCCAGCTATAATCCTTTTCTTTCATGTACCCCCAAATCTCCCAGGCCCTTGTGATGAATTACACTTAAGAGAAGATGTTTGTGTGCAGTGATCGTTAGCTGGGAGCCTCAGGCTCTATTCTGCAGACGTGGTTTCTGGGGCAATGTTTTTAAGATACTTTTTATTTTTTTAAAGATTATTTATTTATTTATTTATTTATTTATTTATTTATTTATGTATTTAGTGGGGAGTTGGGGAGGAGAGGCAGAGGGAGAGAGAGAGAGAATCGGAAGTAGACTCCTCGCTGCACCCGGAGCCCGTCACAGGGCTCCATCCCACCACTGTGAGATCACAACCTGAGTTGAAACCAAGAGTCAGACGCTCAACCAGCTGAGCCACCCAGGTGCCCCTTCAAGATACTCTAAAATTGGGAATTCTCACGTGGAAATCCAAATATCTTACTTCCTTTGAAAAAGTCAGACAAAAACCTGACAACACCGAGCGCCTAAGTCCATGTAGTCATACCGCTGAGCTGAGTGAGGGGCTGCCCCCTTGAGCTGAGGATGACATTTCAAGGTCATCGATGATCTTGCTCTGTTTGCTGTTGTTACCACCTTCTGTGGGCATTGATTTTCCACCTGTGACGTATGTCTCTTGTTTTACTCTATTGTATGTTTGCTATTACTTTAGTTATTACTTAATAAAGACTTAATTCTAAACCTTTTGCTCTGGGGGCATCTTATAACATATGAAGGTGATCATGTTTCTCTGAGGTGAGGAAAAAAAAAAGGTGTTCTGGAGAAGATGCCCTCTTCTTGATTCTTAATAAAGTGATGACAATATTTAGATACTGTGATTTACCCGGACCACCTTTTATATTAGGAAGCATATAAAAATGTGAGCAGAGGCAACCCCTGGGTGGCTCAGTGGTTGAGCCTCTGCTTTCAGCTCAGGTCATGATCCTGGAGTCCTGGGATCAAGTCCCACATCAGGGAGCTTGTTTCTCTCTCTGCCTGTTTTTCTGCCTGTCTCTCTGTGTCTCTCATGAATAAATAAAATCTTTAAAAAATATAAAAAATAAAATTTTTTTAAAAACATGAGCAGAGGTTTTTTGGATTGATGGGCACAAGCAACTTCATTGGCAATTATAGGAAAATTGACCTTCAGTTAAGTTTTGGGCATTGAGGTGGGGGGTGGTGGGAAACAGGAAGTCTGGGTCAAGAAATCTGAGCTCTGTGCCCTGCTCTACTAGGATCTAGCTGTTCAGTCTTCAAGGGAGCGTTCCTGCTTCTAGAACTCAATAAAATGCATCTGTTGTTTTAGGTGAGCCTTTTTACAAAGAGCATTGCTCCAAGCAGATTCTTTTTCTGTGGTCAACTAATTTTGGGACACACTGGGATATGTAATAAATAATTAACGGTTTTCGTTATGGTAAGACTTAGAAATTTTAAAACGTTAAGATGCATTGTGAATTTCCAAGAAGAAAATGTAATAGGCAACATCTTCCAATTTCTTTTAATAATTGAAACCCTATTTATTTAATTTTATGAAAAGCATCTCACAAGGCATCTCTGGGAGGGGGGTGGGGGTCATAATCCTTGAGAAAACCCAGCGAGGCACCTGTTAAAGTCTCTTTCCGGCGTGACATCAAATATATAAGAAGCATATTAATCAGAAAGGGGTCAAGAATTGTACTCTATTTCTACTTGGCTTTGTCCATGAATCACTGAGACCATCAACTCTCCTTAAAATTCAGCCTGTGTTCCTGACAATATATTTAAACACCTTTCAGTGGTATGATCTATGAGAGGGCTGTGTGTGTGTGTGTGTGTGTGTGTGTGTGTGTGTGTGTGTGTGTGTTAAACACTCCGTTGGCAGAAATGCCAAGGAGATTCCTGGTCTCTGGAAGAAGAGGCCTGAAAGCCCCTCACACAGCCCTATAACTGTGCTGTTGGCCTCTGTTTTAGGTTGAGAAGGTCCTCTCCCCCAACCTGGTAATAGTTTTTTGTTGTTTCGTTTTTATCAGAAAGCTCAAGGACAGTGTATATCATCTATCTGCATAGTGTTGGTGTGACTACGTCGGGCATGCGCCATATGCTGGAAGCACCTGCTTCCAGGCCTCCCTGAAACCCATAGCTCTGACATCATTTAAGAGATAAGGCTTCCAGTCTCCGAAAATCCCAGCCGAGTCCTTTCTCACAATTCCTTGATCACTAGGGAAACAGCTCCCGACTGTCCAATTTTCTACCTCCTGTTCTCAGGTTCAGGTTCTACTGTGGCCCAACCTCCCCTGACATTACACACTAGTGATGCTTCAATTTTCTTCAATTAGGTTTCTCTTTCTAGGGAACATTGTCTTGCTCAATTCCTTGTCCTGAAGTGACCGTGACTTTGTGTTGTAGGGAAGCAGAAGCTGCCTCAGGTCACATTCAAGAGCCATGTGAGTGAAATTCTTCTGTAATGAGGCTTCCTTTTCCACCCTGCCTTGTGTTCTAATGCAAATACAGGAACTGTCCTGCCTCAAACCTTTGCTCACTTTGTCCTGTCTGCCTGGAATATCCTCAGCCCTAATCTCCATCTATTAAATCACAGTCCTGTTTGGAGGTCTGGTACAACTGCCATCTCCTTTATGAAGCCTTCACCATGCCCAGAGCTGTTAGGAACTTCTTCGTCATTTCTATTCCCATATCATTTGTCAGTCTGTGATAACCTTACCATATTTTTCCTTGTTTTAGTTTCATCTCAGTTCTCATCACTGTGTCTCACTCCCCTTTCCACCTCTCCATTTGCTTAACAAGGAAAGGGCTTTTAGCAAATTTGTTCCATGCTGCTCTGAGCACTGTCTTTCCAGAGGGCTTTGCTATACCTTTGCTTCTCTAACTTTGGTGTGTGTCTTAATCACCAGGGGGGAACTTGTTAGAAATACAGAAGACACCAGATGGAAAGGAGAGCTGAAGAGAATAAAAAGCAATGAGGGTGAGAAAAGAAAAGGCAATGAGGAACTCTAGGAAAAGCAAAACGCTATACAAGAAATTTAATGTAATGATAGCACCTCCTTGATTCTGTGATGAACAATATCTATATACTCTAAATCAATTGTTGACTTATTGCTTTATCTAAAACAGTAATATAAGAATATTAGGAAGATGGCAGGACAGATGTGGGACGTGGTGGTCTGAGAGACTTAGCCTTATCTATTATGACAGGAAGTCGATAAGTAATGCCTAGCGTATGGTTTTTGAAACATGGAAGCAAATAGCAGAAGAAACAGCTAAGCTAAAAGTGGTTTCCCTGAAGGGTGGGACTAGGTTAAGAAGTGGGAAGGCAGCAGGGGACTGTTGGTTTTTCTTAGAAGCACCTCAAAATGATTTGATCTCTTATCTGTGTGTAAATATTACCTTGGTTAAATATATTTTTATAAAAGGGACTGTAGGTTTCTAGACCTCAGTCTACGACCTACTGAATCAGAATTTCCAGGGCTGGGGATCTGGAATTGAATTAACTCCCTGGGCGATTGTCATGCACTGCCAACATCTGATACTCGGTGTGATACGTCTATGCAGCTATGGAAATTGAAGTAGGCAATCCTCAGATGAGGCCTTGGAAGAGGAGAAGTTCCAAGCACCTTGCCAATGGGTTTAGTGATCATTTTTTTCCAAACTGAAAATCTGAGACTACCTTTGGTGCCCTCCAGAATGCAGAATCATGAGCCTCCTGGGTAGAGAGAGCAGACTGATAGGAAGAGAGCGCACTCCCTAGAGGAGAGGGGCAGGGAGGGTCTTCTGGTAGCCTTAGCTCTAGGCTGACAGCGTATGTACCACACTTAATGCCAAGTCCATACGCACTGACCAGGACATGTGGAAGGGCAAGACTAGGCACTGCTCCTGTGTGGCCCCCATTGGGGCAGGATGGATATGGGTAAGCAGCATATCAGAGAGTTTCTACTTGGAGTCTTTTCCTTAGGCCTCAGGATGAAATCACTAATGCTACGAGGATGGGAAAAGGCAATTAGAAACTGCAGAGAAAATAAAAGGCTGGTCAAGAAATGTAACATGTTAAGCCCAAGATCAAGAGAGAAATGGGACTGGAGGGTATTATGCTGAGTGAAATAAGTCAATCGAAGGACAAACATTATATGGTCTCATTCATTTGGGGAATATAAAAAATAGTGAAAGGGAATAAAGGGGAAAGGAGAGAAAATGAGTGGGAAATATCAGAGAGGGAGACAGAACATGAGAGACTCCTAACTCTGGGAACGAACTAGGGGTAGTGGAAGGGGAGGTGGGCGGGGGGTTGGGGTGACTGAGTGATGGGCACTGATGGGGGCACTTGATGGGATGAGCACTGGGTGATATGCTATATGTTGGCAAATTGAACTCCAATAATAAATAAATAAATAAATAAATAAATAAATAAATAAATAAATAAATAAAATTTTAAAAAGAGAGAAATGAGGATGTGGAGGGGACCTCTTCTTTTGACCTTGAGGCATGTGCTTTCCTGGTAGGAAGGGAAGAGCATCCTGGCCCCAAGCGTGGGCTTGGGTTTGCAGCCAGGCTGCCAGACACTGGGGCGGGGGGGGGAGGGTGTCCAGGTCCTCCTTCCTCAGTTCCTTAAGAGATTAAAAAAAATTTTTTTTTTCTGAAAGGTGGATGCTCCAAATACCAACCCTTCCCCTCCCTCTTCCCTCTCCTCTCTCCCCCTCCCCCATTTCTCTCATCACCACTCTGCCAAACCCACAGAAGCTCAAAAGATCAGGGCTGAGTGCTACGGTGAGAAAGGGGTGGGATTCACTAGCCACGTGACCTGAAACTCTGAGCCTCAGTTTCTCATTTGTGAGCTGATTATATCTACTTTGTAGGGTTATTTCAAGGGCTTCCAGAGGGTTAACTTGTGAGGGATTCTTCTGGTGGGGGTTCCACATCATCACCGATGGTGATAAAAGTCAATTTTTCAGGAGAACCTGCCATTCCAAGACCCTCTTAGATGTGCAAGGATGCAGTTAAGAGATGGACGGGGCCACTTCTGGTTCTCTAGGGATGGGGTGACACTAGCAAATGGTAAGAGTGAGTGTTTCTAAACCCACTGCAGCAGGCCCTGTTGCAAGGCAGTGAGCTCAGTAATTTTATCTTTATGGTAACTCTTGGTAACGAGGGCCGCTATCGTTCCTATTTTACACTCGAGGAAACAGGCTCGATGAAGAAGCTTGCCCGAGGATGCAGGGCAGTCAGTGGCAGAGCCGGACTCCCAGCCAGGCGGCGGGCTCCAGAGCTCCTGCACCTGTCACCCACCCTGCTGCACCTGCCGCCGTGCTCACCTGTGCTGCCGACGCTCTCCTCACAGGACTGCCAGAGCCCCGCATGGAACCTGCGCAGGATGAACATGTCGTCCCCCGTCTCCCAAATGTCCTGGACGGCCTGGCTCGCGTTGTCCCTCCTGCCCCCATCGGAGTGAATGCAGGGCAGCCTGCCCGGGCACAGCGGCTTGGTCACCCTCCGGGTCCCCTGGCACCAGTGGCTGCTGCCCACGGCGGCGAGGGAGCAGGCCAGGGCGAGGCCGACGGGGAGGAGGCCCAGCATCTGCCGCCGCCTGGCCCTGTCCATGGCTGGAGGTGGTGTGCGGTGTCAGGATGAGCAGCGGGCCCCTCCCTGCCTCCCCCCGCAGGCTACCCGCCCCTCTCAGCCCTGCCATCTGGCACCCCGACCAGCTTCCCTCACATCCCGGGTGCCCCCCCAGCGTGTGCCATCCGTGTGCATGTGCACCCGTGGCCTGAGAAGGCCCAGAGCGGGGCAGGCCCCCGTCAGTGAGGCCGGCCCTTCAGTCCTCTCCAGGGAGTGGGGTGCGGGAGGGGGCTGGTGCTCCGTCTTTTTGCACTTGGGGTAAAATACGCAGAAGGTGAAATTTACCATGGTGACCATTTTTTTACCTTCACGTAGTGAGCGCCCAATCTCTAGACCCTGTCATCTTGTGACATTGGAGCTCTGCCCCAGTGAACACTTACTCCCCATCCCGGTCCCCACTCGAGGCACTGCCACTCTACCTCCTGTCCCTATGAATGTGACCGGTCCTGGGACCTCACATGAGCGGGGCCATGCAGTCTTGTCTCTTTGTTTCTGGCTTATTCCACTCAGTGTCGTGCCCTCCAGGCTCCCCCGTGTAGCAGTAGGTGTCAGAATCCCTTTCCTTTTACCGCTTAGTGGCATCTCGTTGCGTGGATAGACCCCCGTTTGCTTATGCGTCACTTGTCCATGGACACTCGGGTTGCATCTGCCTTTTGGATCTTGCGGAGGGCGCTGAAGACCAGGGGTGTTTGGGCAGGTGTCTGGGAGAGTCTGCTCAACCCTTGCCTTTTGCACTGATCAGGCTACTCAGTGTTGGGTGCCAGAAATGGAGAGTCCCACAGCCTGTTTGTTCCCTGCTCAGCCAACAGGGATTGCCAAGGACAGCGTCCTGTTTAGGGGACTGAGACTTGAGGTGCTGGTGGCCTGCTCCAGAGCCAAAGCACCATGCAGAGCAAGGGTGGGCGGCTCACACCCCATGGGGTGCGACATCCAGCACCGTCCTGGGGCCACAGAAGCTGGCAGGCACAGCCCTTGGCATCCTCACCCCTGGGGATGGTGACACAGAGGAGACTAATCACTTCTGGGGCAGAAGATATTGATGCAGGGATGAGGGCAGGAGGAGCATCCTGGAAACACATAGGTCCTAGATCGCCTATTAGCACCTCCTGAGGGCCCTCAGATACCTGCAGACGTAAGGGAGAATCACCGGGCTGGGTGCTGGGGTACATGTCACGTGGGCCACTCTAACTCTCTACTTCCTGCTGGCGCGGGCACAGGGACTCGTCCTACTGGCCACAGGACTTGTGGGAAGAGTATTTATCACGTTCTATCACCAGATGGCACCCATCCCACAGCAAGGAGGCCAGGTGGGCCCCCCCCCCCCGCCCCCCCCTGTCCCTTCAGGAAAAGAATGTTTTGGGGAACAAGTTCAAAGAGGTTCCCTAGAATATTCTGACTGGGCAGGCATTTCCTTTGCCAGCATGCAGCCCAGAAGACGTGGTTGTCAATGTGTGATTCCAGAACGGCTTTCCAGCTGTAAGGCAAGGATCAGAGCATCGTTGGGGGCGCGTCTCCTCATCCTGCTGTCCCAGAGACGACCACATTGATTCCAGAGGTCGCACTACTGTCCCAGGCCATTCTGGGGGGCAGGGGAGGGGGTCTTTGTTCATCACAAGCATTTGATCGCTAGGGTTTAAAGTCTTGCCATGTGGTGATTTTAAGATTTCCAAGGATTTCTGTTGAGCGGTGCTTCCTGGTATTCCCCCAACCGTTCAGAATTCATTCACTCAGGTAAGTTAGCAAGGGTGTGCTCCTCTGTCTGACTTGAATGGAGAGAAAAACAAAACCAAACTCCATGAGAACATGGCCTTCTTGTCTCTTGCTGACCTGCATCTCAGCCAGGCAGGACCTCTTTGCCTCCTGGGCCTCCAATCTGGAGGCTGAAGAGCCTGGACAGGGAGAGGTGGGGAGAGCAGGGCCGAGCTGAGCCTCTCCAAGGCCCCTAGAGGAGCCCGCCAGAGGAAGGGAATGCCCCTGGAGAGTTGAGGTAAGATCAGCACCTGACCACGTGGCTGTGTCAGGTGATTCTGGGAATTCTGGGCCTGCCATTTACTGCTGTGTGGCCATGGGCCAGCAGCCTAACCTCTCTGAGCCTCATTTTCTCAGCTGTCAAGTGGAGACCTCCTGGTCGCCTCACAGGGTTATTTGAGGACGAATGAAACAGGTGGTCGTCAGCTGGGTGAGAAAGTGATGTGCGTCCCCTGGAAGCCCCTGCCAGGTGGGCTGAACGGCATCGAGAGGCTCAACGGGGCCATCAAGAGGTGTGTTTGACTTTCCTGCACTTGTAGACAGAACTCAAGCCACCCATTTAGGTTTGGCTTCAGGGCCTGGGCCTGGATCTGCTTTCTCCCTCCAAGTGTTTGCATAGATGGGGATCAGAAGAGACTTGGGGCATTGATAAGAAATGGGCCCCCTTGCTCAGATGCCCACTCATACCTGGTGTGAGGCCCATCCTCTTGTGCCAGCTGTTGCTCAGCAGCTAGAACCCGAGGCTCTGGCCCGCCGGCCGTGTGCATGGAGCAGAACCACTGGCTGCCTGGCTTCTCCTCCCAGGCTGCCCTTGCTAAAGAAGTCCCTGGGAGCGCAGCTGACTTGGGGGAAGGTCTGGGAAAAATCTCCCTGCCTTTGGAAGGAGGGGGGGTGGCCCAGGCGGAGTTGAGCCACCGCTGATGAGAAACCCCAGGGAATCATCGGTAGGTGGCCCTAGACCAGTTCAGACGCTCCCTCCGCGTGCGGCGTGGAGAGGGTTTGTGCAAACATTTTCTCGCTGTGCCGGGAGGAATGCAGGAGGAGGCCGCCTCTGGTGCATCTTGGACTATTCCAGAACTGCGCCCTCGCCTGTGAAGTTGCAGGGGGTGGCGAGGCCAGCATCGAGCAGGGGCAGCGCCTGGAAGAAGGAAAGGAGAGGACCCCCACCCCGAGTCCACGCTGCCCATGGACACCCCTGCCCGCCCGGGGCCCAGGCCTCTGCCCCCCTCCAGGAAGCGCTCCCCGCCGGCCCCCGCGAGGCCCGTGCTCACCCTGCTGCTCCTGGTCTCCATCAAACAAGTAAGAGCGGTTCATGATTTGGATTGTCACGGCGATTGCTGCCGGGGTCAGTTCTGCATCTTTTCTGATCCTATAGGCAGTTGCGGCCTCTCGTTGGCAATTTGGGAAATATTATTAAGGGTTAAGGCGGGAATGATTAACCCTAATCCTAGTATTCAGAGGTCATCGTGGTTAACGTTTTGACAGATTTCTTGCAAATCCTTTTTCTATGTGTGTGTCTGTGTGTCTGAAGTTATGATGCATAAAGTGTTCTGTATCCTGGTTTTCCCTTTTACACCATTTTATAAGTATTTTCCAATGTCAGGATGAATTCTGTAAATAGCATTTAAATTGGTCCTGTATATCTTGTCTGCTTTTACAATGTTCTCAGGCTTGAGTATTTAGGAATATGTTTTTTTTTCTCTTCTTTCCTTTCTCCTTTTCCTTCTTAGTATAAAAATATAGAATGTTCATTGTTTTAAAAACTAAATGTATAAAATCTGAAGATGCATAAATACCAGCTCTAGATCACTGCAGTCCCACCACCCAGAAATCACCCTTTTTCACCTTTGGGGGCTTATACTTCTGGACCTCTTTCTGCCATATATTTACAGGTACTTTATTGTTTTTTTTTTTTTAACAAGCATAAGATCAGACTGACTATAAATATTATCTCGCTCTCTGCTTTTGTCTTATGGGAATACACTAAAACCTAAGACAAGCTAACACTTCAATCGAGCGCATGATGTGCTAGGGCCGGTGCCAGGTGTGTCCTCTGTATTAACTCAATTTACACCCCATGAGGGAGGAGCTCCTGCTAATCCCACTTACAGATGAGAACGCTTTTCTGTATCAGTAAAAGGTACCCCCATAGCGTGATGTTTAAGACTTCAAGGTTGTCTTGTAATGTATGTAACCAACCTCTTCAGGTGGGCATTCTGGTATCTTGTTTTATTCTTATCCAGGGACACTTGACTTTTGCCCTTTTACCTTTTTAAGCTTCCTTTAAAAAAAGAAGGTTTTTGGGAGAGGGAGAAGCAGACACTCTGCTGAGCAGGAAGGCCGATACGGGACTCGATGCCAGGACCCTGAGATCATGACCTGAACTGAAGGCTGATGCTTCACTGACTAAGCCATCCAGGTGCCCCTGAGTTTCCATTTTTATACTAGACCATGATGTCTTGTTCATCTGGGAAATGCAAGCCATGAAAGTGCCTTGAGGAAGGGTTCTCTTCTTCCTCTGGCCCATGGGTGGAGTTCGACCCTGTATGTGGCCCTGGGGTTCCAAATCCCACCTGCCCCCACCTAGGGACGTCGGTTCGTGGTGTCTGATCTTGTAAGTGTTCGCCTCATTGGGCTTTCTTTGTTCTCTTTGTTCTAACCTGGGACCCAACAGGCAGAAAACACCTACCGAATTCTTTGCGTCCGATTTCTCCCACGGACTAAGGATGTGCACCCCGTCGATGGTTTCATGAGATTCCTGCCATGGTGGCTGCCCCTGGGCGAACCACCAGCTGGGTGGCGGTGGGGCCGTTGGTGGGAGACTCCACACAGAGCTCACACACTTGCTTCAACCCTCCGGGCATCTCATATTCCGGCTGAATCCATGCAACTAGCAGTCTAGCTCCTTTCCCCTTCTACGCGCGATCCTGCATCGATGGTTGCCCACGAGGTGCCAAGCACTGCTGCAGCACTTTGCATTTTCTCCTCAGTCCGTCTGGCTGCAATCCCCACTGCAAGCCTCTCGCAGAAGTGTTATGACGGAGCCCATTTCGCAGTTGGGGAGATTGAGGTTCACGGTTGTTAAGTGACCACATGCGATTGTGCGGCCTGTGAGCTGCTACGTCTCACTGGAGCAAAGCCCTGTGTTCTCTCTTCCTTAGCATTCCTGGGCAAGCTGCTGACATATGACTGTGGATATGTTCCGTCAGCAAAATCTGCAGTGACTCAGGCCGGAGTATGAAGCTGACAAAGCCACACCTTGTTCCTTGCTTCTGGTCTTTTCCTAATCAATACTGTCTCTGTGAGCTGTGTCCCCTCCCACCCCACCCCCATCTGCCACCCAGTCTGTCTTCAGAAACTCTTCCCTCTGTCTGTCCTCCAGGGTGCATCTATCACCCCGATGAATCCCCCCCCGGGTTCTTGGTATTAAAACCCATATTTTTCCTCCATGATGTTTACATTATAAGGCTTTGTGTCGACTTACATGATGGATTTTGTTCACAGATGCTTTCCCTGCGTGGAATATAAATGATTGTGGCATGTTTTCTGGCAGGAAGTCTTCCTAAAATTCACTTAATGAGAAATTCTCAGGGATAGTTTAGGTTTTCTAAATTTAAGCAGTCCAACCACCCGCCCTCAACCCCCCCTCCCCGCTTTGGACTCATTTAAGTTAATTAACAGTTGCTTTGGCTTCAAAAAACATAAACTCTCTCTCTAAGGCTCTTTGAGAAGCAAATTTGTGGCTCTTTCTTACATTGTCGATGGGAGCGTAAAAAGGTGCATACTTTTAAATTAAAAAAAAAGAAGAAGAAAACTTGGCAAGGATAGGTTGGCAGTACATTATCAAAGCCCTTTAAAAATGTGTATACTCTAGGACCCAGAAATTCCAGTTGAAAGAATTTCTCCTAAGCAAATAAAGATGTGCTCAAATGTTTGTGAATTTTTTCAGTAGAGCATCGTTTATATTAGCAAGCATCTCAGCCCGTGTAAGTGTTCATCGCTAGAAGATTGAACACTGAACTGTGTACCACATTCACTCACAGAACATTATGTAGCTGTTAAAACGGTGTTTTAGGAGTATGGCTCTTGCAATGGATTCATATTCACTATGCACCTTCTGGTGAAAGCACAAAACAAGATGATTTCCTTTTTTGGTTAAAATAAAAATGGAAAGAAGGAGAAAAAAAACGGAAGCGTGTACACAGAGAGAAGAGTCCAGAAGGAGATGGTAATTTCTGATACTAACGTTATGATTCAATCTTCTCCCCTTTTGGCTTTCCTGCAATTTTTTTTGTTTGATTTACAGAGAGGCGCACGCATTCTTGAACAAAGACTACAATAAAATGTATTGAAAGCAACCCACAGAAGGTCTTTTTTTTTTTACCCCCCGTTTTCCTTGATCCCTCCTCGGCAGAGTTAGTCGTTGATGCTCGTTGCCCATGCAAGGGAAAGAGAAATCCAGATCAAGTCGATTTTTTCCCGGTTAGAAAACAGCCATTCGCATTATTTCCTTTCATCCTTACCTTGTTTGGATCTGGCTGTGATTGAACTTGGATTTGCCTCTTGCATTTTTCGTGTCTTTAGGACAAGTACCTGGGAAGACAGTTTGTCCAGCTCCCCTAGATTGACCAAATTTGGTGCTTTGTAGGGTTCTTTCTCCTCCTCCTCCTTCTCCTCTTCCTCCTCCTCCTGATCATGACCATCAGTCTTGGCAAAGGGCAGGGGGAGAGGGTCAAATTAGTCTGGGGACAGCTCACGTGCATGACTAATTTTAATTGTCTCTTCCTTGGCCAATTATATTCCTTGGCCAAATTATATTATAATTATAATTATTATAAGCCATGGTTAATCCCATGGCTTCCAAATTGTGTGCTGAGGTCCCTCAAGGCACTGCTGTGAGCTCACAGGGCTGCTCATTTTTCAAGGGAAGCAAAGCGATATTTGACATCTGCCAAAACCCCGCAAATTACTAGCTCGAGGTAGTTCATGGTCTTGGCATTAGATCACGCTTCATTCCCTTTGATGATGTTGTATCTCTGCAAAGCTGGAGTGTTTTTTTTTTTTTTTCAGTTGCTGTGATAAAAAGCGAGTACGGCACAAGCATCAATGTAGAATGGGAACAAACGGGATGCTGTCCCATCTGATTGCCAAGTTTGGGAAGTTGTACAATCTCCAGTAGGCACTCAGTTGTTAGGATGCAAATATTTAAGTTGATTGACCCTACTTCCTCAAAAGAAATGGGACTTTTGGTTTTTCTTCTGGCTTAAGGGTACTGTGGAAAAATGATGGAGTCACTGTGGGCACCATGAATTGAAGAAGATTGGCAACCTCTGGTCTAATGATGGCTACACCAGCTCTTATCCAAAAAGTTGGCTGTGTGATTCTCTGGAAAGAATGCAAAGGAAGAACACAGACCCCATCATGCGTTCCATAGTATTGGGGGCTGGGGCATGCTGGGCAGAGAAGGGAGAGGGTAGACTGGACTAGTTACTCAGAAGGTGGAAGCTTGCCATCCACTGGGCTTATAGGTGGTTGGGTTTTGGGTTGTTTTTGTTGTTGTTTTGTTTTGTGTTGTTTGGTTTGGTTTGTTGTGGGGGGTATGGGTGAATATAGTGGTTCTGATGCTGACTTTTTTTTAAAAGAATTTATTTATTTATTTATTTATTTATTTATTTATTTATTTATTTATTTATTTATTTATGAGAGACACAGAGAGAGGCAGAGACATAGACAGAGGCAGAGAGAAGCAGGCTCCATGCAGGAAGCCCGATGCGGGACTCAATCCCGGGTCTCCAGGATCACGCCCTGGGCTGAAGGCAGACGCTTAACTGCTGAGCCACCCAGGTGTTCCTGATGCTGACTTTTTGGTGGAACATCTCCCCAGTTTACACTGTGCTTCTCTGCTCTCTGTTGTTACTATTGCTACACCTGTTGCTACCCACCTGTCTTATCCCATTCCTTCCGGTTCTCTGCCTGGCCCAAGAAAGCATATGAGTTTGTTACCCCTTGTGAGAGGACACAAGACCTCAAAGCCAGTTGAACTGGATGATCTTATCCCAAATCACGTATCTAGCCCCTCTGTGTTCATCCTTCCTCCAACTCCAACTCCTACCTGTACCTCTGTTTCTATTACTGGACAATGAGAACAATAACTTCTGGCCTGTGCTAGGGGTTTGTATTCAGAGATGAAAGACACATCTCAGTCCTCCAGGAATGTATGGGGTCATGAAGGGGATGAACAAATAAATAAACCACCAATGGCAATAGAACACAATGGACTGCAGGACTTAGTCATGTGTGGGGTCACAGGGCACTGGGGAGAAAGGTTCCCAGCTCAAGACTTCAGTCACAGAGGTTGTCAAGTATGACTGGGGGTCATTAGGCTTGAGTTGAGCCTTGGAGGTTGAACCAGGAGTGAGCCAGGTGAAGACAAGATTAGGAGGGAGGGCCAGTGGGACATACAAAGATGCAAAGTCATGAAAGAGCAAGATTGGGGTCAAGAGGTTTGGGCCAGAGGTGGCTGAGATGTAAAGTCAAATCAGTAGGCCACAGGTGGATGACTTTAGGCAGGACAGCTCTGTGGACCTATCCCTCTGGAGCAGTGTGGACCAGGCCAGAGGTGGAGGAAATGGAACGCAGGTTAGGGAGAAGCACAGGACAGAAACTAGTACCTGGTTATATGATGGGGAGAGAAGCCAAGGACAACTCCTGGTTTCTGGAACAAACCAGAAAGGCTAATGGTGCCAATACTGAACCATTAGGGGATGAACGTCTCTGGAAGCCAGGGACGATAGGGTAAGAATGTCACTTGACTTTGTATGACAGCCGGTTATACAATTGTCTTATCTCTAGCAGATTCTAAGTCCTTTAGGGCAGAAGGAAGCTGTGTTTTGCCCACCACTGCATCCCCTTCAGTTCCTCCCGAATGCAACGCCTGGCACACAACAGGTGCTCAAACGAAGATGAGCAAATTGAAGAAAAGAAAACCCCTTTAAACCCACTGTTTTGTTAATAAACAAAGCAAGTGGTGCAGATGCACAATTAGATGTTGTTATACAACTCAAATTATCTGGAAAGCCCAAAAGTGTATGCTATATTTTTAAGGTTCTAGGGGAGGGAATGTCAGAAAGGAAATAAAATCCCAAGGCCTCAAGTATAGTAGCAGAGCATCTGTCTGCCCAGTCTTTGATTCTGGACCCACAGGCAGCCAGGTAGGATGGTGCAAGTCCCTGCAATTCTCCAGCCTTTTCCTGACATGTTATTGGATCCTTCTTAGTGTGATGCTTCTCTTCTGGAGATCCATATAATCTTAGAAGCATGCAACTATTCATTTGGTAGGATGTCACATTCAGGATGAGCATATTGCCTCCTCTGGAAATGTCAGCCTCACTTGAAGATTTTGGGGGGGGGAAGTCTTTCATATCTGTATTAAAATCAATATGATTAGGTTATGGGATTAACATAAAATTTGTATGCATCTTTAACATAAAGCATAAGATGCCAAAGAAGTTCTGTTTCTTGCTGCAGGCCATTATGGTCACGTCAATGGCAGGTTTTGAGACTCGTGATGACATGATCACAAGGCCACCTCTGTAGTGAACAGGGAGTCACCGTGTTTTGTTTTGTTTTTTTCTGTCCAGGTTACAGGATCCCTCCTTGAGGAAACAACTCGCAAGTGGGCTCAATACAAAGAGAAGTGCCTGAAAGACTTGCTCAAGGAGCCTTCTGGTAAGCACGTGTATGAGTTATCTATGGCTGTGTAACAAATAGCTCAAAAGCTGAGTGGCTTAAAGCAATCATCATCATCATCATCATCATCATCATCATCATCATTTATAATCTATCACAGTTTCTGTGGGTGAGGAATTCAGACCAGCCACAGGGGGAATGGCTTGGTTTTGCTCTACAGTGTTGAGTTTAGCTGGAAGACTCAGTGGCTGGGGGCTGGAATCATCTGAAGGCTTGTTCACACTTACATCTGATGGTTGATGTTGGCTCCAGCTGAGAGTCCATTGGCCAAAACACTTCCATGTGGCCTGTCCACATGGCCCCAGCTCCTCACAGCATGGTGGCTAGGTTGCCAAGGCAAGCATGACTAGAGGTCATGTTGCCATTTATGACTTAGCCTCAGAAGCTATCCCCTCCAAGCTCAATTAGGTCAGATGGTTACTAAGGCCTATCCAGGCTCAAGGGAAGGGAGGAGAGAGACCCCCACCTCTCATTATAAAAGAGCGTATGAGACAAGATATACATAGATGTGACTATTAATTTAAAGTCATCTATCACAGCACACTCACCACCAAATTGCATGACATGAGCAACTGTTGTAGATTAACCTGGGACTCTACCGGGGAGATAGGTGGGAGGATGTCCTCATCCCCCAGGGTGTTATCTGAATCCGAATCATAACATTTCTCTTATCCAGGTCTATACCAGGTTTAGAAAGTTCTAGCAAATATGTTAATAGTTTGATCACTCCATGGCCTCTCCTGCCCTCATGCAGACTTTTTGGGTGCATCCCAAGACTTCTTTTTTTTGTTATTTTAATAATGAAATCTGCCCCCACCCCATCCTCCTGGCTGCTTTCAGATTATTTCATTCAGGGGCACAGAGGAGGACAGAATACCATAAACTCTCTTTCCCTTCTCCTGACCCAAAGAGTCCCAGCCTTCAAGCCATACCCCTCTCCCTCTGAATATTTCTTCAAGCCCAGGCTGGTGGCAATCAAAGCTTGATATCTGTTATAAGGACCACCCCTCTCTTTAGGTAATACAGCTTTCTGAAATCAAAGTAGGGCACGTCCTTTTAATTTGGAGCCATGCCGTGAGCAGCCTGGCCAGGTGAGCACTGCTTCACACAGACCTTGTGCTGACACTTGCAGCCGGCTCCACAGGATGCCCTGAGCCAGCTCATAACCTGGTAGATCTGCATCTGTGGGGTCCTGATGTCAATGATGTGGCCATCCAACCTGAGTGGCCCCTGCAGGCTAGCCCAATTAGGGAGCAGATAGGAACGATGCTCAGTTCCCAGGAGTGAGGAACTTGCATTATGGACATTTGGGATACAGCCTGAAACCCCTTAATTTCATCCCAGGAAGCCCATAAGGCTGTATTGTATGTTTCTAGCATCTCATTGCCGAGTACCAGTGTATAAATCACCCCCTGGATGCAAATGTCTCATAATGATTATTTGGTTGGTCTTCAAATGGAGCAATATGTCCAGACAGAGGTTGTGTCCAATACATGTAGCCAAGAACCTTGATTCTGCAGATCCCCTCTGTCCACTGGTCATTTTGCACATTTTATAGTGAGGGTGTTCCAGCATCTAATTGGTTGAAGGCTTGACAATTCCTTAGGTAATTATGGAACAGAAGGCACTGGCTGAACCACCAAGTGTTCTCCTGACTCTGAGCTTGTGTGAGAGTTCAGCCCATGTAAAATAAACCAACATCAGAGTGACATACACGTTGACATAATGGACGGGACCACTGCGAGGGGTCAGATTGGGTAGACAAAGCCACTGTGCCTAAGGGTGCATTAAACACTCCTTCCTCCCCATGTTGCTCCTCATCCTTGACCTATCTGGACAGTGGAACAGCCATGCTTGTTCCTGCATAGGGTACACCAGCTTCCTGTGCCAGGAAGGGGGCTTTGCCCCCATCAGCGGTGTCGGTGCTCCAACATGGCACTCACCTGGGACCTTTTCTCTCCACAGGGACCTTTTGTAATGGGACCTTTGATCGATATGTGTGCTGGCCTCATTCTTCTCCAGGGAATGTCTCCGTCCCCTGCCCTTCATACTTACCTTGGTGGAGTGAAGGTAGTAAGTCTTATTTTACCATTTTCTGGCAGTTTCTTTAAAAGCTGGTCCCTCTTGGGTAGACTAGCCAGGAAGCAATTAGAGAGAGAGAGAGAGAGAGAGAGGGCTCCAACCAAGTGGTTTTCTCAAGTCTTCTTTCCCCACAGAAGTTTTCCTAAGTAGTCAGTAACATACCTTCTTTCCTCTTCGGACACCTCCTCTTGTCTGCCTGCAATTCTTCTCTGCCTGGATGTTCCATTAAGGCAATAGTCCTGTTTTATTGGAAGATTAGAGAGTCCAGGCCTGGCTACCACAGAATTTGCTGCAGTGACAGTCATCATGGAGAGGAGGAGGAGAGATTGGGATGCTCACATCCACAACTTTGGAATTGTCAGATAGCTTTGGAAGATGGTACTACAGGGTGGTGCTTTTAAGTCCCATGGGACTTGGATGAAATCTTTAACCACTCAGCGCAAAGCAAGTGGCTATTATGTAGGATCCCAGGAGCATAACCCACCCTCACCTGCCCCAGCAGCCCAACCTCTTAGCTGGTTTGTTCTGGAAGGGAAGAGAAACAATTACTGGCTAGAACTCTTTTTGCCTTTGAAGGCCAAAGAACGAGAAAAACAAAACAAAACAAAACAAAACAAAAAACCAACTATTCTCCAGAAACATAAGTGATTAGAAAGTTCCAGGCAAAACCAAGTGAGAATGCCTTACTGAGCAGGCAAGATGGTGAAATTTTTGTATTTAGTTTCAGCTTGGTAAATCATCAGTTAAATTTGGTTTCGATTTTCTGAGGCTTCTGGTGCAAAGAGAGAGTTCCCAAGGAAGAGAGACGCACTTCTGATGGGAGAGCTAGTGACATAGTCTATGGAACTATCCTCTGGTGAAAACCAGCTGGAAGTGACCCAAGAGGTATGAGCATGTGACGTTTAAGGGAAGATATCGGAGTTTGCTGGACCGCAGAGTCTGGATAGTTGAGAAGCAGCCCTGTGGGAGCCAGCTCAGTGGGGTGGGGAGAGCACTGCACATGGAGTTCAGCGCCTGTCCATCTCTTTTACCCTCTGTGACTTAGGGCAAGTGTCCAGAGCCCTTCTGAGCTGTTTTCTGCTCTGGAAAGTGAAGTGAACAACAGCTACTTTTGAGGCCACAAATGAATAAGAAGGCAGGAAGAGTCAGCCACACAGCAGGTGCTTTGTAAATGGAAATGAGGCTGAGACCAAGGTCAAGCCCCTGGATTCCTTAAGGTCTTTAAGACCCAAATGTCCATGGATCTCAAGGACACATGGAACAGGCCATTTACTCCTGCCCCCACCCCACACTGCTCCTCCACCTACTTATTCTTTTCAAGAGTTAAAAACGGAGGTCCATTCCACCTGAAGGGAAAAAGTGACTAAAAATCTAAACTTACAAAAAAGTTGATTTAAGGGATCCAGAGAATGGGAGCATGATGGTGCAGATGCAGGCAGGGGCAAGAGGAAGAGCCAAGACTTGTCAGATGACGCGGGAGGTGAGGGACAGGGGGCTGGAAGGTGGAGAGGGAAAGAGCTCCCACCCTGCCTGACTCCACCCACGCTCACCGTCATCTGTGTGGTGGCCCAGGGCGCCCACTGCTTACATCTAGTGTGTCCCACAAAGAGCAAGCGAGATGACTGTGGCTGTCCTGAAGGGGAAAGAGAGCCAGTAGGAAGTTAGGTCAGAGAGTACTGAGGGCCAGACCTTATAGGACTTTATGGGAGGCCCAGGAAGGGCTCTGACTTGTTTCCAGACAGCCTTTGGAAGATTCAGGGTGAGGCATGATGTGCATGACTGCCATGTCAGCCATAGACCATGAAGGACAAGAGTATCTGAATGGTGTTTGAGATGGCAGTTAGACACCCTCGAGGAGACTTCAGGTGGGCAGGGGGAAATACCCCACGGGTATCCATCCATTACACTCAACAAATAGTTACTGTTGGCCTACTCCATGCAGGGTCAGGAGTGGGAAGTTCAATTTCCATTACTCATTGGCAAGTCCAGGCCCTGGTCTTCTAGGAGGGAGGAAGATCCCTTTGGGGAAGGGCTTTGAGAATGGAGCCATCATCGTGGACACAGTGCCAACCTGTCACTTATGCGCACGGATGCACGCATGCACTCGTTTAACCCTCTCCCAAACTGGGGAAGATTGGTACCATTACCGTATTATCCTCAGCTCTTGAAGAAACTAGAAGTCTCCAAGAGTGGGAGGGCACAAGCTTAAGGCCACCAAGCTTGTAGGTGGCCGAGCAGGCTTCATCTACCCCTTTCTCTTCTTTGTGGCACTGCCTCTTGGGCATCAAGACCCAACGCCCCTCTCTGATCCTGTGTCTCCCAGCTGGGCTGCACCTTCCAGGGCTCTCACATTTCTGAGTCACCAGGGACTGTTCTAGCTCTAGAGACTTTGGGTAAACACAGTAGACATTAGTGGATCGTGGTTTGTTACGAAATGCAGAGGCTTCCGTGTTTTTCCTTCCATCCCAAATAAACAGCAGGGATGCTAATGAGCCCCCAAAAGGCAAGTGAAAATCCCTTTTCCCTGGGATTTTCCACAGCTTTGCGGTGAGGATGAGGGCCTCACCACGTGCTCAGGAGTGGGCTGGGTGCTCTGACCTCTTCCCTAGAGCTGTGTTTACTTTCAGAAAACTCAGGAAGGGCCTACAGATACTGCTTGGCTCGGGGTACTTGGCAAATGCTGGAGAACTCCACGGATATTTGGCAGGATGACTCCGAATGCTCCAAGGACCACAGCTCTGAACAGAATGTGAGTCTGCTTGGCCTAGTGATGATGGGCCCTGGGCATCTTCCTCAACCACCCTCCACCAGGGCCCCCCTGGTTGGCTCTGGGGGCCACACAAGGAGCCTCCCCCCACTGCTGGTCTGCCCCAGCCTCACCTGGGGAAGGTCCATGGTTGTGGGACAGTAACCTCTGGCAGCCGCTGAATTTCTTCTGCAGCAAGAGTGAAATAGGCACCCCTGAGGCTGCTCAGTTTCTCACCCCTGGCCAAATACTGGGGTGCAAAAGCATTTACATACCGTGGGTACTTAATAACTCCTGAGCGAATGGTTTCATGGAGACTGGGTCAGGGGTCTGTGCTGGGGTCTGGTCATCAGACTGGTATCTGGTGCCCCATTGATACTGATGTGCAGTTAAGGCTGGGGGCCCAGGTGATCACGGGGGACTCACCAGCAGGTGCAGGATGCCTGAAGCCTCCTCTGGGTTCAGGTCTGCAGGGACCCGAGGGACAGCAAATCAAAAGTCAAACCACTTCCCACCGGAAGTAAAGATTTCTCTCTTTAGAAAGGTGAGGACTGGGGCATTGCCTCCTCCCTTCTGCAAATAGCCATATTTCCAAGAATTCAAATATTTAAAAAAAAATCTCAAAAACATAAAAAAAAAAACAACAACTTCTGGCCATGATTGCCTGTGTTTCTAATAATGGATTGACATTTGGCCCAAAAAATGCTAGCGATAGTAGGTCTTTTCTCTTCAGAGTGCTGGTGAACAAAATATGTTCTTACGCCTCATCAGCTGGGGGTTCTTATGTACGATAAATGAGATTGTGTTTTAAAGAGATCGTATTTCTGTGTGTGTGTATATGTTTATAGTTTTAATATGTAGATTTTAATGATAAAACTCAGTTTTCCATATAGCATATTTCAATTGGTATATTTTTTAACATTTTATTTTGAGATATCCAAACACATAGGAAAGTTAAAAAGAATAATAAAATAAATATTCATGGACCCACTATCTAAAGTCAAAATGTATTAACATTCTTCCCCTCTCCCCCATTTGCTTTTGCTTTGTGTCTCTCTTTGGGAAATATTTGACAACGATTTGCAGGCATCATGAGATTTCATCTTTAAATATTATTCATCAGGTCCTTCCTAAGCAAAGACGTTATCCTACATAACTGCAATACTGTTATTTCAATTAACATCATATCAGCTAGTGCTTTATCCATATTCATTCAGATTTCCCCAGTTTTCCCCTCCAATTTTTTTTTTTTTTTAGCTTTTCTTCCCTGGACCAGAGTCTAGTCCAGGTTCACTTCAGTTATCTTTTAATCTAGAGTCTCCCTCACCATAGCCCATGATTGGCTTTTCGAAGACCCTCTGAATAACTTTGTTGCTATTAGACATATTCCTTCATCTTCTATGTTCCCTTAAGCTGGAAGTTGGGCTTAAAGGCTTGGTAAGACTCAATTTAATCCTCATGGGTGCTGTGTATACTGTATAGCATCACCCCAGGAGACCAAAATGTCAGGTGTCACACTACAATGATGTTGCGTGTGATCACTGGATGTTGGTAGTGACAGCCAGATCCCTCTATGATAGGTAGTGTCTCCTTTTCTGTCTGGTCAGTAATTGGTAGGATGCTACTTTGGAACTGTGTATGTGTCTTGTTCCCTAACAAACTTTTCTCAGTATTACAACTTTTATTGATGATGCTGACTTGAGTTGATTCGAGCTTTGTCATTTCTTCCATATCTACTAGAGGGCATTCTTCTGATAAGAAGACTCTTTCCCCTTCTTTTCAGTTTTCTATATTGCTATGAATTTACAAATTTCTTTATTTCCTTCCTCCTCTTCTCCTTCTCCTTTTCCTCCTTCTCCTCCTTTCTTCTTCTTCTTCTTCTTCTTCTTCTTCTTCTTCTTCTTCTTCTTCTTCTTCTTCTTCTTCTTCTTCTTCTCCTCCTCCTTCTCCTTCTCCTTCTCCTCCTCCTCCTCCTCCTCCTCCTCCTCCTCCTCCTCCTTCTTCTTCTTCTTCTTCTTCTTCTTCTTTTTCTTCTTCTTCTTCTTCTTCTTCTTCTCTTCTTCTTCTTCTTCCTTCTTCTTCTCCTTCTTCTTCTTCTTCTTCTTCTTCTTCTTCTTCTTCTTCTTCTTCTTCTTCTTCTCTTCTTCTTCTTCTTCTTCCTTCTTCTTCTTCTTCTTCTTCTTCTTCTTCTTCTTCTTCTTCTTCTTCTTCTTCTTCCTATTATTACTTTGATGCTCAGCGTTTTTCTAAATTTAACTAGTGAAATGCCTCCAAACTGGCTCTTGTGTCCTTTTGTGATAATCTCTCTGGTCTTGGAGCACTTCCTTATTTTCTGGCACAAGAAAATGGTCCAAGCTCATCTCATGATTTCCCTGTTCCAGGCCCAAATTAGCTATTTCTTCAAAGAGTTCTGGATTCTCTAAGTAGAGGAATGTTATTAGAAACCGAGATTTGAGTGCTAGGTATGTTCACTGCCACTACAACTAGATCCTAAGATCTTTGTAGTATATAGATTTAAGACATCCCTCGCCCCCCACCCCCACCCGCCAAATTTGCAGCACATTTTATCCTTAGACTATATCCTATGTTCAGAGTACTGTGTTCATAATTATTTGAAATAATTATTTTCTCCATGTGGTCACGTTATTGGTTGGATATACATTTTTATTCAGTTGTTTCTATTAATGTTAAGGATTTGCTTTCTCTTCTTTCTTTACTTTCTGTCTTTAAGTTTTTAAAAGATTTTATTTATTTGTTTGTGAGATATATAGAGCACAAGCAGAAGGAGGAACAAAGGGAGAAACAGATTCCCCACTGAGCAGGGAGCCCAACAGGGATCATGACTTGAGCTGAAGGCAGATGCTTAACTGACTGAGCCACCCAGGCACCCACTTAATTAAATTAAATTAAATTAAATTTAATTAATTTTTAAAGATTTTATTTATTTATTCATGAGAGACACACAGAGAGAAGCAGAGACACAAGGAGAGTGAGAAGCAGGCTCCCTGTGGGAAGTGTGATGTGGGACTCCATCTCAGGACCCCAGGGTCACGTCCTGAGCCGAAGGCAGACACTCAACCACTGAGCCACCCACGTGTTCTCCTTTAACTTTATTTTTAATAAATAAAATATTGACAGGGTTTGAAAGCCAAAATTATATTAAAAAGTACAGTCAGAGGGGCAGCCTGGGTTTCTCAGTGGTTAGCGCTGCCTTCAGCCCAGGGCCTGGTCCTGGAGACCTGGATCAAGTCCCGCGTCAGGCTCCCTGCATGGAGCCTGCTTCTCCCTCTGCCTGTGTCTTTGCCTCTCTCCCTATCTCTCTGTGTCTCTCATGAATAAATAAATAAAAATCTTTAAAAAAATAAAAAATAAAAAGTACAGTCAGAGAAACCACACTCCAATCACTGCCTCTACCCTATTCCTGCCTTCCCCCTACAGATAAACATTTTTATTATTTTCTGGCTTATCTTTTCCCTCTATTTCCTTCCCTTTTAATCAAATTATAATATACTTCTTATGTTTCCTTTTGCAAAACTAAGCAAATATTTGTTTTACCATTTTTTCCTATGTTGAAGGAAGTCTAACAGATACCTTATTTTCCATCTCACCTTTTTCACTTAGTAGCATGTCCTAGAAATTATATCAGTACCTACAAATATTTTTCTCTCCCTCTCTTTTTTTCTTTCACATCTACATAGTATTCCACTATGTGTTTCTACTATAGTTTTTCAGCCGCTCTCCTATAGCCAGTAGAGTTATTTCCGATCTCTTATCACTAATGATGCCACCTCGAATAACCTTGTATGCATATGTTGCTTCACATTTGTTAGGGTATATCTTTTGGAAGAATCCCAGAAATGGGATTGCTAGATTAAAAGATAGATACATATATAATTTTATTAAATATATTTTTTAAAGATTTTATTTATTTATTCATGAGAGACACAGAGAGAGGCAGAGACATGGGCAGAGGGAGAAGCAGGCTCCCTGTGGGGAACCCAGCATGGGACTTGACCCCAGGACAGACCCCAGGATCATGACCTGATCCAAAGGCAGACGCTCAACCACTGAGCCACCCAGGTGCCCCTGATTTTGTTAATTATTATCAAATTCCCCTCCTTAAGAGTTGTGCCATTTCCCCCCTCTCTTCAGCAGTGTATGAGAATGCCTATCTCCTCAGTCTTGCCTGGTACACGCTGATTATGAAGCATCGCATAAAGATGTGTAAATGACTTAAGATTCACCGGTTGGTACCGAGAGTGAGTTGTACAGCATCTGGGTGTTCTGAGGTCACTAGAGAAGTAACCAGATTTTATTGGAACTCTGAATGTAGATGGGAATTTAAGAAACTCCTCTGAAACAGTGCAATTAAAACAACTGTATATTGTTGCCCATCTCTTATCTCCTTGCCCTGACCAATTCAGTACACAATTGTCTAACTTCTTATCACTAGCTCACGCATTTCTTTGCTGGTTCTCTGGTTCTCAGAGCCCACTTAGTCCACAGAAGGGCAGGCCAGAAGCACCAAGGAATTAATGCCCTTGACCCTCCTACCCCACCACAGAACAGCCCTTAACCAATGACTGGCAGGAATAGGTATGTAAATGTCCAGCTCCCTCAGTCTTAGAGTGGCTAACTCTGAGGTTTCCAGCATTTCCCCATGGGGAAATGGGATTAAGCTCCAGCTGCCTAAAGTAGTAGCTGCCTTGATAACACACCATTTATTTTTCCTAGCTTCTCCTTTCCCCTACTAATGGTTTGTTCACTTTCCATGTAAAGTACTTGCATTTCAATCCTCCTTTCAGGATCTGCTTTGGTGGGGACTCAAGCTAAAACATAGACAAATAAAAACCAAGCAATTCCCCTAGTTTGTTTCCAGAAAGCATAAAACATGGACATGTTTTTAAAAATAATAATTCAGAAACAGATGATTAGGTTACTTAATTAAATGTGTTAAGCTTATATAGCCAATAAAATAAATGATGTTCAAATGACTCATGAAAGTCTTAATATGCCACCTGAATCATCTATTTAAAGAAATCATTCCACTCTGTGTGAAGAAACACTAAACATGTCTCTGCTTTCAAGATATCTATAGTCGGGATCCCTGGGTGGCGCAGCGGTTTAGCGCCTGCCTTTGGCCCAGGGCGCGATCCTGGAGACCCGGGATCGAATCCCACGTCGGGCTCCCGGTGCATGAAGCCTGCTTCTCCCTCTGCCTATGTCTCTGCCTCTCTCTCTCTCTCTCTCTCTCTCTCTCTCTCTCTCTCTCTCTCTCTGTGACTATCATAAATAAATAAAAAAATAAAAAAAAGAGTTGGAGGCTGAAAATAAATAACATAAAATAAAAAAAAATAAAAAAAGATATCTATAGTCAATCTAGAAATACAAAACAAATGCAAACAACACATTAATGAATAATATAACTGATGCCCCAATTTGTTGAAACAGACCACAAGTGCTTTGGGAATTCAGAGTTGACAGTACACAGAGAAGCATTTATGGAAGACTTCTTTTAAGAGGAAAATTGATGCTGGTTTTAGAAGGATAGATTTAGTTAAGTTGAAGAGAGACCAACAAGAGAAGTTAGAGTCCTGACAGGATTATAGAGCTCTTGATGGGGTCCATAGAAAATAATTTCAGATAGAAGTATGGTTGAGCTTGATTTAGAAAGATTCAAAGGCTACACAGAGATTTCTGCACCCAGGCCACCATTACAAGAAATGTTAAAGTCCTTAACATAGAAAGACATACATGTCATATGGAAATTTTTTTATCAATGTAGAGGAATGTAGAGCACCAGAAATAGTAAATATGAAGGTAAACTTTTTTTTAATCTTATTTTAAAAATATTTTAAAAGATATGAGTAGTTAAAGTAAAAATAGTAACAATGTATTATGGGGTCTAATATAAGTACAAGAAAAATGTGTGACAATCACACAAAGGCCAGGATGAGGGCCATGGCAGTATGATAAGTTAAAGATATACTGTAAATATTAAAGCAACCAGTAAAAAGCAAAACAAAGAGGTATAGCTAGTAGGTCATGGAAGGAAAAATGGAATAAAAAATATGCTCAAACCAAAATAAGGAAAGAGAACAAAGAAAAGTTGGGACAAAGAGAAAACCAAGGTATTTAAATGCAATCAAATAAGTAATCATATTAACGTAAATGATCTAAACATCCTAATTAAAAGAGGTTGTCAGATGGGATTAAGAAGATAAAACAAGGGGTTAGCCCCTGTGGCTCAGCAGTTTAGCGCCGCCTTCAGCCCAGGGCGTGATCCTGGAGACCCGGGATCGAGTCCCACATCAGGCTGCATGGAGCCTGCTTCTCCCTCTGCCTGTGTCTCTGCCTCTCTCTGTCTCTCTCTGTCTCTGTCTCTCTCTCTCTCTGTGTCTCTCATAAATAAATAAAATCTTAAAAAAAAGAAGAAGAAGAAGAAGAAGAAGAAGGGGGATCCCTGGGTGGCTCGGCGGTTTAGCGCCTGCCTTCGGCCCAGGGTGTGATCCTGGAGTCCCGGGATCGATTCCCGCATCAGGTTTCCTGCGTGGAGCCTGCTTTTTCCTCTGCCTATGTGTGTCTCTGCCTCTCTCTCACTGTGTGTCTCTCATGAATAAATAAAGAAAATCTTAAAAAAAAAAGATAAAACAAAATAAAATCCAACTGTATTCTGTCTACAAGACCCAGACAATTGATTTTTGACAAGAATGCCAAGGCAATTTTGTGGGGGAAAGAATAATCTTATTATTCTATACAGCACCAGAGCAATTGGATACCAAAAAAAAAAAAAAAAAAAAGCAAAAACAAAAACAAAAACTGAACATCAACCCTTGCCTCACACTATGAAGAAAAATGAACTAGAAATGGATCATAAACCTAAATTTAAGAGCTCATTTTATTAAACTTCTAGGAAGAAATCATAGATGAAAATATGAAGGGCCTTGGTCAAGTAAAGATTTTAAAATAAAATACAAAAAGCACAACTATATAAAAAATTTGACAAATTGAACTGTATCACAATAAAAAACTTCTGCTCTTCTAAAGACACTGTTAAAAAATAAAAAGCCAAGCCCCAGAATGGGAGAAAATGCTTGCAAAACACTTATTTGGCAGGAGATTTATACCTATAATATATAAAGAACATTTACAAATCAAAATTAAGACAAACAATCCAATTTAAAAGGTGGCCAAATATTTGAACAGACACTTTACCAAATAAGATACACAGATGGCAAATAAGCACACTAAATGATTCTCAACATCGTTAATCATTAGAGAAATGCAACTTAAAACCACAGTAAGACATTACTACATACCCAATAGAATGGCTAAAATTTAAAAGACTGATTATATGAAGTGTTAGTAGATTCCAGAGCAGCTGGAACTCCTAATCCACTGCTGGTGGAAACATAAATTGATATAACTTATTTAGAAGACAGTTTGGCAGTTTCTTAAGAGGTTAAAACATACACCATACTACCCCACCATTCTATTATTAGATATTCCTTTGAGAGAAATTAAAAACCTATGTCCACGTAGACTCATGCAGAAATTTTCATTTTTATTTGTGAAACCCAGTCTCTGAAAACAACTCAAATAAATGTACATTAACCTCAAAATAATTATTTCAAGGGAAAGAAACCTGATAAGAAAGAAGAAAGATAGAAAGAAAGAAGAAAGAAAAAAACAAATCATAGGATTCCATTTATATGGAATTAAATTTTTAAAATTTAAAATTTTAGAAAGTGAAAATTTTAAATTAAAATTTAAAATTAAAATTTTAGAAAGTGAAAATTAATCTCTATGACAGAACACCAACCAATGTTCACTTGGGCATAAGATAGTGGGAGAGAATGAGAGGATATATATTATAAAGGGTCACAAGGAAACTTTTGGGAGGTTATGAAAATGTTCATTATCTTGAATGCAGTGATGAAATCACAGATATATTCATGTCTAAATTCATCAAGTTTTATTCTTTAAATATGTACAGTTTATGGCACGCCAGGCATGCTTGAATAAAGCTGCTAAGAGTGTTATGTGGAGAAGCGTAAGCCATGATTTAGCAGGTAATACATATTTGCTGTGAGTCCTTGAACAAAAATGTATTGAGAAACGTAATCTTGATGGCGAGTAGCATGATGAATTGGGTAAGAAGGTGGGATTCCGCTGGAAAATCGCAACAACACAGACTTTCCAGAAAATTACCCTCTGTTCACAATCAGGCTATCCTGGGACTCGAGAAAATATCCTATGTTTTATGGGGTCTTCACCTAAGTGGTCAGGCATGAAAAATTATTTTAGGAGGGATCCAGGTGAAAATCTGGCCCCATCTTCCAGAGAGAGGGACTCCTACACTCTAGGGACAGCACACTCAGGGACAAGGAAACCTGTCCTCCTTTCTAAGGCACTCACTTGTTCTGGACACAATTCTTCCATAATACTGTGAATTTTGAAGCATCGATGCTGGGCTGTAGGACCAGCCATGGAGGTGAGACCTCCCTAGTGAACATTTCAGTCCATCAAAGCTCTTTAGCCTCTGAGATGTGCCAGAGAGCAGTCTAAGCTACCCTAAGCTACCCTTGGGTGTCAACAAGGCTATCGTGCATGCCTAGACCCTTGTCGTCCTGGTCATGGAGCTGGGGGGTGGAGATCATAGCTGTCTAACTTGTGGTCAGAACTGCTCTTTGTCTGTGCACAGGTGGAGCACCATGCCTTGTTGTCGACTTTGCAGCTGTTGTACACTGTGGGGTACTCTCTCTCCGTCATCTCCCTCCTCCTGGCACTCACTCTCCTCTTGTTTCTTCGGTGAGTGGAACTCATGCCTGCACATCTTCAGGTGCCTGGGATTTGCTCATTGGCTCCCTCTAGAAGGCAGAAGACTGGGCTGGCTGATGTCATGGCCCATCAGAGCTGGAAGGGATCTGAGAGAGTCTCTGGTCCATCAACTCCATTTTGCAGGTGGAGGGGGAAAGGATATCAGAGGTCCAGTGAGAGCAGGATATGAGAGGTCCCTGTCAGTTACAGAGTACAGCTGGAACTGGAATCTGGGATTCTAAACTCTACTTTAGGCTCTTTGGGATCAGATAACCTCCTGTCTACCTTGTCCTACCAGAGGCATGAGTTTTAGAAAAGAGATTAAGAAACTTCCCCAAAGCAAATTAGTGTGAGAGAGCTGGGATTTTAATCCAGGGCCCACAGACTCCAATTAGCTATCAATCATTTGCATGCTTCCTCAGTGCCAGACACTTTTCTAAACACGTTACATGTAAGTCATTGAAATTTCTTCCTAATCGGATTTATGGTTAATTCTAATCCTAGGAGATTAGCATTATCATCAGCCTCAGGTTATTTTTAAAGATTTTTTAAAATTTATTTATTCCTGATTGAAAGAGAGAGAGAGAGAGAGAGGCAGAGACATAGGCAGAGGGAGAAGCAGGCTCCACGCAGGGAGCCTAACGTGGGACTTAATCCTGGGACTCCAGGGTCATGCCCTGAGCTGAAGGCAGACGCTTAACTGCTGAGCCACCCAGGTGTCCCAGCTCTGTTTTGTAAATGAGTTGACTGAAATTTGGAGAGATCAAGTAACTTGTCCAATGGCATGCAGCTGGTGAATGATGGTGGCGGGCTGGCAACCAGGCAGTTCAGAGACTGAGCATTTCCATTTCCTTACGTTGTTACTCAGAATCCAAAGCCTGAGTGCATTTTGCTAATCATATTTTTAGAAATCACCCAAGTGAGATATTTATGAATCCCCTAGGGAGCCCTCTGAGGGCTCTCGGCCTTCATTCAGCAAAGTAACTGAATACAATGTGGCAGAATGAGCATTCGTTGCAGGAGGTCTAGATGCGCACTCTGGGGGATTGAATGCTAGCTCCAGAACAGATTCCCACCTGGGCTCCTCTAGCCCCAGGTCTGGCTCCTTAATCCCAGGATATTCTATGGCTCCTAGAGCAGAATCATGACCCTATGCCCCATCCAGAGACCAATTCTTGAGCAGTGGAAGAATTCTAGAAACTGTACCCTCTGCTATCCATGACCTCCTCCACTCACCTTCCCAAAGTGCCAGAAGCAAGCCCAGAGGAAATAGCTGCCCAGCCCTGGAGTAAGTTACTTTAGCTAAGCCTGGGTTGACCAGAGGACCAGAGGTCAACCTCAGCTCCACCACTTCTCTAGGACTTTGGACAGCTGACTCAACCCCTTTGCCTCAATTTCTCAATTTTTACTCAATATTTACTCAATATCAAATGTCAGTATTATCTCCATTTTCCCAATGAGGGAAATGAGGCACGGATAAAATCACATAACCCAGTCATGCAGCTCTGGAGTCTATACCATGAATGCCTGCCCTCTAGTGATAGTTGCACAGGTGTTTCAGGCACACACCTGTCAGTCTGAACCGTTCTTTCATGAGGGAAGACACCTGCTTTTCTTCTTCCTGCACAGAAAGCTCCACTGCACACGCAACTACATCCACATGAACTTGTTTGCTTCTTTCATCCTGAGAGCCCTGGCTGTGCTGGTGAAGGATGCCATCTTCTACAACTCTTACTCCAGGAGGCCCAACAGTGACAAAGAGTGGATGTCCTATGTGTCCGAGGTATGTCCCTCCCTACCATAGCCTCTCACTTGGCAGATCAGTACTGGGAATCTTGCGGTGGGAAGGTGGGGCTGGGAAGGGGAAGGGGGTGTCAAGGGCCTTCTGGTTAGAGAGGCATCATTTGACTTTAAAACAAATCCCAAAAACCAAACCAAAAAGCCCCCCCAAACCTCCCAAGAGTGGGGCAGGTAAAAGACGTCAGCATAGAAGAGTCCACTACAGGGCTACTGTGTGCACTTGGGTGGGAAATTTCTTCATCTGTGAACAAAAGAACTGTACAGATGAGCCTTTATTATTAATTATTCTTTATTATTATCATTATCATTATTATTGCAATTTTTAAAAGCAGCAAAGCTTTTCCACATTGAAATCTGCTTCTGTTGGGATGCTTTTTCCTTTATCTTATGAATAATGATTATAGTAACCTGTTAAATTAACCTGGCTTTCTTGGAATAAATACAACTAGGTTCTGATGTATTACTCTTTTCCCTAAAATGCTGGATTCATTAGCTGATGCTGTGTTCTCTTTAGCATTCTCTCATCTGCACCTGTGAGGAAGTTTCTTTTCTTCTGAAAAAGATGATAAAGTTTATGCTGACCTCTTAAAACAAATTAGACTTGTTACCTCTTTCTCTATTCTCTGGAAGAATTTAAGATGGGTATTTTTCTTTCTTACATATTTCATAGATCACTCCAGTGAAGCCTTTGGAATCAGAGTTTTCTTAATTGGAAGGCTTTTAACTATGCACTAGTTTTGACTTGTATTCAGGTTCTCTGTTTATTCTGGTGTCAATTTTAGTAACTTGACTTTTTCTAGGAATGCATGTACTTCCTCTAACTTTTCAAATTTCTTGCCATAATACTGTTCATAGTTTCTTAAGATCTTTTTAAGGTCTGTTGCAGCTTTGGAGGTATTGCTTTTTGCATCCCTGATATTGATTATTTATACCTTCATTTTCTTTTTTACCCTCTTGATCATCCTCACCAGATGTTTTTTGGTTTTACTAGACAAACTGTAGAATGAAATTTTAGGATTGTTGATTACGTTTATGTGGTCTGTTTCATTAATTTCTACTTTTATCTTTATGCTTTCCTGCCAGGTTTTTTCTTTTTTTTTTCCCCCCTCAAATATTTTATTTATTTATTCATGAGAGACAGAGAGAGAGGCGGAGACATAGGCAGAGGGAGAAGCAGGTTCCCTGTGGGAGCCTGGTGTGGCACTCGATCCCAGGACCCCGGGATCATGCCCTGAGCCAAAGGCAGATGCTCAACCACTGAGCCACCTAGCTGCCCCTGCCAGGTCCTTTCTTTAGGTTAAATCTGCTGCTCTTTTTCTGATATGATAGTTAGGGTAATTGATTTTTCAGCTTGTTTCTTTTTTTAATTGAGTCATTTAAGGTTGTAGGTTTTACTCTAGGTGTGGTATTAGCTGCACACCACACCTTTTGATATGTAGTATTTTCCTTTCATTCAGTTCAAAAATAAGTTCTAATTTTTATCATTATTTCCTTTTTTTGGTTCACAGGTTATTTAGAAATTATTTCTTCCTTTCCAATCATATGAAGATTTTTTTTTCTTTTTTTTTTTTAGTTTCTAGTTGATTTGAACTAAGATCAGAGAACATACCTTTCAGTGTTTCCTTTTGGGAAATTGCTGCTGGTGCATTCTCTTTATTTTTGTTTGTCTACACAAATCTAGAAGGTCAAGGAAGAGGCTGGGCTCTGAAACCTACAGAAAGCCCTCCCTTGCATTTTGGTATTGTTGCCAGCCTTTCTGAGACAGTAAGCAAATTTGTGTGGTGAGACAGGGAAGAGAGAGGGCTGTACATGGGGAGGCCCTTCTCCACCCTCTTGGGTCCATATGAGAAGGTCTGGCCTCACCCTCGGGTGCTCTGTCCTTCACAGATATCTGCCTCCTGCCGCTCGGCTCAGGTCCTGCTGCACTACTTCGTGGGTGCCAATTACTCATGGCTGCTGGTCGAAGGCCTTTATCTGCACACGCTGCTGGAGCCCACAGTGCTCTCTGAGAGGCGGCTGTGGCCCAGATACATGCTGGTGGGTTGGGGTGAGTGACCTGAACCCCCAGCCTCTTCTCCTAGGGGCCCATCAGAACATAGGAGCTTGATAGAACCTTTGGTTTCCCAGCTGGAGGGAGCATCTGGGACAGATAACTCTCCAGTGAAAAGATACTGATGAAAGGGGTGTGTGTGTACATGTACAGATACAAATAAGCACTATAGACCGAATGCATACTTTCAAAAATCAACAAGCTTTTTTGTACAATTAGATGCTCTCCCTCCTACCCTGTCCCCAGCTGTAGTGATCTGCTCAGGCTGCCATAACAAAATGCCATAGACAGCATGGCGTAACCAACAGACATTTATTTCTCACAGTTATGGAGGCTGGGAAGTTTGAGATCAGAATGCCAGCATGGTTGAGTTCTGGTGAGGGCCTCTTCTTTTGCAGACAGCCGCCTTCTCACTATAGCCTCACATGATGGAGAGAGAGAGAGAGAGAAAGCAGGCTCTAATCCCATCATGATGACCAATACCACCCCCACCTTCCAAACCTAGTTACCTCCAAAGATCCAGCCCCCAATGATCATCACATTGAGGGTTAGGGCTTCAACATGGGGTTGGAGCAGAGGACACAAACGACACAAAAACGTCAACTCAGTCTTCAAGACGGGGTCTGGAACCCCTGTTGCCACAAACTCTTGGAGAATGTGAGGCTCTGCAGGATTCAGAAGAAATACCGGTGGCCTACCATTTGGGAGATTTGGGTGAATGTTTTGGATTTACTCTGAGCTGCTTTGCAACATGTGGCAGGTGTTTTCTCCTCTCTGCTTCCTGGTTTGCCTGACGGTAAAACAACAGATGGGTTCTGTGTCACCCTAAGTCTCTTCAGCTCTCAGCCTGCAGTTCTGTGATATTTGGGCTTTTATACGTTTTTACCAGATGGTTTTGGCTCATCAGGGTGGGGTGGGAGGCAGGCAGGTTTGGCCAATCAGATCCTAACTGCATTTCCCTGTTTTCTTCCCCCAGCCTTCCCGCTGCTGTTTGTTGTACCCTGGAGTATCACCCGTGCACAGCTGGAAAACACTGGGTAGGAAATTCACCCGCTCACACATTTCCATGAGCCAGGAATTCCAAGATATGCCCAAATACAAGGATTGACACCATTTTCCCAAACAAAATATCCATCCCCTTCTGTTTTGGCCATCTAGAATATACTTAGACCTGTAGATAAAATAATCAAAGACCTTTCTTGTAATATTTAGTTTGTTAGCTTAGTTACACATGCAAGTTAGCACCAAATTAGCTCAAATTAAGACACAAAAAAGTCACTGCATGGGGTGGCGATGACCTTCAGTATGTAAAGATATGGGTACAATATTGGTTAATGTGTCATTGTTCACAGTGGGATGAAGAGGAAGCAAACTGAAATGGGTGAAGGTGGTCATAAGGCACAAACTTCTAGCTATAAAATAAATAAGTCCAAGAGATATAAAGTATAACATGGAGACAGCATGGTGAGTTAATAATACCCTGTTGTATATTTGAAAAGTGCTAAGAGAGTCTGTTTTAAAAATCCTTATGGCAAGAAAAAACATTTGTAACTATGTGTGGTGATAGACGTTAACTGGGCTTATTGTGGCCCAGTTAACATCTTGCCAAGATATATACAAATATCAAGTCATTATATTGCACACCTGAAACTAAGATGGTGTTAAATATCCGTTATATCTCAATTAAAAAAAAAACCCAAAACAAAAACAAAATGCCTGAGCATCCACTAATATGGGAAACCATGAACAAATTGTGGCATGCCTATATGGTGGAGCTTTATGGAGACTACTAAAAAACCAGGTTGGTTCCCCATCATTTGGTTTCTAGGGATTGAATCTCAACAGCACATTGGTAAGCCTGCTGCCCACAACGTATATCGCGTGACCCTATTTCCCCCCTTCCAAATAATCACTACCAAAACATCCCATATGTGTAATTAATAATTTATTTTTGTATGAACTTGAAGAAAAGCGTGGAAAGTCCCATACCATGTTGTTTGCATTCAAAGAACACTTTACCATTAAGAAAAGTTGATGGTACCATACGAATAGGAGGGGGTTGTAATCTTGTTTTATTTTCTCTCTCCCACCCCCAGGAGAATCACGGGTGGGAAGTCTTAAGTATGAGCACCCTTTTTCCAGAGGGCATGAGGCTGTTCATTCAACCATGTCTCTGGTTTTGTTTTTTAAAGATTTTATTTATTTATTTGACAGAGGGAGAGAGAGAGCACAAACAGGGGAAGCAGTAGGCAGAGGGAGAAGCAGGCTCCCCACTGAGCAGGGAGCCCAGTGTGGGCCTCGATCCCAGAACCCTGAGATCGTGACCTGAGCCAAAGGCAGATGCTTAACCAATTGAGCCACCCAGGTGCCCTCGTGTCCCTGTTTTAAGTCTTCTCCTGCCCACTCTTTGCCATAGGTGCTGGGTAACCAATAGAAATAAGAAAATCTGGTGGATCATCCGAGGGCCCATGCTGCTTTGTGTAATGGTAAGGACCATTCCCACTCCTGCTTCTTCCTCCCTGAGCATGTTAGCTGTGGGGGACCCCGCTCCCCCTCCCCTGCCACCCAGCAGAATTCTCTGACTCAGAGTGAGCCTGGGCCAGTTCACTTGAGAAAAGGGGTGGTCGAGAGTTGTGAGCAGGGTGTGTTGAACGAGAAGGAACAAGTTAGAAGCTTATCCTTGCTCTGGTTCGGGACTCCAATGCAGGGTTGTACCACAGGCCTCCTTCTCCCTGGGGCCTCATGCTGTATACAGAAACCTGTAACCAGCTCAGTGACGCTGTATGGGACTAAAGAGACTCATCCTGAGACTCAGGCTCCCCCTCTCCCCCACCCTGCCGTGAGCATCCTTGTTACCACAGCTGGGCTTCTCCCACCTCCCCCAGACTGGGTCTGCATCCATGGATCAGCATCAGGGCTGATGTGAATGAACGCTATTCGGGGTTTCCAGACATAACAGCTGATTTTATCTGCTGCCCTCTTGACTTTCTCTCTGTTTCAGAGATAACAATGTAACAATCCCGAGAGTCCAGATGCTCTGGTCTTACATGAGGTGTAGAAATTGGAGAATTCACATCTTCTTCAGGATATAAGGCTCCACTACTTAAATTAACCTGTTACCCTTGGGTGCACATTTAGAATAGAACCATCCCAGAATAAGATAGATTCTTATATCCTAGTCTCCTCTGCTCCCAATAGAAAATCCATAAAGCTTTGATTAGTCCAAACCTTCATGGACAGCCTTACAAAATACGTACACTATGCAGGATTGTTCTATCCACACCGTAATTCCTGGAGATAACGGATCAACCAAATTGAACACGCAGCTGAACGCTTTTTTTTTAGCCAATGAATTGAATGAACCATCTGTTGACTTTATGAAGTTACAAACTCAGATTCCTTCATTCGTTCCTACTGAATCTCCTCTGATAACTCCAGGACTTGGCAAAGTTGAAAAGTCTGTAAAATTAGTCTTCACTGGTATTGTCCGTTTTTAGATCTTCTGTTTCACCAGGGGCCCAGGGGCTTTCTGTGTCTCCCAAACATCTCATTTTCATAGTTCCCTCCTCTAAAAGTTGCAGTGGGAATCTCTCCATACCCTGTGCTTTCCTACCCCCTTATACCTTAGCTTTGCTGCATCCCATCTTCTGCTTCCCATGGTGAAAGTGGGTCAGATCATAAGTAGTGACTGAATTACTCATTGTTGTAAAAATGAGCAAATGGATGAATAATAGATGGAAAAAGGCCCTCCCCCCCACACACACAAGTGTTCCTATCGACTGTGTGATGTGTGCACTTCATCAGGGTTCTGGGGATGAAGTATTTTAATCCTAAGGAGCAGCTCTAATGATAGACATTTTAGTCCACACAGCAGGCCAGGTGAAGAGGGGACAGGGGTAGGTGGAGAAGTTTAGGGGTAAATGAAGCTGACTTCTGAGCCCCCTACCATGTTAGCAATTGCCTCTGTCAGCCTCTAAGGGAGGCAATTGCCTCCCAGACCTAAGCACAGGAGCTGGGGTACCAAAGAAGTGTCACCAGGAACATGGTATCTGATAATGCATTCTGCACTGTCTAGGACCTGAAAGGGAGCCTTACATATTTGGGGTCCTGGGTCCCCATTCTCATCACAGAATCTAAGAGGAGTTGGCTGCATTCTTAAAAAATTTCCTCACTCAGTCTCTTTTCCTGCTTGTGCACAAATGAAGAACAGTGTCATCCAAATGGGCCTGCTGACTCTTGTCTTGTGGGATGCCTCGGTGAGCACAGGCTCCATGGTCAACCAGGCTGATGTTTCATTCCGTGGCATTGAGGAGCCATCTGGCCCATTGGTTGATGCCCATTTTCTCATGTCTGGTCCCTGGAAGACACAAAAAACAGAAAATCCACATGCTCCTCATCACAACTCTTCATTTCCTAGGGTACAGTCCCAATTGAAATTAATTTGCTGAAATAACGTTCCTTTCCCCGGTTCAACTTACTTTGTGAGAAAAATGCCTGACTTCAACAAATCACTAAGCCAAGGACACAACGTTTTCTCTTTGTGAGGAAAAGCAGATATCCCATTAAAGAAATAAATTACTTGGTTGCATTTAGCTTGTATTTAAGTGTTCTGTTACTAAATACTCTTTGGCTGGGAAGCTCCATCATTCCTGCTGGCTGGTGGATTGGATAAATAGTAGTCTCTTGCCTGAAACTGTAGTCTGTTAGTTTTGAGCACTGATTCTCCTGGGCTTGATAAGGCGAGTCACAAGAGGTACAGGTTGGATTCTGCAGCTTTTGTTTCACTGTGTGTTTCCAGGGTTTTATTTCCAGGCAGGAGGCATTGGTCTTGTGCTGGCTCAGTGTTAGTGGAGACTTTCCGCCGTTAATGATCACCCAATCTCCAACTCTACTGGCTCTTTCCTCATCACCTGGAGGCATTCTCAACTCTTTTCTGTTTTAAAAACAATATCAGAGAGGGTGACAGAACATGAGAGATTCCTAACTCTGAGAAACGAACAAGGGGTGGCAGAAAGGGAGGTGGGCGGGGGATTGGGGTGACTGGGTGACAGGCACTGAGGGGGGCACTTGATGGGATGAGCACTGGGTGTTATGCTATATGTTGGCAAATCAAGTGCCAATAAAAAATATATACAAAAAAAGTTAAAAACAACAACAACAACAACACAACTGTTGGGTAGCATGGTAGCGGTTTAGCTCTGCCTTCAGCCCAGGGTGTGATCCTGGAGACCCGGGATTGAGTCCCAAGTCAGGCTCCCTGCATGGAGCCTGCTTCTCCCTCTGCCTGTGTCTCTGCCTCTCTCTCTCTCTCTCTCTCTCTCTCTCTCTCTCTCATGAATAAATAAATAAAATCTTAAAAGAAAAGAACAACTGTAACCCCAAACCTCTTCCAGCCCTGCATGTAAAAGAGGGGAGAGACATTGTCCTCATTCTGCATCCCTTGTCGATTACTGTTCTATCATTCTGCTTCCCTTCACAGCCAAGCCTCTTCAATATCATCTACCTCTTCACGTCTAGCTCAAAAAGCAAAGCATTGCGATCTGGCTCATGCTGCCACCTGTGACGTGCACCTTTTCTCAGCTTCTTGTTGCTAAATGCAGTCTTAGTTTGCTTAAATTCCATGTAGTGTTCATCTTCTTAAATTCTTACAGCCGTGAGCTTCCAGGACACCACTTCCTTGTGATCTGCTCCAACTGCCCTGGCTACTCTTTCTCCATCTCTTTTCCTGCCTCCATTTCCTTTCATCACAAGGTGAGTCTCTTACTTAACCCTTTATTTCTTTCAGTCTACCCTGCCTTTCTGGACGATCTCACCTCCTCCAGTGCTGGCTCCATGCTCCAGCTGGGACTTCTCTGCTGAAATCCAGACATAAATATCTCACTGCCTTGGGCCATCTCTTGTGTCCACAGTAACTAGAGCTCTCCTCATCCCTCTGCACCTGCTCTCCCTCCTTCATGTGCTCACTCTCAGTGAATGACACGACAGCACACTTGAGATCTACTGAGAAACTTTGGATCATCTTTGACCTCACATCCAACCACTAACAAATTAGGCCATTTGACTCAAACTCCTTAAGACTTTCAAATCCATCTCATATTCCCCATTGCTGATGCACCACAGCTGTGGCTTTATACCACCTCTCCATCATTCTTTCCTGTCTCCCCTACTCTGGCTTTGCCTTCCTCCAATCCATAATCCCCACAGCTGTTGAAATGATCTTTCTGAATAGAAATACAAATCTGATCAGGTAACTCTCCTGCTTGAGATTCATCACTGGCTCTCCATTGCTTTCGGAAGGAAACCCAAACTCCTCTGTGTGACCTTGAAAGGCTCTGCAGGCGCTGGTTCTCTCCCACCCACCCCCACTCGGTCTTACTCTTCACAAATCTCATTCTCATTCTCCAAGCCCTCAATCACTTGCCCTTCTACTTCTCCAAGAGCCTCACAGTGTCTCATGGGGTTGCTGTTAAGGTGTTGGCCAGAGCTGCAACCATCTGACGGCTTGACTGGGGCTGGAGAATCAGCTTCCCAGGTGGCTCATACATATGGCCGGCAAGTGGTGTTAGTTGTTGGTAGGAGGACTCAGTTCCCCAAGGTGGGTCTCTCTGCAGGCTACTTGAGTGTTCTTTCAACATGGTGGCTGGCTTTCCCCAGAGAAAGAGAGAGAGAGAACCAGGTGGATGCCATCTTTTTGAGGACCTACCCTAAGAAGTCACATAGCCTCACTTCCACCATATTCTTTTCATTTGATGTACATAGCTAAGCCTTGCTTACATCTCAGAGGGAAAGAGGGAATTAGGCTCTGCCTTTCTAAGGCAACAGTGCTGAAGAATTTGCAGACATATTTAAACATTTCTACCAAGGCTGACAATGAAGGGTCGAACTATCCCAGCCCATGACAGGTGTGGAATCCATTCTAGGGAAAGGAGAATATGTGCTTTCCAATAAACTCCATGGCAGCAAGAAGACCTCAAGTTAGACATCAGTAGGGCTGCAGTTCTTTACAGAAGGAAGGCTGTTTACATGAAGAAAAGATGATTTTCAGGTAAAGCTGTTTTTAGTACCAGCTCAGTCACTTGCTGTGTGTGCAACTTTGGGAACTGTACTGGTCTCTTCCATGCCTCTTGTATCTCCCATGCCTCTCCTTTTTCTCATTGTATCATGACATAAAAACAGTGTGGCTTTTCAGAATATTATTGTGAAGATTAAATGAAATAATACATGGATGTGTTGACATGGCCTTTGGAAGAGTGGGGATGGCCACGAGCATGTACTTCCTGAATGGTCAACTGCCACATTTCCCCTGGCTTACATGGACAAGGACCCAATGGCCAGGCTCAGGGTGACCTTGATATTCATAACCATGTGGAGTCTATATCACTTATTAACCCATATCTACTTTTTTCCCCAAGGTCAATTTCTTCATCTTCCTGAAAATTGTCAAGCTTCTCATTTCAAAGCTCAAAGCCCATCAAATGTGCTTCAGAGATTATAAATACAGGTGAGTGGCCTGAGGTCAGCACTCGATGGTCCAAGATTATTTTGACCCCTTCAGGCTGTTCTGGATAATGTTCTGGGGGAGGGGCATGAGCTATATCGATATGTCTGTTTCCCAAGATGAGCGTATCAAGAAAGGAACCTCTGAAAAAGGTGTCATGGGGTCATGCAAGGCTTTTACCACTGTTGAGGACCTTCTGGCCCCACGGACATGAAGTGAGTGGTCAAGGGTACGCACATTCCCCGCAGCAGAGAACTTAAAATGCCCCTAAGAGTGGATGGTAGAGCCATTTGGTTGAGCCAAAGAGTGGCTCTAAGGGTAAGGATTTTAGTCCACATGGCAGGTCATAGGCAGAGGTGTGAGTGAGGATGGGTGGAGCTCTGTTTCTCTCTCACTAACACTAAAATTGGACCTGACCCAGGTGTGCTGGGAAGGTATTTTTTCCAGTTATCTGACGAATATTTAATGAACACCTACCATGTGCCTGGACTTGTGCTTGGAACAAAAGAAAGATAGTATGTGGGCCCTGTCTGCAAGAAGAACATTCCAACTCCCAATAACTAGTATTTTGGTGCGAACATATGTCAAGAGGGCTGATGCTGGCCATGATCCCAGATCTGCTGAGTGACCTTGGGCAACATACTTGGCCTCCCTGGGCCTAATTTCTTGTGTGTAAAATGGGAATGTCACAGGAGACCCATCTCTTGCTTGTTAGGAAGACCAAAGAAGCTCATAGATGTGGGTTCTCAGTCTAATTGGTTGTGTGAGTAGTCTTTGCCCAGGATCCAGACCCCAAATCCTATCTACCTAAAACCCTTCTTCTGGGAGTTCCCAAAGGATATAAACACGTATGGTTCACCACTGACAAATATATGCTATAATTGGCCCAAACATTTTGCAACTCACCCTCTCATCCTGAAGGCACTTGGGCTGGCTTGGACAACACAGAACCATGCCGACTTTCTTGGCGCCTCTGGTGGAGAACTCTAAGTGGCTCAAAGCTTCTTTGGCTCTTCTCCCAAGGCTGAGCCTCTAACTGCTCTCTGAGGGTGGAGATCTAAAACCATGGTTAGAGCTGCTCTAGTCTTCCCATCATGGGTCCATTCAGGGAGGGCAGGCCTCTCACTAACCAGGCACAGGGGACACTGAGGCATCTGGGAAACCCGACAGAGGACGGCACTGCCCAGAAACAGAAACAGGGAGTAGACAAATCCCAAGACACCACTTTCCATGCAGACTGAGAGTCTACACCCTGCTTTTTTCTGCCCTCAAAGCCCACCATGTACCATTGTGGCTTCCCATGCTCCAAACCCATAGGGTCCCCTAAAGAAGCTTTCCATTCTAGCTGCTTATAAGCATCACCTGGCAAGGCAGCCAAAAGCATGGACTCATGAGGTCTTCCACTGGGTATTCAGACTCAGTAAATGTGGAATGAAGCCCTGTTACCTGGACTTCTTATGGACTTCCCCCAAGATATTTTGATGCAGAGTGCAGGACACTGGGTCAGATGCTGTAGTGAAATAACCCATGGAGTTTTCAGGTTGGGCCATAGCATATATGCTTTGAAGCAGCCACAACATCTCCTTTTGCAAGATCTCCTTTGGAATTATCCAAGATGGTGGTTCCCAAACTTTTCTGATCATGCATCTTTTTCAATAAAGAAATTCTGAGCATGCCCCTCATCATTTATACCCATGGTCTGTTGAGCTAATATAGACATTATAAAATACAACAGAAAGAGAAAATGGTAAAGGATGGATTAAAATTTAACACATAGAACTTCAATTATCTTTCCTTATTACGTTTTCTTCTAATGCCACATGGATTGTTTTTGCACAGCCCTCAAGTGTGCATACCCGACTGGGAGCTGACAATCTAGGCAAGCATAAATACTGGGAAGACCCTCATGGCTGAGCAATGATCCAAGACAGCTATTTTGGGAGGAGAAGGAATAACTTGTCTGATATATACAACCAGTCTGGAAAGGTTTTTTTTCCCCTTTCCTCCACCCTTGTTCAAGGATAAAGCTTGAAAAGAGAAACCTGGGTTTATGCCCACCTGGAGTCCTCCCAGGCTAAGACACCTTGCCTTGGTGAGTTTGCCACCACCCAGGGACGTATCAGTGTTCCCAAATGGCTGAGACTTTGGAGAGCTGCCTAATGCCAACTGGACTCACAAGAGACTGATATATAAACCAGACTATACAACTGTTCATTCTTAGAGGTGGTGAAAGGTGGGACTGGGCAGGGGGGTTTCCTCCTGGTGCCTGCACTCCTAGCATACTTGACAACAAATAAGCCAGAAATTCAAAGCAGTCACTGGGGTGTTGCCGGTGATCATGTCGTCAAAGTAGAGTGATCGGTGCGAAGGATCACTGACCGTGAGAAACCCCCACTGCCCTGTGGGGCCACCTGCCTGGTGAAAGCAGGGCTCATTTCTCAGGGTCTCCACAGATAGGGCTGGGTAAGTATAGGAGACTCTTACCATCTTTGTGACTTTCTACATCATTCTGGTTGGTCATCTGCTTTCTGTTCACCTTGCTCCAGCGCAGAGCACAGTACAATTGCTCAGCTTATGCTCATTAATTAGCAAAAACCCAGGGTCCTGCCTCTCAGGACATACCAGGCCACCTGATTTTCCTGCCCTGGCTGGCGAATCCTGCAGCATTGAGGAGGGCATCTGCTCATTTTTCTCTGCAGAGCAGTGCTAATGCTCTCATTTCTAAGTTACCCCACTAGGTCACCCCCACCAGCTCACACTGAGCTCTTCTACCTCCATGTCCCCCTCCAGGTCTGTTTTCCTTTGCCACCCCTCCCTGGCTAGGATGAGGAGGAAGGGGCGACAGGGCCCAGGGCATTTTGTCCAAACTCTGGTAGAAACAGGCCTGCCTCCACCTCCCCCAGATTTTGAGAACTTTCAGAATGTAGCTCTCAAGATTTGGCCCCTATCCCCTCCAGGAGCATATTTTAGGAAAGTTTAAATTAAATAGATCTGGGTCTTGCCAAAAAGGCAAGTTGTTAGTTGCTGGAGAACCTCCTGTAGTCCCCATCCTATCCCTGGGCTTCCAGCATTCAAGCAGAGGAGAGTTACATGGCACACCTGCCTGGCCAGGAGTGGGAGAGCCGAGCCAGGACCCTGGAATGTGGGCAGATGCCAGCTGATGATGCTCAGTGGCGTCAGAGTTGTCTGTTCCTTGTGGCTTCCAGCACCCAGGCTGCTCTTCCCCGGAGGACCGGTCTCTACTCTCCATGTGGTGTGCGGGGCAGAGCTCTTGCTGAATTTATAAAGGAGGGTCATTTCTTCACCTGCAGAACCTCAGAGCCCTTTCCAAAAAGATGTTCTGGTGGGCACCCAAAACCAAAAAAATGTAACAAATGGAAGTGAAATTGATCAAAGTCGTGGAGGTTGTAAGCAACCTGAAGGCAAAGATGGCTTATTTTAAAAAAACAGTGATACCCAAATCCTAGTGAACATTCTTCAAGTATCAGATATCAATATTCCGAGGGCTTACCATGTGTTTATTTGCTCTTTCAAACGACACTGTCAGTTGTATTATTAATAATAATGTTTTAATTATTTCAACACTTCATATTATGGTATTAGTTGTATAATCCTCATTTTTATAGATGAGAGCTTAAATAATTTGTCCAAAACCACATGGAGAATAATTGGTGGCATCGAGATTTGAACCCAGGCGCAGATACTGCCCCTGGGCTCCACTGCCTTTGACCACAGCGCCTCTTCTCCCACTGCGCTGGCTCATGCTCCATAAATATTTGTTGGATCACTGAATGTCTGCAATAAACCAAACAATTTAAATAAACAAATGACTATAGATGAAAAATAAGCATAAATACAGTTCATAAGAGTAAACGGCTGTGGATATATATTTATGGATTTCTATCCGAACAGGAACACACATGGTACTTTGTCTAAGGAGAAGTTAGAATGAGATAAGGAACGGGGAATCCCTTGACATCCAACCAGGGAGCTGACAGTTACTAAAATGGCCCAAAGCTTCATAAACAGAAGGCCATTCCTTAAAAATCATCCCATGCTAAATATGGGAGTCGGGCACATGAAAAGGACATTAGTGGAAAACCTGGTGAAATCTGAGTGGGATCTGGAGCATAGTTACTTGTCGTGTGCCAGTGTTGGCTTCTTAGTCTTAAATAAATGTACCATGGTTATACACGATTTAACATGAGGGGAAACTGGGGGAAGCATATATAGAACTCTCTTCTCTGTACTCTCTTTGCTACTTTTCTACAGATCTGCTATTATTCCAAAATACAGAGCTTATTCAAAACACCTAATGTTTTGAATAGCATGGCCCCAAGTTAATGGTGAAATGCAGACCTGCATCTAAGTATGTAGCACATATCATTAAAACTCAGATAACTGAGGCACCTGCATGGCTCAGTGGTTGAGCATCTGCCTTTGGCTCAGGGTGTGTTCCCAGGGTCGTGGGATCAAGCCCCACATCAGGATCCCCACAAGGAGCCTGCTCTCCCTCTGCCTGTGTCTCTGCTTCTTTCTTTTTGTGTCTCTCATGAATGAATAAATAAAATCTTTAAAAAATAAATTAATTAATTAAATAAAACTTAGATAACCCAGAGCAAGGGTCACAAACTCAGATACTCACAGGGGCCAAGCGTGGAACATAAGTGAGCAGTGCAGATGGGTTGAATGTTGTAGAGGACATGTTCCCTGTAAAGAAAACAGCTGCTACGGGCCCGCCGATGACAATTACCAAGAAAAATTGCAGGCCCAGATTTCCATGTTCTTCCAAAGAAGCCAGAAATCTGGCCCCCTCTGCTCCAACTGTCTTTATTACTTATAAGTGGTTCCAGTAACAGAAATCACCCCTTAGCCTAAGTAAAAACCACCCGTAGTACAAATTTAACCTGTGGTTGCCACTTTGCTGCCTCTGAGACAGGGTTTTAAAAACACTCCTGGAAATTAAAAAGCAAAAACAAGCACAAAAACAACTCTCTTGAAATATTCTGTCCTAAGGACCACCTTAGTGTTGCCCTGGGTGGGAGTGGGGTTGGAATTGATGGGGCTCAGCTCAGGGGAAGGGCATAACTAGACCTGGTGTCTGTTTCCCCACTGCCTAGCACTCCCACCCCCAATACCCCATCCGTCACTGGTCTTGCACACACAGCTTATGTGCCTACTTTCCTCCTACGGTTCTAGGTCTTTTCAGGGGACAAAGGTGAGATTTTCTCATTTCCTTGATACCATTACACTTGAATGGGTCTCACAGATACAGGGTCCACACTAAACACTTTCTCTTGCGTATAGTCCTCTTCCTGAGGACATCGCCCATGGTCTCCTCCATCGTTAATTCCACAGGGTTGGGGTGGGGGGAAAGACTTCTCCAAGTCTGGCCCTTTAAGAAAAGTGACTTGGGCTAAAAAGTCATTAGGGATTAAACTTTTTTTTTTTCCAGTGTGTATATACAAGACAGTAGCTTTGTTTGTGCCCTGGGTATGAGTCACTTTTGCTAATGTAGGTAGTTTTAAATTAAGAAGCAGCTCAATGGTAAAAAAAAAAAAAAAAAGTCATTCCCAAATGTGGCTGCTTACCCCATGGGAGGATTCCTTAAAAATTCACATTCCCAGGACTCAAAGGGCAGAGGTTTTGACTCAGGAGGTTGACACCTCAGCTGAGGAAGCTAGCTGGCTATATCTATTTACTATCTTTCTATCATCTATCTATTATCTACCCAGCCAGCCAGCCATCTATCTCTCCATCTATCTATCCATCCATCCACCTATCCATTTCCCCATCTATCTCTCCATCTATCTGTTTATCCATCCATTCATTCATCCATCTGTCTATCTATCATCTATCTTTTTAGGTTCTTTAAGGAATTCTAATGATAAACCATGTTTGGGAACCACCGGTATGCGATATGGAATGTTTGGGCCCCAGCTGTGCACTTTGCACGTGGGTGGTACAAAGGAATGTTTGTCTTTTTTATGCAGAGTGTATACAGCAGCGAGCTTCCACACAGTACTTTTTATGAGGAGGATCAGTTTCTCATTTCCTGCAGCCCTTGCTGTCTTGGGGCTGAGGGGCAGCATGGGGCTTGAAGGTCAAGCTGTGCATGGAGTGTGTAGGGTGTGAGTTTGAAGTCAGAAGCCTCACATCCAGGCCTGGATTTGTCACTTAGTGGCTGTGTGACCCCAGATACTTCATTTGCTTTCCCTTCTCAGGTTCAATAAAGCACTGACATTGGAAGTCCTGAATAGAGAAAGAAATAGAGGCACCTGCCAGCCAGGTAATAGGAAATCTGTCATACCTAGTAGTGGTGTAGTGTCCCAGGGAGACAGCCATGCACATGGAAATCTATCCATCGTCAAAACATTAAGATCTATAGGCATATCATAACCTTTATAGGAAAATTCATCCATCCATCCATTCATTTATTCATTCATTCACTCCATTCATGTATCCTGAGTGTCTGCCAAGAGTCAGGTGTTGGGAGGCATCAGTTAAACAAGACCACACTGGCCCTTAAAGCATTCAATGTGTAGCCAAGGAGACAAACTAGAAGATCAACTATTTTGCAGTATGATAAGAACTATGATAAAGTCATGGACAGAAGAGCAGGAAACTGCCTATTCTCAACATAGCTCTCCTGACAGTTTTTTGGTTGTCATTTGCAGATTAGCAAAGTCAACACTGGTCCTCATTCCTTTGTTGGGTGTTCACGAGATTCTCTTCTCCTTCATCACTGATGATCAAGTGGAAGGATTTTCAAAACTTATACGACTCTTCATGCAGCTGACTCTGAGCTCATTTCATGTAAGTAGGCATCTGAACGTGGATTCCTTTGCTTTGGAGAAAACCAAATGCCCTTGACCCAGACAGATTGAGAATTGAGAAAGAAACAGGTAGAAACAAAGTTGTAGTGTCAACAGGCTCTCTGGCACTGGCGCCTATGGCATGAAAAGGGTGTGTAGACCAAAAGTGTTGTGTTGCCTTGATCCTGCCAGCATGACTCAGTGACTAAGAAGGGAAAAGTGGTCTGTTTCCTGGGCTGTAATAGTTGGTGTGACTCACAATCATATTAACTGTGAGTGTCAGCATGAAGCCTTTTATTATGTGTCTATTTTTGCTGGGCTCTCTGCAGGGCGTTGTGCACAATGAACATTGTCTATACTTCAGGTGACATACTCAGAACACAATACAACTTGGTAGGAACCAGTGAGTCAAGACCAGGCAGCTCCTGAAGCTTGCCAGTTGTGTCAAGATGTGTTGGAAGAGGCCAAGACTAGAACCAGTAGTCCAGCTGTTGCTCTTTTACCTGGCTATTTGGTTATCCATTCCTTAAATTGTTATCCATTACCTAGTAGCTTATAACAACGATAATTTTTATTCTTTCTCATTATTCTGGGGAACTCCAGGTGAGCATAGTAAAGATGGCTCCCCTCTGCTCCATGTGATGCCATGCCTTCCAAGATGCTTCACCACTCTTATGTCTGGTGCCTGAGCTGGGAAGGCTCACATGGTTAGGGCTGGCTGGAGTGGATTTATTTGGTCAAATTTCTGGGGCTTCATTTCTCACTGCCAGCTACTTCCCTCAGTTCCATACAGTCTTGGGGCCTATCCCTTACTGCCGATTCTCCTCACATGATCTGTCTAGCAAGGAAGCTGAACTTCTTACATGGCAGTGCAGAGCTTCCAAGAGCACAAAAGCAGGAGCTTCCAGCCTTCTAAATGCCTAGGCCTGAAACTCATACAGTGATACTTCTTCTGCATTCTGATGTTTAAAGCAAATCCCATGGGTGCCTGGGTAGTTCAGTTGGTTAAGCATCCGACTCTTGATTTTGGCTCAGGTCATGATCTCAGGGTTGTGAGATTGAGCCCTAAGTCAGACTCCATGCTGAGTGTGGGGCCTGATGGAGATTCTCTTTCCCCTTCTCTTGGCTCCTCACCTGCTCACTTTCTATATATATATAAAAATTAAAGCAAATCCCAGATTTTTAAAGAAAATCCCAGCCTGGACTGAAGGGGAGGAGACTACACAAGGGTATCAATACTGAAAAGCATGGCTCGGTAGCAAAGGCCACAAATCCAAGCAACCATCAAAAACAGTGTTGGCAGCAGAGTCTCTGTTCAGTGGTAACCTTGGGACTAATCATTGCAAAATGCTAGTACAGGGCAGGACTTATGGAATGGAGGAAAGAGGCACTTGGCAAGCAATCCCCTCCCCCAAGAAACAACAGTAAAATCACACAAGATTGTCAACAGCAATGATGTGAGGGCCCTGGAAACCAGCCAGAGGCATACAAAAGGCTGAGAAGAGTTTATTCAAGAAAAATTGTTAAATCTGAGTAACAACAGTGGGGTCCATTTGTTTAGCCTGGAATGCACTGGTCCTTCAACCTCTCCGTCAGTGAGGAAATTCTAGTGAAAACTAGCAGCTTCATTGCAATAAGGGGCTGACTTGATGTAGATCAATCAGAGAGCAGGAAAAGCCCACACTCCTGGCCACTGTCAGATACAGTAGTGATCTCAGTGGCAAAGGATTGAGAGATGAAAATGTCACAGCCTAAGACGGTCATCCTAGCTGGGATGAGAAACGGTCTGGCACACTAGCCAGAAACTCAACAGGGGGATTTGAGGAATGAGACATATCATGGGCCTTGATCAGCTCCAAAATATTTCTCTGGTAGGCTGGAGGCTTGTGCAAGGTTACATACACACTCAGGGGAGACCAGAGAGGATATTCACATGTTGCTGGCTGAACACAAGCTCCTGCACACACATCCAGGAGACACAGGAGATAGAAAGTAAAAGCCATAGAAGATTTATCAACTGTCTAAACTTGGAATGGGTCCCCCAAGCCACACACAGGTCCATTATTAAAGAGTGTGGAAGTCTTACTGATTTAAGGTGATTGAACACGACTTCTGATCAATCATTGACTAATTGTTAAGCTATTATAAACAGGATCAGGAGCCCAGACTTAAACACAAAGCCAAAAATTTTTGAAATGAGCACAGACATCAGTGAGCTGTATAACACAGGGGAGAAAAGTCTCACAGAACTAATGGCCCAGACAAAGCAACTACCTAGGAAGTAGGGAGTAGGGAATCAGATTCTAAAACTTCCAGTTTGTTAAAAAATAAAAAAATAAAACTTCCAGTTTTGAACAACAAAAACAAAAAATTATGAGACATGCAGAGAAACAAGAGTGTGACCCTTACTCAGGAAAAAGAAAAGCAGTCAACTGAAACTCTCTGAGAGGTTGCTTAGCAGACAAAGAATTTCAAAGAAGCTGTTATAAATATGTTCAGGAGTGCCTGGCTGGCTCAGTTGGTAAAGTGTGTGACTCTGGATCTCAGGATTTTGAAATCGAGCCCCATATTGGGTGTAGAGATTACTTAAAATTAAAATCCTCAAAAAATATATGTTTGAAGGACTGAAAGAAATCATGTTTAAGAAATTAAAGATCAAAAAAAAAGAAATTAAAGATCAGCATGATGACAAAGATTTATCAATTAGGAAATCTCAATACAGAGAGAAATTGCAAAATAAGAAACAACCTGAAAAAATTCTAGGGTTGAAAAGTACAATAATGAAAATGAAAATTTCACTTGGGAGGCTTGATATCAGAATCAGATGGCAGAAGAAAAAGCCAATACATCTGAAGATAGGTCAGTTGAAATGCTCCAATTTGAGAAACAGGAAAAAAGGGATGAAGAAAATAAAAGTCTCAGAGATCTGTGGAACACCATTGAGCATTTCAGCATACAGTCCCAGAAGGACAAGAGAGAGAAGGGAGAAGAAAAGTTCTTTGGAGAAATAAGGGCTGTGCACTTCCCAAAGGTGATGAAAAACATTGATCTATGAATCCAGAAAGCTCAATGAATCCTAAAGAAGATAAAACAAGGAGATCCCCACCGAGAAATGTTATAGTTATAGTTATATAAATGTTATAAATGTTAAATGTTATAGTTCAACTGTTGAAAGCCAAACACGAAGAGAAAACTCTTGAAAGTAGTAAGAGAAAAATGACTCATGACACACAGGGACCAACAAACAAGTGACTCAAATCAGAAACTGTAGGAGTCTGGAAGCAGTGATATGACATAATCAAAATGTTGAAAGAAACATAATTCAACCAAGGATTCTATATCCTGCAAAACCGTGTCTCAAAAACAAAAACAAAAACAAAAACAAAGGGCAGCCTGGGTGGCCCAGCAGTCTAGCTCCGCCTTCAGCCCAGGGCGTGATCCTGGAGACCTGGGATTGAGTCCCATGTCAGGCTCCCTGCATGGAGCCTGCTTCTCCCTCTGCCTGTGTCTCTGCCTCTCTCTTTCTCTGTCTCTCTCTCTGTCTCATTAATAAATAAATAAAATCTTTAAAAAAATTAAAAAATAAAATGGAACATGAGAAAACATCTGTTTACTTTCAAATGCTTTTGATCTCATAGAACCCTCACATTGTCACCATGAGGGAGAAATTATCCTACCACTTTAGTGACAGAGGACTCAGAGGAGGACTTCTGCATGCCAGTAGTCATCAGAGATGAGGTTTCTTTGTGGACGTTGAGCCCCTGCTGGGAAGCACTCTGTCATAGTGCCTCATGCTCATCAAAGGCCAGAGGCAGAGCCTGGGGCACATGGTCTGGGCAATTGAATGATGGCTCCGTTTTCCTTCCTTTTTAAAAAAATATTTTATTTATTTATTCATGAGAGACAGAGAGGGGCAGAGACACAGGCAGAGGGAGAAGCAGGCTCCCTGCAGGGAGCCCAATGCAGAACTCGATCCCAGGGCCCGGGGTCACACCCTGAGCCAAAGGCAGATATCTACTCAACCACTGAGCCATTCAGGTGCCCTGGCTCCTTTTTCCTTCTGTTGGAGCTGAGCTGTGTGTGGCTCTGAGCTGCAACACAGAACCCATTGTTGGCCTTGCTTATTTTCATTGCGAAACCATGTTTAATATATTTCAATCTTTGGGGGGGGGGGATTTCAATGGTGAAGCTTTAATAATTCAGGTTTCCTGTGTTGTTTGGTGTTAACCTTCTTTAAAAGATAATCATAAATTAGAAACAATTTCATTGTCAGCAATGAAACAAGAACCAATAGCTATTATGTCAGCAGTATTTGTTGGCTTTTCTTCCTCTGAGGGCTTGATAGGTTATGTGAGCCCTTGGTCAGCTGAGCTCACATGCCCAAGGCACTCTGAGGACCAGAAGCTTATGGGGGAACTACATGGGACAGATTTTGAGGAAGAATCAGCTTTTATCAGACTCCACTGGCAAGGGAGCTTGTGTTAGCAGCTCCACTGATTGCTCTGTGACAAACTACCCCAAAACTTCATGGCTCAAAGCAGGAACTGTGTTGTTATCTTTAATGATTCTATAAGCTGGGCCTTCTGGACTCAGCAGGGTGATATTTTTGATACATGCAATTTTTAAAATGAGCCTGAAAATATCTGAAAGCTCAGTTGGGCTGGAACATCCAAAATGATTCATTCACATGGCTGGACATTGACACGGGCTGTTGGCTGGGGCTCAGCTGAGGCTCTTGATCATAGAATGTAGTATCAGTTCTCCTCCACGTGGCCTCTCCATCCACCTTGGGCCTGGCGCTGGACTCCCAGAGCATCCCCAGAACAAATGTTCTAAGAGGGAGAAGGTAGAAACTTCAAAGATTTCTTAACGTATAGGCTCGGAAGTACCAGAAGGTTACTTCCACCACATTGTACAGGAGTCACAGATTCAAGGGGAGGGGAAACATGGTCCACCACTTCATGTGAGAAGTAACATATGCCTATAGGGAAAGGAGAGATCCTTGGGGCCATTTCTGGGGACTCACCACCTCACTTTGGTCCTGCAACTAGAGCTCTGCCTGCTGCCATGCATCACTGAGAAACATGAGGATCCTGTGCTTCCTGTACAAACTGAGCCAGGAAACACACTGACAGGGCCTGTGCATGGACAGAGTACTTCTGGGTACCCCTGCACTACTCCCCTCCATCCTCCCAGGCAGAGGTGACAGCATGAGTGGGCAGATGTGTGGGGGCACATCCAGTGGGTCATATTTTAGTGCATCAGCAGGAACTGTCATGGGCCCAACAGAGGCCTTTCCTTGCTGCTTGGAGGCTCCTTCACTCTTCCAAGAGCTTATTTCATAGAGAATTTCACCATCAAGGGATCTTTGGAGAGACTTGTCACCAAGTGGTGGTGGCATAGGAAGTGAGCGCCATCTGTTCTGTGGGACCACTCCCTTCACACTCATTTTATCTAGAATGAGAGTTAACCGGACTCCAGGAGCCTCTGAAAACAGTCAGTCAAGAACCCAAAGAAGTGAAAGACATGTGTGTGATGTGGAATCCTATTTTAGATAACTCATTTGTGAGGATTCCAACAGGGGAAAGCTACCTCTTCTAATATCATATGCTCAAGGGCATGCATAATCTCCCTGCCACTGTATGGGGCAACTAGGAACCCCCAATGAGACTGTGTGTGTGTGTGGCAGTGATAAACTGGTACCACCACGCCCCTGTTTAGGAGCTATCCCCATGGAATAAAGGGTGCATGGAGAAAGAAAATCCCACACTGGTGAGCAGAATCCAAACACATGACTGACATCAAGATAGCCAGCACGCCAAATCTCTAAGCCTCCATAAGGAAGACCATAAAAATCTTCCCCCGGGGCAACATGTTATAATCCCTTTATAATATCAGCTCCTTTCCCAGTACCAAACCTCCCTTACCAGCTGCAGGGGGTGAGAGAAATATTATCAAGAGAGATGGGAGAGTCGGTCTGCACTCTGACCTTCACTCTTCAGTCAGAAACGTGTCCTTCCCTTGTGAGTCCTGCCATTTTACGCTGTTCCCCTCCCCACCACAAACACTCAGGCACTTGGGTCCTGCACATGTATGGAGCTCTAGTACTTTAGACACACAGCCCAGTTGCCACAGATGCTCACATGACTGGGGAGGCCGTGGAATGCAGGTTAGCGTAGCTGGGTATCACATCAGGAAGCATAAGAGTCAACAAATGCCGGAAGACAGTCACGAGCTACAACAGCTTTGATCCCAGACTTCTTGGCAGTCAGGCAGTGAATCCAGAAAAATCTTCCGACATCAAGATGGGTATGCCTCTCCAGAAACTTCCCCAACACAGGTGCTTTGGAAATGGAAATGCCACGTAAAGGTGGCCTGTCGTTTCCACTGGGACCCTTGGTGCCCACAATGCTTCATAAATGACAAGGAAGACAACAGAAGGAGACCGTCCTGTTGTATTTTAGAAATCATCGCGCATTGTACAAGGCGAAACTCTTGTATTGTTAGTAACAGAAACCCAACTCACTCACTCACATATTCCTTTTACAGAAAGGATTGAGCTCCTCTCATGTGCCAGGCATTTGTTTTTGGTTCTGGGTGTCTGGTAGTGAAAAGGTTGGATAAAGACGCCAGCCTTGCTGGGTGGGGGCAGGGAGGGACAGTTAAGAACCAAGTTACCCAGTAATAACAACATAATTCTGGGGCTGCAAAGAATATAATCAGAGAGCTCACAGCTCACGGTGACTGGAGAGGCTACAAAAAATTGAGCGGTCGGGTAAGATCTCTCTCTTTTACAGATATTTGAGCTAAGAGCTGAATTTTGAGAAACCAGTTAGGCAGAGATTTGAGAGAAGAATGGTCCAGAAGACAGAAAGCATGAAGGGACCTCAATAAGCAATGAGTTGTGCTAGTTAGTGTCCAATATAGCCACCAAGGATCTTCGCCTCCTGGTATTCATGGCCCCACAGAGTCTCCTTTCACAAGGAATAGGGTTGATCTGCATGACTGCTAAGGTACTGTGGACATGAAGGAATGTGGCTTTTGAGGCCAGGTCATCAAGAAGTTGTAGCTTCCGCCTGGCTCCTTTGGGTCACCCACTCAGGGCAGGTTGGGGAGCCAGCTCCCTTGTCACGAGGACACTCACAAAGCTCTGTGGCAGAGACCAGCACCTCCTACCACCAACCAGCATCAACTTGGTAGGCATATGAGCCATCTTGGAAGCAAGTCAAGCCTTCAGAACACTGAAGTCCCAGCCAACATCTTGTCTGCAACCTGAAGGATGACCCTGAACCAAAATACCCAGCTAAGCCACCGTTGGATTCTTGGCCCGTAGAAAGTTGTGTGAGATGGTAAATCTTGACTGTTTTGATCCACTGAGTTATACAGTGACAGGTAACTAGTACCTTAGCTTGAGATGCTGGAGGAAGCCAGTGTGGCTGGAATGGAGTGGCTGAGGGCAAGCGGGTAACAAGAAGTGGATAAAGTCAGCGACACAGACACAGAGCCCAGGTGCCTTCTGTGGTTAGGAGATTTTTAAATTTTAATCTACATGTGATGAGAAACCATGGGCATGGAATCATCTATCTTTTCAAAAGAAATGTTGACACAAGAAGGGGTTATTTATTATGTCACATAAATGAAAACTTCAGGATCAGGCATTGGTGGATCCAGGTATGCATACGAGACTGGAAATCTTGTCTCTTACCTTGGCTTCATCAGCTTTTCTCTCTCTTGGCTTCATCCTCAGACGAGCTGACTCCCTGCAGCTGGGAAGACACCCATGGGTATCTCTAGGCTGACTTTGACCACAAAGTTGGCAAACACGGGGAAGAGAGTGCAACCCTTCCTCCATTCCTAGGCAAAAGAACTCACATCAGCCCTGCTTGGGTCCCCTGACCATTTGGGCTGATTATTGTGGTGATGGCCATCCTAGAACATGGAGACCATGATCGACAACCCTGCCAGAAGCCCAGAGAGTAGAGCAGCATCAGTTCCCAAAGGGAAAGAATAAAATTGAGGCCAAAAAAAAAATTAGCAATGCTCACCATGAACAAGTAGAAATGGGACAGCAGTTTTGTACAATATTTGTATAATTGAATGAATAACACAAAGTATATAGGATTTATTCATCATTAACCTGTAGGCATCTAAGCACATACCTGGGCTGATATGGGTGGTGGAGGTCAAAGTCAGAAGAGATCCCAGTGAAATCCAAGCTAATGTGACCAGTATGGCCAACTCCAGTTAACGCTAGCAATGTAGTCACCTGACTCTTCTGGGTGCTTCCCGGATGCGGGGGGTGGGGGGGGGCTTGGATTCTCCAGGCCACTCCCAGACACATCTTCTCCTGAGGCAAACCTCATGCCATATCTTCCTTTGCTTGCAGGGATTACTTGTGGCCTTGCAGTACTGCTTTGCCAATGGAGAGGTACGTCTCCGAAGCTGCCGTTTGGGTTCTGGTGAGGCTGGGGCTGGCGTCCTGTAGCCCCCACAGGTTTCTGGTTGTGTGATGGGGGACATGGTGCAGTGACCAGCATGTACCCAGGGCAAATGCATACTGTGAGCACCCAGTAGGGCGAGCAGGGGGCAGTCCAGAGGAATGGGAGACGGTGTTGGGATGCACGGAAGAGGCTCATATCCCCGCTCTGGCCCTGCTGGGAGCACTCAGGGAGCATTCATTAAATGTGACAGAGGGAACCTGCTTGAACTTTGGAGTCCAAAAATTGGGATTCTGGCTGTGACTCACCCACTTAGCAGGTCTGAGTGCGTCGGGTTCCTAGAGCTCTTTGGCCCTCAGTTTCCTGATCTGTAAAATGGTTATAATAGCGGCTCCTGGTTATTGTTGTGTGGCTCTGAGCTTTCTGGGTTCCCGGTAACTATGGTGATTTTCATTATCATCATCATCATCATCAATCATCCCTACCAGTTCTCTGCTTCCTGGAAAGAGGCTTGAAAGTGGGAGGGCAGGCGGTTTCCTCCTGGCTTTAGGAATTGGTGGCATCTCCAGGCCCTCTTTCACCCCCCAGAATGTAAGCTCCTGGACAGCAAAACCCACTTCCCTCCTGCTCACTGCTGTCACCTCTGTCTTCCTACGGTGGGGGGGGGGGGCTCCTTGTCCACCAGGCAGGTGTCATATGCCACCTCTACACAGTCCTTTCTGGAACACTTATATCTCAAATTTTTGTCTCCTCGCCTCACTGTCCTGCTCAGTAGCCACATGCTGTCACTACCGTGCGCTGTGCACACATAGGCTTGTTTACTCCTCTCTGTGCATCTCCACAGTTAGAAGGTAACTTTCCCGGGGGTGGCACATGGGAGCCATGCAGTGAGTGATTGCTGATAGGACACACACACACACACACACACACACACACACACACACACACACGGCCAGGTGACTCGGGAACAGTAACCCGCCCTCTTATCCCCGCAGGTAAAGGCTGAGCTGCGGAAGCACTGGGTCCGCTTCTTGCTGGCCCGCCACTCGGGCTGCAGTGCCTGGGTCCTGCAGAAAGACTTCCAGTTCCTGGGAAAATGTCCCAAGAAGCTGTCCCAGGCAGGCCGCACGAGGACACGGGAGAAGCTGCAGCCCTCGCTGGGTGGTGGCAACAACCATGGACAGCTCCTGCACCTGGCCGTGCACGGCCTGGGGGGACTGGGTCCCCGGCCCCCACGGGGACACGCAGCCTGGCCCCGGGGCAGCAGCCTGTCCGAGAGCAGCGACGGGGACTTCACCCTGACCCACACCATGGAAGAGATTCTGGAAGAGAGTGAGATCTAGGCTGGAGGCCCACCGCCCGGGGAGGAAGGAAGTGGCATGTGCCACAGAGCCCTCGGGGTCTCCCCATGCACTGCGCCCATTTTGGCGTGAAGTTCATGTCCAGGTCTCTGATGCTCAGACCCAGTGTGGAGGATGCCCTAAAGGCTGAGCAAGGCCCCGGGCCATTAGGGTCGGGCTCAGTGACTAAAGCAATATAGCAGGGCGCTGGAAGAAAACCACAGGAGGAAGATTCTAGGGGAACACACGTTAATGGCCAAGAGTGTTGCTTTGGAGTGTGCAAAAATGCATGTGTATTTGGGTGGGTACGTTGCCATGGGATGAGAGAGATACAGCCTTACACTAGTGGGAGCACCGGTAGGGCAGTCATCAGGATGTATTGCCAGATTTAGTAGTTAAAACACATAGTGCTCAATTCGATTTGCATTTCAGATCCACGAATAATCTTCTCGTGTAAGTGCATCCCACGGGGTATACGTGATCCGCAATTCAAATGACATTGCAAGGCCACTATTTTGCCTAGCAGCTCCGTTGTCAAGGACACTGCCAGCAGGGTGGGGACTAGGGTGAGGTAGGTGAGGAACCCGGCTTGGGTGCAAGATTTAAGACAGCACTGGAAAAAAAATCTTCAAGATAAGTAATATTTTAACACAACATTAAAAAAATCCGCAAGCTTCCGCAGATGGGCCATTTCTAAAGATGACTTTTTATTAGCACAGCGCCAGGATGAGGGTGAGACCAGCAAGAGACCAGCTCATCTAAATGCAGAGTCTGATCCTGACTTTATTGAAAACATTGGTATTTTGCCTGTCACGGATTTTGGGGCGTGAATTTCTATTTTTAAACAATTGCACCTAAAATATTATTTATCTCACTGATTCCATGTTTCCGCCCTCCCCCCTGGAGTTCCAGCTCTGCTTGCCAAGAGGAGAAACTGGAGCAGAGGCACTGGGCAAGTGCATAACAAAGCGAAGGTTTATTTTTTTGGTGTCCAGATCATACATAGCTTAATCATTAAAAGTATACGTCCTTCTAATTTCTCCCTGCTCTAAATATCCCTGCCTTCCCTGCTCAGGTCTGTTAGCTTCTAGGGAGCTGGGGCCCTGCTGTGTTCCTAGCCTGCACCCAGCACAGCAGGTTCAGACTAGGTGCCCAGTATATACTCGTTGATAACATGGGACAGAGATGTCTTTGGAAGCATCGGATGCTGTTGGGGATCAGTGACCCAGGACCCGACCTTGAATAGGAGAAGGAAGTTTATTTTTTTCCCAAAGCATCTGTAAATATGTCCTCCCTGCCTCGTCACTCCCCAAATGGGGTGGCACGTGCACACACACACACATACACACACCCCGCTTGCTCATGTCTCCTTAACAATTAAAATAACAAGTTTATTTAATTGAGTCTCTATCAGGTCAATTTTTTTGACACGTGTTTCTCACTGGGTGCTGAAGGTCTCTTGTGTCCTGAGAATCTGGAGCATAGTTCCTGGATAGATGTGAAGGAAAGGGCTGTGGCATTGAGCCTCCTTGGGGACCCAGAGGAGGGGATGGAGAAGGCAGGAGGGGACAGAGGTCAGAGGCCAAAAGGGTGGGAGGTAAGTGTCTCCCCTCATCTAGACCAACCCCTAGATTGTTCGCTTTCTTGGTGCTTTGAAGATCTGGCTTAGTGGGTCTCAATCCTGGCCTGACAATCACCTGAGGAACTTGCTTGGAAACACCGATGGCTAGCCATGACCCAGAGATTCTGATGGAATTGGTGTAAATGAGACTGGACATAGGTATTTTTAGAAATTCTTGAGTGATTTTGTTTTTTTTTTTTAACTTTTCTAAATGTGGTAAAATATATGAACATAAAATTTACCATGTTAACCATTTTTAAGTCTATAAATCAGTGGCATCAAGTGCATTCATACTGTTGTCCAACGGTCTCCAGAACTTTCTGACCTTCCTAACTGAAACTCTATCCCCATTAAACACTAATCCCATGGGATGCCTGGGAGGCTCAGTGGTTGAGCAGCTGTCTTTGGTTCAGGTCGTGATCCCAGAGTCCTGGGATCAAGTCCTGCATCTGGGTTCCCCAAAGGGAGCCTGCTTCTCTCTCTGCCTGTGTCTCTGCCTCTTTCTCTATGTGTCTCATGAATAAATAAATAAAATATTAAAAAAAAAAAAGCAAACCACTAACCCCGTATCTCCTAGGCCCAGCCCCTGGCTACCACCATTCTACACCCTGTCTCAGTATGTGATGGCTCTAGGTACATTACATAAGTGGAATCTCACCATATTTGTCCTTTTGTGACTGGCTTATCTCAACACACTGCTCTTGAGGTTCATCTATCTTGTAGCATATACTAGAACCTCCTTCCTTTTCACAGCAGAATAACATTCCACTGTGTGGATGAAATATTTTATTCCATTCACCATGTGACGGACACTGGGTTGCTTCCCCATTTTGGCTACTGTGAAAAATGCCGCTGTGGGTTTGGGTGTGCAGAGGATTCTGTTTGAGTCCCTATTTTCAATTCTTTGAGTAGACGCCTTGGAGGAGAACAGCTGAGTCCTAAGGTCCTTCTGTTTAATATCTTGAGGAACCACCAAGCCATCCTTCACAGCAGCTGCACCATTTTGTATTCCACCGGCCGTGCACAAGGGTTCCAATCTATCCAGTCCTGACCAACACTTACTTTCTACTTTTTTGATCATCGCCATCCTGATGGGTATGACATGGTAGCTAGGGTAGTTTTAACTTGCATTTCTGTGGTGACTAAAGATGTTGAGCACCTTTTCATGTGATTATGGACATTGGCATATCTTCTCTGGAGAAATCCTATTCAAGCCCTTCGCCCGTTTTTAAAAATGAGGCTGTATGGGTTTTTTGTTTTTTGTTGTAGTTATTGTTGTTAAGTTGTTGAATTTCTTTGTATGTTCTGGATTTTAAGCCTTTACCAGATATATAATTTGCAAATATTTCCTTTCCTTCTGTAGGCTGTCTTTTCACCCTCTTGATGGTGTCCCTTGACGGACAAATGCTTCTGGTCATGATAAAGTCTGGTTTATCTGTTTATTTTCTTCTATTGCCTGTGCTTTGGGGGCCATAGCCACCTGCCTGGCTTTCATATGTCACCAAGGTCGAAGACATTGGAAAAGGAATCAAGTGACACCTCCCCTCCAAAACTCACTATGCTCTGCTGAAGTCCAAATAAATAAGCCTTCCGTCTGTGACATGTACAGCTTAGAAATTCTTCGTTAAGAACAGACTTGACTGATTCTCACAACTCTGAGTAATAATTGACATTAAGTGTGGTTGGCCCAGTTTTGTGGAGATGTTTTATTTTGTTTTTTGAAGGGTGGGATCCCAGCTAGGGCCTCAGTTGAGACACACACACACCTACCTGAGCTCATCTGATAAATTTGTGTGGCCTTCAAGCAACAGAAATGGAGTTGGAGTGGGAAATAGGGTGTCTGTGTCCCCATCTGGCTCCATGGACAAGGCCTGAGCCCTGGTGTACAAAGGGAAGCCACAAATCACATTCAAGAAAGCTGTTGCCAGGAGGCAGTGACAAGAGCTGTTTCCGTGACACATGCCACTCCCTGTGGCCCTATGCCACAAATATTAACTCAGAAGGCTCACCAGCAGCTCAGTGCATAGCTTGGGTATGTATATCAGGAGTACTGTAGCCTCGAGGCATCTGGGTGGCTCAGTGGTTGAGCATCTGCCTTTGGCTCAGATCATGATCTCCTCTATTCCCTCCTTCCTTCCTTCTCTCCTTCCTTCCTTCCTTCTTTCCTTCCTTCCTTCCTTCCTTCCTTCCTTCCTTCCTTCCTTCTCTCCTTCCTTCTTTCCTTCCTTCCTTCCTTCTCTCCTTCCTTCCTTCCTTCCTTCCTTCCTTCCTTCCTTCCTTCCTTCCTTCCTTCATCTTCATTAAACCATCTTGCAAACCTTCAACAGTACCTATCCAGATTCTTCCACAGTTAGCTTTAAGTACATAACATGTTTCAAATACAGAGTAGGGGATCCCTGGGTAGCTCAGCAGTTTAGCATCTGCCTTTGGCCCAGGGTGTGATCCTGGAGACCCGGAATTGAGTCCCACACTGGGCTCCCTGCAGGGAGCCTGCTCCTCCCTCTGCCTGTGTCTCTGCTTCTCTCTCTGTGTGTCTCTTATGAATAAACAAATAAATAATATGTATAATTTTTTTAAAAGTTCTATAGCCTTGGTTGAGGTGAGAATGGTGGTATCTAATGTAGCAATGGCACCTGGTATTGAGAGACCTACTGGTGAGTCTGTCAGGGACACCACTGAGGATGCTAAGACATACCAAAGGGGCACTACACAAGAGGCTGGAGCCTGTGAGAGCAGTTTGGATTACTGCTCTTGAACAGACCCGTTTCCACCCCTGAGTTTACATGTATGTGAGGAAGCAGAAATTTAGATGTGAAATGACTCCCCCCCGCCAAGGTCCCTAGAGTGGACATCTATTTTTAACAATCTATTTCTCTTATACTAATAGGACCCAAATTTTCCTCTTGGGAACTATACATCTCCCCACTCCCAGTTCATGACGTCTGAGCTGTCTCAGCTGCACTCTCGGCCCCAAGGCTGGGGACAAATTCTGCTCAGCCAATCCCAGCAGGACAGCCCTCTGGCACCAGATATTGGGTTAGGGATGGGCATATAACCAAGAGCCCATGAGAGATGGTCCTGGGACATGGGCTGGGATTCTCACCCCCCACCCCTTTTTTGCTGATATTGGAACCATGGCAGAGTAAGCCTGTATCTGCTGGTGCCCATCTTGCCAGAGCAGGAGGGAAAGCTTCCCTGAGAATGGAGCCATCACAGTAGAAAGTGAGGGCCAGGAGAAGGAGAGGAGTCCCTAGGCATTGTGGGAGCCCCTGGATTAAGCCAGACCTAAAGCTAGCAAAACTCCTGGGATTTCCTTTACATGACTCAATAAATTCCTATCTGTGCCACAACAATCCGTGTTGGGTTTTCTGTCCCTTGCATCCGAAAGAGTCTTGATGACGTAGCTCAACACCACCTCCACCTCCTTCTCTTCTCTTTAGTCTAGTTGGCCTTTGCACCACTTCCGGATTCTCTCAGCATTTTCCCACAGAGAACCCTAGAGCGGGGCAGGACCCAGCCCAAGTGGCCCTGCCGCCCCAAGGTAACAGAAGACGTGCTAGTTATGTTAGCACTACTGAGCTCTCCACTGGCCATAGAAGATTCAGTGGCCCCTTTATGCCTTTCATTGAATCATAGATCAACAAGGTTATTATGTGGTGTCTCTGCTTTTACTTTATTTTAAAATTTTATATATTTATTCATGAAAGACACAGAGAGTGAGGCAGAGACACAGGCAGAGGGAGAAGCAGGCTCCCTGCAGGGAACCCAAGGCAGGACTCAATCCCAGGACCCTAGGATCATGGCCTGAACCAAAGGCAGATGTTCAACCACTGAGCCACCCAGGTGCCCCTTGTGTCTCTGCCTTTAAATTCAAATGACATGGATGCTCCAACTCCAGAGAAAAGCCCTCAACCTCACTCCCCAACAAATGAGGTTCACTCATGTAGGGCAGTGTGTGGGGTGGTGGAAAGAGTACTGGAGCCCTTTGGGTCTACCCCTGAGCTACCTTGAGCTGAACCCAAGATCCTTCTTCTCCCCCTGAGCTGACTCTTCTGAGTGACTCACTAGTCTGGTCCTGGAGGGGTGTCTTGGGCAGGTAATTCTAATAATGACTCTCTTCCTTGAAGAACCGCTGGACCACATCCTGTGTAGAGCCTCTCCTCCTTCCAGCTCTGATCCTATGCAAAACCAGAATTCTCTGTCCTGTCATGTCCAGGCCCAAGCTTTTGAGGTAGCCTAGTGTAATCAAAGGGCCTCTAGTTCAAGTGCCAAACGTGTTCTTATTTTGTGGCTTCAGTGTCCCAATCTACACCATGGGGCAGGATGCCTGGTTCCCAGGAATGGCTCTATACTGACTGTTAGGATTGCTCCCAGACACCCTCCATGAAGAGCAGTGCTTTCCAGCAGTGGTGATTGTTCTATCACTGTGGAGGTGGGGGTGTCACCCCAAGACTCCCAATTGGAGGCTCCCCTGCCTCAGGGGGTTGCATATAGGTCAGTCAAGTGTCTGGGACCTCCATATATTTTTCTGAGCTCATTTTGGAGCTTAAGCCTAGAAAGTAGATGAGCCTCCCCAACGAGTACAAGGCTATTAAGACCCTGCTGGTGGGGTTCCAAGGTGTCCCAGGCCCCAGAGCCGTGACAAGGCAATGTAGCCCAGTGGGTAGCCCCAGACAGCCTTTGCTCATTAGTTGGTTGACCCTGGGCAGGCTGCTTGCAGTCTCTGGGCCTCCTCCTCGTCTCCAAAATGAGGGCCTCCACCTCTCTTACCATATCCAACTTGAACTTGTTGTCATCATTTCCTGAAACCCTGAGACCAAGGACCCTTCCTGAGCTTCTCATCATGGTAGATGGCATCACTATTCACCCAGCACCCAGGCCACAAACCTGGCTGCTGTCTCTGCCATTCCAGCCACTCCTGTCATCCCTCCTCCCCCTGCAGCCAGTGAGGAGGATCCTATCTCCAGAGCGGTCCTACTCTCTCCAGGCGGGTCTCCTCTGCTGAGGACTCCTGGGGTTACTGTAAAAGTATAATGTCCAGGCTCCCGGCTCCTAGTCCTGCCCCTCTGATGTATTTCTCCCGGCCAGAGGGTTCTCTTACAAACATGAGTCCCTCCTATTTCAAACCCCACGGAGAAGCCCCATCTTTCCATGGACTGCAGAAAAGCCTGGCATGCTGGTCCCTGCCTACCTTTTAGGCATAACTCACAGTTAGCTCTCCCTCCTCCCAGGGCTCCTCCCTGGGCTCCTCCCCCGGCTCCCTGGCTACCCTGGCCTTTTCCAGTCCTGGAACATAACATTCTCATTCTTGCCTCAGTGTCTCTGAGGGGGCTGCCCTCTGGGACCCTGTGCTTCCTGACCCCTATCCTCCCCCAACCCCCCACCTGCAGGCCATGGGGCCTTAACTGAAATGTTTCTATCTGGGAACACCTTCCCCAACCCTCTGGAGGAGTCAGCCCCCCTGGCAGCACTTGGCACATCTCCAGGGTCACCTGACCGCCTGGAATGGTGTCTTGTAGTGTTACAGTCCTCCATGCAGCCTGCTTCCCTGTCACACCAGGCCCAGCACCCCAGCCTGTGGCCGCAGGGGCCATGCACCCTTGTGTCTGAGGCCCAGTCGACAGAAATCATTTCTCTTCCCAGCTCAAGAATGACTCAGCTGTGTGCCCAGCTCCTCTCACATTTATTGGAACCTGCTTACCCAGCAACCCACAAAGGAGCTTACACGGGGTGGGGGGTGATATTGAGGACTCCTGTGACCTAATCCTGGGATTATCACCGAGGCATGGGCCAAGGGGACCGGAGGTGGGGGGTAGAAGAGGAGGAGGGATGCTAAGGCCAAGGAAGCCCCCTTGGCCCCTGGGGCATGTGCGCATGCTCACATGGGGGTTTCTGTGCCGGGGGAGACGGGGGGGGGGGTGCGGGGCAGGGCCAAGCAGTCAACATCACGGTTTCTTTTCTTTTAATTTTTCCTTCACTTTTCGAGGCTCAAATTGGATCAGTCTCAGAATTTCCTTATTGGCCAGGGTCCCCTCGATGAACTCCTCCTCTGTAAGTTTATCTGTGCATGGGAGGAGAAGAAAGGCTGCAGTCAGATTCGGCTGTCCCAAGTCACAGCAAGGCTGGTGCTGGCCAGCGTGCCCCGTGCGGAGGTATCTGTTACGAAAACACTGAATTTCTGTGCCCCTGAGGGTACAATCCATCACCCCCAGATACCCAGCTCCTTCCCGGGATCCCCGGACCTCCCCTCAAACCAGCAGCAAAGGGTTAATGAGAGGACCAGCCCAGGAGAGCCTGGCCCCTAGTGAGGTCTCTCTGCCTCCCTCCCAGCTGGGGGCTGACAGCTCCTCTGTGCTGGAGCCACTGTGCTTGGGGCTGAGGCCACTGCAAGGGGGTGGCTCAGAAAGGAATGAGACAGAGTCCCTGTTCCAGGAAACTCTTGGTCTGATGCGGAGACACTCCCACGTCTAAATAACTCCAGAAAGAGACAGGTGCTTCTCTCTGCAGATGGTGATGCTCATACTGCCTGCACCGAGCAGGTGCTCAACGAGCTTGGCTGAACCAACTGGATTTCCAGTGGCCTGCGCTCTGCGCCTCTCTGACACCCTTAATCCCTCCCGGGTGAGGATCCAGGATGGGGTCCTTGCACAGGTCCGGGTAGTGAAATTTGGGTTTTAAAGTCTCAGCTGCCTTCTCGGCCTCAGGTAGAGCTTGAAACTGCCACGGTCAAGAACCTGATTGTGGAGTGAGGCGCTGTCTCCGGAGGGGGTCATCTGAAAATCTCGGCCTCCAAACACCACCACCTCCCGTGACTGTGGCATTCACCTGGGTTGGTTTTCAGGGTAGCAAGTACAACAGGGGGACATAGCACCTGGCAGACCTGAGGGATGTCTGGTCCTCCCAGATGCGGTCAGTGGGGGAGGGGCCACATGGTACGAAGAAGGAGGAGGAGGAAGAGGAGAGCAGGTGCCGGAAGGGGAGGAGACATCGAAGCTGGGACCACTACACCCACGCAGCAGAGTTGAGGAGGTGCTCACTGCGAAGTCAGCGGGGCACAGGCCTGGCACTGGGAACGATCACCTGCTTTGAATGCTCGCCCAGGTACCTCGCCTGCTTTCCCCTGGATCCGGGCCCCTTGGCAATGACCTTCTTGCTCCTCGGGCTTCTTCCTGGACTGCAGATTGGTGGCGCCGGGGCCCCCTGCACCTGCCCCTCCTCCCGACCTGCCCAGGCCTGTCCCGGAGACCACAGAAGGAGCCCACACTGGCTGCGCAGAGGTGCGTGGACCATATGTCACCAAGTGAGGCCCTTCAGGTTCTCAAAATCTCCAGTGCCGGCTTCTCTCTTAGAGAATCAGCTGAGGAGGCCCCGCGAGGCTGCGGGTCCCCAGGTGGCAGCAACCAGCTGGAAGCCACAAGAACGGGCAGCCACTTGCCAGGTCCCCACATGTCGGGGGGCTCCCCCCCCCAGCTTGCAGCCGTGCCCACGCTGCCCCTCTACAGTGCTGCCTGTGTTGGCCTGAGCATCACGCACCTGCAGACCAGCTGCCTGTTCTGGAATGCCTCCCTGTTTTCAGGGAGACCCCACATCTCCAAGGGCTGCTTGTGGCCAGAGACTGAGCAGGGGCATTGGAGGGACCGAGGCTGGCCGGCCCGTGGAAGAAGGGGCTCCCGGGGGCTCCCCTGGCTTTGCCAAAACCTTCTAAAGCAGGGCTGTGGCCTCAAATCTTCAGCGGCCCTGGGCTCTCCGCTCGGGGCCCCGCTGCCCTGCAGTCTGGGCCTCCCCAGGCTCCTCCAGCTCCCTCCTCACTTTCCCTCGAAGGCCAGTTCTCAATAAATCGCTTCCAACCCAATCTAAATCTAATTCCATCTGTCGGAACCCAAACTAACTCCCCGGGGTAAAAGCAGGTAAACTGAGATCCCGCTGACTTGGGACTCGACGCCCCTTCAGACACAGGCCGAGCTGAAGCTTTGCCCTGTCCTCACTGTGCAGAAAGCATTTTAGGAACCAAGTAAGGTGCACCCAGGCGTCTAGGTGAGCACTTCCGCTGAAACAGAAAGTGGTTTACAGAGCCCGTAACCCCGCAGTGGGTACGCCCTCGGCTAAGGAGCTGCTGTCCTGACTTAGCCATGCTTCCCCCCATGCTAACGCTGCTCTAAGGTGCCTTTTCTTCCCTGGCCTTCCAGAATCCAGACCTTCCCCCTGCCCCAGGGAGCTCGGCTCCAGGGGGACAGCGGAGCTGGGCCCTGCTGACTGGTCTGCTTACTGTCCCCCTGCACCCCCAGGGATGCAGAGATCCCTGCAGTGCATGCCAAGATGAGGGGTCCCCTCTCCCCCAGGGACTCAGATAGCCCTGCAGTGCATGTCACGAGGAGGGGTCCCCTTGGCCCTAGGAAGACCAATCTCGCTGGGGCCTCCAGGAAATAGCCCATGACTCTAAAACCAGACACTTTTAAGGGGGAAGGAATTCACCATCATCTTTCTTTCCAAAGAACCCCCAGATCTTCTCTGCTCGTTTCTCTGGGGTGTTCTCATCCTCTGGAAGTTGCTTCACATCCTCGGGACTGATCATTTTGAAAATAGCCTGCAGCACATAAAGAGGAAGTTCCCATCAGAAGGAGAAGCAGGGGTGACCCTCTCTGGTGACCCTCCCCCACCCCCGTGCCCAGGGCCAGATATCCCCCCAAGCAGAGGTGAAAATACAGATGCCCAGGCCCCAGCCTGCCCAGGGGAGCAGAGTTGCGGATCTGTATTTTTTAGATCCTCAGAAGGGACAGGGAACGTAGTGAAGGGGTAAAGAACGCTTTCACTTATTTTGCCCCTTCTCTACACCTGTTGAATTTCCTGACCCTGTAGAAACAATACTTTCATTTTACTTAAAAAAAATGAAAATGAGATAAGAAACAAAAAGCTTGGGTGCCTGGGTGGCTCAGTTAGTGAAGCATCTGCCTTCAGCTCAGGTCATGATCCCGGGGTCCTGAGATCAAATTCTTCATCGGGCTCCCTTCAGGGAGCCTGCTTCTCCTTCTGCCTCTGCCTCTCTGCCTCATGAATAAATGAGTAAAATCTTAAAAAAAAAAAACAAAACCCAAAAGCTTTCTGATAATCCCACCGCAGCCACCTCAAATGGCTTCTTTGGGGTCCCTGTGGTACCTTGGTTGTCCAGCTGGGTTGGCTTATGGTGACAACGGCTAATGTTCTTGGAACACGTAATAACATGCCCTTTTACACGTAACCTCCACAATGGCCTTATGAGGTGGGTTTCATTGGCCCCATTTTACAGATGAAGAAACGGAGATTCTAACCAGGCAGTTTGGTTCTAGAACCTTCATCCTTGCACTCTATCACTTGGAAAGCATCCAAGGGGCTGGAGAACAGAGAGGGACAAGGTGGTCTCAATGTGCCCTCCCAGCTCCAGGTTATAGGATCCCATCAGCTCGGTAAGTCCAGCCCAGCCAGGCCAGAGTGGACACCTGAGTGGCTCCCGAGCCCATTCCAGCCCATGCACTCAGCGTTGGGGCAGACTAGGGGTGCAGGCAGGCATGTTGGGTGGAATTGGGGGCACCTTGCACACACTCGGGCAGGGGCATTGATGCCTGTGACATTAGCCTGGAGGGAGGGCGAGCAGGTCTGGGAAGTTTTAGCACCAACATGCTATAGCAAGAGGAGTAAACCCAGCAGCTCTGGGCAGCAGCCTCGGCCAGCAGCATTCAGAGCCCGGGGGTGCCCAGCAACCCAAAGGTGGGTGCCGGGTTCCATCTCAGTCCTGAGCCTGGGGAACCATGTACCGGCCCCACAACTAAACCCTGGGAGTGCCTGCCTGCCTCGCCCAGTTTCTAACTCCAAGGACAGCCTGCCAGGACCTCGGAGAAGGAGCTATCCAGTCCTTACCCTGGGCCCCGAGGTTTTTCCAAGGCCACATAGCTAGTTAGTGGTGTAACTGGGATTAGAACCTGAAACTTTGGACTCCCGGGGCAGCGACCACGTGATCTAGTGAACTGAGCAGCCCTGCACCAGCTTGCACTGCCTTAGCCGTGGATACTGTGGATATACCCCTACCTCTCCCTCTTTCCCTTCCTCTTCCTTTTCCTCAAGGAGCACCAACTTGTAGGCCACCGCTGGGCCTGACGTCCTGTTGGTGGTTGTGCTCCCTGCACCAGGCCACCTGCCAAGCCAGGGGAGCTCGCTCTGTGGGTAGTGCCCGGATTCCAGGGACGTCCCCACCCTTAACGTGAGGCCTAAGTCAGGTCTGCTGCCCAGAGGCTGCCTGCTTGGCTGCTTGGTTTATGATCTCTCCTAATCAGGGGGAGAACCATGCAAACACAAGCAGGATTACAAATGCACCAAAAAATGAGATAAACTACAAAAGACATTCTTCTCCTTTTTACCAGGAACAGAATTAGGGGAATAACGCAATGAAATGGGCTGGGGGATTAGTAGATGCCAGGAAGAGATGCCAAGTGAAGGGGAATACAGATGCCATCATAAGAAAAAAAATAGAAACATCTTAATTGTCCAAAAGTACAGGGCTGGTTAGGTAATTTTATGGCCTTTCCATAAGATGGAATTATTATTTTTTTTAGGTTTTATTTATTTATTCATGAGAGACACGAGACAGGCAGAGACACAGACAGAGGGAGAAGCAGGCTCCCTTTGGGGAGCCTGATGTGGGACTCTATCCCAGGACCCCGGGGTCACAGCCTGAGCTGAAGGCAGATGCTCAACTGCTGAGCCACCCAGGTGTCCCATAAGACAGAATTCTAAGCAGCCATTCAAAATGGTTTTGAAGAAACCATTTCTTGATAGGGAAATTGTAACAAAATAATGACTGAGAAAAACGTCTTATATATCATAGTTCTAAAATTATTTTTAAATATATATATACAGATAAAGGACTAGGATGGTAGGACGCGTGGGTGGCTCAGGGGTTGAGTGTTTGCCTTCGGTTCAGGGCATGACCCCAGGGTCCTGGGATCGAGTCCCACACCATTCCCCGCAGGGAGCCTTCTTCTCCCTCTGCCTGTGTCTCTGGCTCTCTCTCTGTTTCTCTCATGAATAAATAAATAAAATCTTTTTTTTTTAAAGGGCTGGGATTGTATACATTAATACATTGATAGTAGCTCCCTCCAGATGATAGAATTAAAGGCAATTTCAATTGTCTCCTGCATATATTTCTAGGGTTTACAAATTACTTACCTATTAAATGAAAGTATTCTTAAGATCCCTGCTATCTTCGCAACAACTGATAGGATGCCAGGCCAGTGTGGGGCGGGGGGAGAGTGTGTTTTGGAAGTGCTGGCCAGCAAGGCCCCTGCAGAGGCTCAGTCCAGAACACAGGGCAGCAGGTGAGAAAGCGGAGGCCCCCGGGGGTGATGTGGCCTGCCCCTGGCTCTAAAGACAAGAGGACAGGAACCCCCAAAAGTTCATGACCCCCAAAGCTGGCCTCCTTCTACTCTGTATTTTCTTTCTTTCTTTCTTTCTTCTTTCTTTCTTTCTTTCTTTCTTTCTTTCTTTCTTTCTTTCTCTTTCTTCTTTCTTTCTTTTTCTTTCTCTCTCTCTTTCTTTCTTTTTTTTTTTTAAGATTTTATTTATTCATTCATGAGAGACACACAGAGAGAGAGGCAGAGACACAGGTAGAGGGAGAAGCAGGCTCCATGCAGGGAGCCCGATTTGGGACTTGATCCCAGGTCTCCAGGATCACACCCTGGGCCAAAGGCAGATGCCAAACTGGTAAGCTACCCAGGGATCCCCTACTCTGTATTTGAAACACGTTATGTACTTAAAGCTAACTGTGGAAGAATCTGGATAGGTACTGTTGAAGGTTTGCAAGATGGTTTAATGAAGATAGGAAGGAAGGAGAGAAGGAAGGAAGGAGGGAATAGAGGGAAGGAAAGAAACAAAATTTAATTAACACAAAATACCCAGATTCTTTTTTAGGAGGAAGACAAGCTGTGGGGAAGTGACCCACGTACTGGAGACCCCTCCTCGCACACTTGGAGCCCCTGAGCCCCGCAGCCTGGATCCCCACTCCACACGGTCAGCTCCGTCCCCTTGAGCAGCAGCGGCAGCAGCAGGACCCCAGATTGTGGACACTGCCCCCCCCGACCCCCTGAACCCCCTGGACCCAGGACCCTGGGGGAGCCCAGTCCCGCTGTGCGGGGGAGGCTGAGACTGACCATGACGATCTCCAGCACTTCGCTCTTGCTGATGGCCCCGTTGCCGTCCACGTCGTAGAGCGAGAAGGCCCACTCAAGCTTCTGGTTGGTCTTGCCGGCCGAGGTCATGTGCAAGGCGATGACATACTCTTTGAAGTCCAGGGTGCCGTCGCTGTTGGCGTCAAAGCTGCGGAACACATGCTGGGCATAGGCCTTGGGGTCGGCCTCAGGGAAGAACTTGGAGTAGATGCTCTGAAACTCCTGCTTGGTGATGCGGCCACTGGGGCACTCCTTCAGGAAGGACTGGTACCAGCTGCACAGCTCCTCCTCTGTGAACTTGGTGTTCAGCTGCAGCTCCTCCAGGATCTCCTTGGAGAGGGCTCCGCTCTTGCTGTTCCCCATGGGTGAGGCCGCCTGGGCCCGGCCGGGCAGCGCTGGCTGGCTGGGCTGGCTGGGTGGGTGGCGAGCGACGTGGTCTTCTGCAGCTGGAGACTGACCTGGAGGTGCTGGTGGATTAGAGGATTTGTGGCTGGTTCACCCCAGTACTTGGAGGGAGGAGGGGCCAGGACGGGGGATGGGGTAGGCTCCAAGAACTACCCCCCCACCTCCAGATTAAAAGAAAGAGCTGACAGCAGGTGGCCAATCCATCTTGGCCTTCAGGGAGGACAGGACAGGAGGTCAGAAGCTTCAGAGCCAAAGCCTTGGCCTCTCCTGCTGCTCCTTGCCTCTCCTTGGTCCTCCCTGACTTCAGCTCTCCAGGAGTCACTGTGCTCATGACCTCTCTTTCCCCCAAACTCTGAGGGTGCCAGGGGCAGGCATGGCATCTTGCATTGAGCTCTATGCTGCAGTCGTGAAAAGGCAGGCTCTTAGAACAAACTGAGGGTTGCAGAAGGGGAGGGGTGGGAAGAGGGGGTACCTGGGTGACAGGCATTAAGGAGGGCACGTGATGTGATGAGCACTGGCTGTTATACTGTATGCTGGCAAATTGAATTAAAAAAAAAAAAAGCCAGGCTCCAGAGCCAGCCCGAGGTTCAAATCCTGGCTCTGTGACTTCCTGGCTGTGTGACCCTAGGCATGTTTCTTAACCTCTCTCTGCCTAGAATGGTCTCCTAGTCCTTCACCTCCTTCATGGCTTTCCTCAAATGTCATCTCCTCAGCAAGGCCTGGATGGATCACTCTGTTTACAACACCACACCGTGCCCCGAAGCCCCACTTTATGTCTCTTCCTCATAAGTACCCCTTCCGACTCACTTTTAATTACTCCATGTGCTGTGTGTCCCCGCACCAGAACAGAAGCTCCGTCGGAGGCAGGGGTTCTGTCTGTTTTGTTCCCAGCCACCTCTCCATCACCAGAATGGTGCCTGGCAGCTTGGGGCCCCTGTGAATATTCCAAGTGAATGGGCATAATAATAGTGTCTGCCTCATTGTTATTTTGAGGCTAAAATGAGCTAATATGTACAAAGCACTTAGAAGAGAGCCAGGCACACACAATATGTTAGTTTTTTGTTACTCATCTACAACAAGGATACAAACTGCTTGGAGGGCCAGAAGGTGGAGGGAGTGAGCAACACGGGTGAATCAGAGACAGTGCCGAGTGGTGAGGCCCGCGGCACCCATGGAAGGGTTTGCCCATGTTCAAAGCCATTTGCATGTCTTCATATGGGATTATGGCCCATTGTTTCTGGATTTTTCAGTGCTGACCCCTATGGTTCCAGAGTATTTCTCAGGAGGCCTAAATGTTAGGAGTGTGCGCATGTGTGTGTGTGTGTGTGTGTACTTATTATTTTTTCTCGTTAGTTTGTGAGAGCATATAATTTCTTAATAGATCTTTTTTTTTTTCCCCAAGACTTTCACTATCCTGTAGCAAAGTGTTTGTTCTCAAGAGCAGTTGGAAATAAATCAGTCACCACACTCAGAAACCAACCAACCAACCAACCAACCAACCAACCAACCAACCCATCTACCCCAGGCCACGAAAGTGGGGTCAGAGGCTTTGCCCTTTGTCTCAGAATCAGGTGTGGGAGGTGATTAGAAGTGCCTCCTGGCAGGGCACCTGGGTGGTTCAGTAGGTTAAACATCCAGGTCTTGGTTTTGGCTCAGGTCATGATCTCAGGGTCGTGGGATCGAACCCTACATCAGGTTCTGGGATCAATGTGGGGTCTGCTGGAGATTCTCTCCCTGTGCCCTTACTCCACTATGCACTGTCTCAAATAAGTAAATAAAATAAATAAATAAATAAATAAATAAATAAATAAATAAATAAATATTCTTCTTCTTCTTCTTCTTTTTTTTTAAAGTGCCTTCTGGTGCCACTCTTGTCCATACCAAGCCTGCGGATGAGAGGAAGTGGATGTTACAGGGAAGAAATGGAGCCTGCCTGGGTCACAGGGCTGCTAAGCAGCAAAGCCAGAAGGAAAGCCCTGGTTGGCCAGGCTCTCCATTTGGGGTCTTTGCATCACCTTACAACAACTCCTTTCTCAAGGAGGCCTGAGTCAGTGGGCAAGAAGCTCCATCCCTGTAGGTGAAGAGCCAATGGGCAAGGAGACAGGGCCCTGGCTTAATGCAGAAAGCAGCCAGAGTCCCGGAGGCCCTTGCGCCCTGGCTGAGGGCAAGAATGAAGGACTGGACCCAGGTGGGAAGCAGCCTGGTACCTCTGGCCCACATTCCTCAGGTTGTGCCCAGGAGGGGCCCGACCTTGGGATGGGACCACAGGCAGCTGTGTTGATGCTTCTAGGAGAGGAGTCATGACCTGGGGGTTTGTTTGAAAACCTGCATAAACATCTTCTATCAGAGGGAGAGTTTATGCTTATGCTCCTTAGGCAAACAAGTTGTTGGAGATGATGTATTGTGAACGGATTTGTTAAGTCTGAGTTGCGGCCATAAACTCTGCTTGAAACCCAAAGGCCTGCCCTCCAACCAGAGGACCTCAGTTTGTGTCTCCCTACTCCTTGAAAGAAGCGATCTCTTCGTAGAGGCTGGCCCTGTGGTGCCCCCAAGCCTGGAGCTCGGGGTGGGGGGGGTGGGGCGGCCCCCAACACTCACCCCTGCTCCCCTACCTTCTTCTGCTCTGGTACAAAGGACGGGCTGACCCTTCTTCCCTTGGCCTGGAACTGGAGCTCACACACCAGTCTGCACTGGGCCGGGAAAGGTGGTATAGAGGGGGTGGGTGGGTGGCAGAGGATGGGAAGGAATATTTCTCCCCTGGCCCTCTCGTTGCAGCACATGGCAGTCCACCCTTTTGGTGGCTTGGACTGAAGTCCTTGGAGTCATCCTCGGCGCCCCTCTGGCACACCCCACCCCATCTGTCAAGAACCGTGTAGGCACTGCCTTCAAAGCACATCCAGACCCTGACTGCTCCCCCCAACTTCCACTGTGACCACCTCCTGCAGGCCCCACTGCCCCTCCTGGGCCAGCTTCCTTGCCTCCCTGCTTCCATCCTGGTCTCCAACATTCCTACAGCTTGTCCTACAGCCGTGAAGTCAGGCCGCACGCTCCTTGGCTTGGACCCCTCTCCACCCACCCCCAGCGTGAAAGTCAGAGTCCTTCAGGGGCGCACAAGGCCCTGCAGAAGCTGCCCCCGCCCACCATCCATCTACTCCGGCCACAGCATCCCCAACCCAGGTGTCCCTCTCCCACTCTCACCACCTATAATCAGGCCATCTCCTGCCTAGAATATTCTCCCAGCAACCTGCTGGGCTCCCCCCACCCCACCCCCCCAGCCTGGGGTCTCCTGGCCTTTGACCAAATGTCACCTTCCCAATAAGGCTGCCCCAACTGCCCTGTTTAATATTGCAACTTACCCAGAGTCATCCCTGAAACTACCAATCCTCGTATCCTGCCCTGTCCTTTCTCCCTTACACGGAACACCTTCCACACCCGTGCTAGATTAGTTACTTTGTCGACTGTTTTTGCCTCTCCCTCTGCTAGAAAGCCACGTCCAGGAGGGCGGGGTTCTTTATCCATTTCACTTATTGACATGAAGGGGTGTCTGGCATCTAGCAGGTGGTCAATAATGACTGCATGCACGGATGGATGAGCAGAGAAACAATAGCCAGGAGCCCTTTCTGTCCACAGGGATAGAAGTCCCCAGGGGAGGGGGCCGGGAGGGGCCAGGGCTGTGGGTCCAGCAGCATGGTACCCATCTGAGGGGGGAACCGCACCCAGGTGCCCTCTGCTAAGACATGAGGCGTAAGATTATCACCAACCCTGGGAGCCTAGACGGATCACTGCGACCATTTATACAAAGGAGAGTGTGACAGCCCTCCAGGAAGGAGGGTCACCCAGCAGGACCCAGTGTCTCTGGACAGTTTATTTTACATGGGATGAATCTAAGCATCTCAAGTGTACACACAGAGCCAGAGCGAGGCGGGGGTGGGCCGGGGTTGGGGGGGGGGAATGAGAGAGCCTTTCACTTCCTGAAAACGCTTTATAATAATGCAGAACAATTATATATAGCAAACGGCTTCAAAATGTAAACCCTTTAAACATTTAATTCTTTAGCATTAATACACACAAATGCTATTAGGGGGTGGCAGGGGTCGGGGCGGGGGGAGTCGGGGAGGGAGAAATTCGGGTGGGTTACAGCCTCCATAGGGATCAGAGTTTCAACAGTGTTACTTATAAATTATAGTACATCAATTTTATTTACTGATCTAGGCAGCCAGAGGGTGGAAGGGTATACAACGTGAAGTAAACACAGTCATACCGGGATGAGAAATGCTGGCAGGAGACACAGCTTTTTAACATTAAAAATGTATAAAGTATTTAGCAAAAGTTACAGAAAACAGACCAAATAAGCAAGTTTATTTTGTTAGAAAATCCCACTGTCCTAGGGTTTGCTGATGTGCTGGTTGGTGAAAGGGCTGCCCCCCAACTCCCCGGTCCGCCCCCCACTCATCTCCCTCCTCAGGGGAGGGAAGCGATGCCAATTTGGGACCCCCGTCACCATTGCAGACAGCCGGTGTCCCTCTGGGTGTCTGCTCCCGGGTCCGCACAGCTGCTGGATGCCACAGCTCCCAGGAGCCAGTCGGCTGCGTGTGATGCTGGGAAGGACACGTCCCTGCTTGACAGATGAGGGAGCACGGAGGTCCCGGGAGGGAACGCGACTTCACTGCGGGTTACAGGACCAACGAGGCAGCAGGGCGGGGCCGGTCCAGTGCTCTTGCCCTGGCACCATATCCCTTCCCTCTCCGTCCCCGTGTCACACTGTCTCCACGACCACACCCATGTGCCCAGATCCTTTGCACTCTCACTGCAATCCTTTTAGGGACGTCCCTCAAACACAAGGGGTCAGCGTCCCCTGAACAGCACACAGGGAGAGATCCAAAGGTCATCACAACCCAGCTCCCTCGGAGGGACCCTGCAACAAAGGCTCCTGACCTGGCCACACCCCGGCCTCTAAAGGGTTCTTGTTACCTGTGTCTTTTGCTTGCCGATCCTGCAAGCCCTACCTGCCAAAACTCAACCCAGAAGCGTCCAAGAAGCATGGGACCCCGGCGGACTTGGGCTCCATGGCTCACACCTTCCCTGGCCTGGATCCAGGAATATCTTCCATTTGCTTGGTGGGGTAGGGGGTAGAGGGGTGCCTGGTTGCCTCCAAGGGCTCACCTCTCAGCAAGCAGGGCACAATCAGGACATGGCTTGACGGAGTCATCACCTTGGGGGTCATGCCCATAGCTAGCCCAGTGTTAGCTGGGTTGGGTTCTATCTCTGTCACCACCTGCCACCACCCAAGGGCAGCAGGCACAGGCTCAGTGTGACCACCAGCGGAGCAAGGCTCCAGCAGTATCAGGAAGCTCATGGGAAGAGGCTCTGTCTTCATGCTTGTCCTGGCTCCTTGGACACAGACCTCAGGACACGAGATCAAAGATCAGGGGATGAGACCCCAAAGGTAATGACTTATGAGTGCTCCCTTCTGGGCCCGAGGAGGAACTACCTCATTCTCAACAGCTCAGGAAACTCTTCATTTCGGCTCCATTTGGGTCTACACACAAGAGAAGTGCCAGGGTATCCCTCTCGTGAGGATTTCAGACACTACCATGCACAATCACACAGATGGGGCTCAGGTCAAGCATGATGGTGTGGGATACAGAACCGGAGTGAGAAGGGGAGGTGGAGGGAGTGCAGTAGCTGGAGGAGGCTGGGAAGACCAGAACGCACACCTGCAGCCTGCAGCCAAGGCAACAGACATCCAGGGGAAGGTCACGGCCAGCCTGAGGTCACCCCCTGCATTTTTACCGGCCATTTGTCCATTCACCTCCCACACCCAATGCTCAGTAGAAGCTGGAGGCTTTGTGAGCCGAAGGGAGGGCCCCCAGGACTGCGTGGGCTTACCAGCTGAGGTGCAAACCTCAGGCTGCAGCTTAAGTGGGAGGCACCCCTCCCCAACCCCTGGCCCCTTTCTGCACAAAACCCTGAAATAAGCCACAAAGGCCAAGTGTGAGCTCCAAGGACTACCGTGGGCACAGCTGGCGTTTGGAGGCGCCCTGGGAGGCGGAGGAAGAAGCCGTGCAAACAAGCTGAAGACCCTTGGGCCAGGAGCCTCCAGGCCCAACAGAACATTTCCCCAAGTGAGGACTCATGCAACATAGTGCGGTTCTGCGAGACGAAGGAACAAGCTAGTGACACACACACGATGTGCGTGACCCCAGAGCGTGAAGCCGAGGGAGAGCAGCCAGACTCGAGGGCTGTATCGGGGACTCCTTTTGTACGGCATTCTAGAAAGGGCAAACGGCAGGGTCAGATAATCCATCAGTGGTTGCCAGGGTGCAGGAAGGGAAGCAGGTGTATACTGGCTATAAAGGAGTCAGAGGGAATTTTTGGGAGTGATAGAAATATTGTGGTTTTTGTGGCTGGTCGTTAAGACGAGGTCTGTCAAAATTCACAGAACCGTATCCTTCCAAAGGGTGGGTGTCACTGTACATCAATAAACCCCAATAGCGTAGGTCCAATGACCTCCAGAAATCTGGAAAAACAAGGCAGTAGGTCCTGGCGGGGTGGGATTTGGGGAATACACTGATCGATGCCCCCAACTTAACACCTGTAAAGTGCTTTCCAAACTACCTCCATAATCACCAGTGGGTCTGCAGAATCCTGTTTCAACTCTCCCTGTCGAGGCCACTCATGGCTGGAAGTAAAATCACTTCAACAAGCCAAAGTCTTTGATGTCCTTTGAAGTTTATGGCTTGTGTTTCCAAGAAGGGACCTTGGCTCAGCCAAGGTTCTTACCTACCCACCCGCTAATCTAGGAATTGACTGGTCTTCACAAAGGGAAGAGAAACAAACCCCCCGTGTTTGGGAGTGTGGACACTGTTTCGGTTTGCTTCAGTCACTAACCCCAATGAGAAGTGAATGAAGGAGCACAGGGAAAAAAAAAGAAATGAAATTTGTGAAGGCTAATGAGACCAAATTAAGGACAGTGGGGTGGGGGTGGGGAGTACCTTCAGAAAATGGGCTGGAAGAGGCAAGAGAGCCCCCTCTGTCTCCCAGGGAGGACCAGAAGACTCAGGAATCCTCAGATGGGAGGGAGAAAACAAAACCCATGAGCCATATCACACTCAAAATATCTGTTAGTAACAAGGCTATTGGCTTTGAACATTTGAAAATCACCCACAAATGAGTTCACTAAGCCACAAGGCAATTACTACTAGCACCCATTTTTCCTAGAGAAAACAAAAAATAATATCCTAAGATTGGTAGCTGGTGTCACAACCCAGCCCCAGATCTGGAAGGAGTGGTCCTCCCTGCCGGGGACAGATCCACCCTCATGGCTTTCGTGTCGGCAAAGGCCTTCACGTGGACCTTTTTTGGTTAGGGTGTTTTAGTAGGACCGGGGACAGTTTGGGTCACTCTAGGATATTCGGCATCTTTGTACTCTAAACTGAGGACATAATTCTGACTCAATGAAAGAGGTGCCCAAGGATTCAAGATGAGTGAGGCAACAATTCCCAGCATGAAGACTGTAGGACCCCGGGAGTCATGCTCTCAGGATCCTGCCCTAGTAGGAGGTATATGGACCCTGCACATCCAAGTAATTAAAGGGAAAGAGGAGTTAAGAAGGATGGGTTCTCAGGGTGTGGGTTCTGGGCTAGAATCTGCCCCTTGCTGGCTACGTGACCACCTCTGGGGTGGTGGTGAAGCTGCGGGGCGGGGCGGGGGGCATTTCTTCTTCTGGTCCCCTCATGGTGATGCTCAGGGCTTAGATGTGATGGAGAATGTGTTTGCTGTGTTTCTATAAAGGGAGAGAGTGATGAGTGAGGACCCAATGGCGTGCTGAAAGCTTCCCAAGTTACCGGATTTTGTGGGGATCTGGGAGATGGGGGTAGGGGGGAAGATGATATTAACATCAAGCAGGGCTCCGTGCAGGGCTTTGGAACATGCAGGAGGAGCTGAGACCAAGGTGGCAGGACACTGCCTGTAGGGTGACAACCCACTGTGGCCGTGAGAATATGCCATGCCTGTTTGGTGTCGACCAGGGAAAGCAAGCCACATCTGGGGAGGGACAAACCCCAACCCGTCTTCCACAGGGCGCTGACACAGGGCCCTGAGAAGAGCCCAGGAGGGGGCAGGGGTGGCAGGAGGGAGCTTCCCTGAGGAAGCAGTTGAGGGTTGGGTGGATTGGGGTTTCCAGCCCAGAGACTTTACTAAAGATGCCTGACCTAATAGGAAACGCGACTCAACACTCTGACTTGGGGCTGATGTGAATGAGGTAGTTCCATCCTGACCTCTCCAGGCAGGGTCGGTCTGGGCCAAGAGAGGAGCCAGGCCTTATTCCCAAGACTCCCAGATGATGGAAAGTGGCAAAGAAGAGCCCAGATTTGGGCTCTCAGAACATAAGGGGAAGAAAATAAAGAGGGTGGGCTGCAAAGAATTCTGGGTGTGGCCTGGGGAGCTGAACGGTGCCTTCTATCCATGATTCTGATCCTGATACTTGGTTGAAGACAGGGACCTTTCTGCCATGACCCTCCAAAGCCTGGGACACCAGGGGGGCAGCTAGAAGACAGGCCTTGGGGCTTCCAGGGGCACAAGTGTGTGACACAGCTGGCTCTGGGTGGGGAGGTGACCCCTAGGGTGCTCAGCAGGGACCACACCCAGTTCCAGCCTCAGTCTGTCCTGGGAGCAGGAAGCAGAACACAGGAGTCGGGGTGGGGGCGACGGCCTCGGAGACGGGGCAGGGCTGTGGATCCGTCTTCTTGGCCTGGGAATGCGGGCAGCTCCTGGCAGGGCCGCCCTTCTGGAATCACCAGCTCAGTGGCCCGGGACCAGGACAGTGGGTGGGAGGGCGGCTGCGCTCGGTAGTGGGTCCTACAGTGCGCACTGCCACCGCCTCTCTGTGGGACCCCAGGCCCCTCTCTGCAGCAGGACCCCCGGGGCCGTGTGTGCCAGCCTAAATCTCCATGTCCACAGGGCGGATGTTGCCTGTCTTGTGCTCTCTGACCCACAGCTCCCTATCTTTGGCTGGGTCCACTTTTCGAAGCAGTTGGTCCACGGGCTCGACTGTCTGCAAGGGACAGAGAAGGGGACATAGTCAGAGGTGGCAGGTGTGCCAGGGACAACACCTTCGAGCCCTGCTGCTCACACCTTCTGGTCTGTCCCGGCAGCCTCTCTAGAGGGGCTGTGGGGCTCCAAGGGAGGTGCCTGGGAGGTTCAGCCTGGCGCAGGGCTGCAAGAGTGGGGAGCCTGGCCTCTTGCCCCCACTCTGTGACAGCCTCTGGGCACTCTGCCCTCCAGCCTGCAGGCCCGCGTGATGGGGCAGGGTGGCGCTCGGCTCTGGGTCCAGGGCCTCCTCCTCCTCCTCCTGCATCTGTCCCCACCTTTACCACCCAAGAACAGAGCCAATGGAATTTGAGCATCAGAGAATTTGAGTATTTCTGGATTATGTATTTATTTCTTTGGTAAGAAATTTGCCAGGGGAGGTGATAAGGTCTTTAGCTATTTTAACTGTCATGACCTTCTTTCTCCTCGGGGTGACAGCTGACGTCAGTCTCTACCTAGCGCCTCTACTTCGGGCGCCTCTCTGCCACGCATGCCATCTCTCTGCTGTGTGCGTCTGTCTCGGGCGCGTCTCTACCTCGCTAATGTGGGATAGACTCGCGCGTGTCCAGGCCGGTCCGTGAGCCCATCCCAAGAGGTGGCCCCCAGGCCCGGGTGCCACCGGCCACCTTCAGGACAGATTCATTTGGAGGCGCTCCTCAGCCAGCTGCGCCCGCCCCAGGGAGCTCCCCTCGGCCCGGCTCCTCTCCGGGGTGGGGGTGGGGGGGGTCCTCCTGGCCTCAGTCCGGGGTGGGGAACTCACGCTTTGGTTGAACATGTCTGTCTCGTGCCGCAGCTGGGTGTACTGGCACAGGTGCTGCCGGATCATCTCCACCCTCTCCACCTCCAGCCGCTCCAGCTCCTGCCCAGGAGGAGGCCAGACAGCCCTGAGCACCCGCCCTCACCTCGGGGACCAGCCCACCCCGAACACGGAACACCAGTCTCCGTCTGCCCGCTTGGAGCCGCTGAGGCGCTGGGGCTGAACTCGCGCAGCGCCGAGGCGGGGGGCGGAGGCGGTGACAGCAGCTGCTGCGTCCCGAATCCCGCCCTGCCCGGCCGTACGGTGGGGTGGGTGCTGGGAGCTTCACGGCGTTACTTAACTGTCCACAGTAATTTTTAGAGAGAGGCCCTTATCTGTAACCTCACTTGTCCAGAGCACGGGGCATTGTGGGAGGAACGGGGTTCGAACCAGGCTCCTGGGTCTGCACCAGGGAGCCCCAGCCTTGGTTCCCCTATGGGGTGGACAAATGGGTCCCATGCAGAGATTCTGTGCCTCAGTCTCTTGGGGCCTTGTCCCTGGGCCTCTGCCGAGCAGCCTCCTCTCCTCTGGCCATCCAATGCTGACGTGCAGAAGACAGACCAGGCCAGGGGAGGCAGGGGGGCTGGGAGTCCGACGGCCGTTGTCAAATGGAAGAGGAAGGGTTTGTCCTTTGGTTTCTAGATGGTTCTGCATCTTTGGAATTTAGGGGATCAGACTACTATTCTGCGCACAACTAGGTCACTGCCTACGTGATTAACCGGGAAGGAGGGTAAAGCAGGGGGGCTTAATTAGGAGATTAACCAGGAGGAAGACCAGGTCACTGTCCCTGGGGGAGGCTTCTAATCTGCTCTGGTGGGCTGACACCTGGGCACGCAGAGCGTTAGTCTGTCCTGCGCCGGATGGACAACGGTAGCTTTGGGCAGTGGGACAATGCAGGAGATACCTGGTGCCAGGCCTCCTTTCTCATCCAACCCAACGGCCCCAGTGCCAACCACACTTCACCATCCACCCCAACGTGTGCTGAGGAGGAGATGCCGTCCCCTCATAAGAGATACTCAGGGGGTGCCTGGGTGGCTCAGTCGGTTGAGCGTCTGACTCCTGGTATCAGGTCAGATCATGATCTGAGGGTCGTGGGATCAAGCCCCGTGTCAGGCTCCATGCTCAGTGGGGAGTCTGCTTAAGATTCTCTCTCTCCCTCTCCTTCTGCCCCTCCCTACTGTGCTCTGTTTCTCTCTAAAACAAACAAATCTTAAAAAAAAATAAGGCAAAAAAAGGGGTCTGATGCCTATTGCCTGTACCCCTTGGTCAGAGGCCTCCCCTCTCAATCCTCCCAAACAGCTATCCCAACCTCACTCTGTATGCACCCCCTTATCTGGGATGGGCAACCCTTCCTGGGGTGGGGAGGGTCACTCTTCCTGAAACTTGACTGTCTTTCCTAAAGGCACCACTGTACATTTGGTTGAGGGCATCCCTGGGTGAGAGCCTGACCCCTTAGGGAACAGACAAGGAGAGTACGGTAAGACCCAACCCTTGCCTGTGTTCATGCAGCTAGGGAGTGCCAAAGCAGGATCTGAATTCACATAGACTGGCCCAGACTCGAGGTCTTGGCTCTGAAGCAGTGGAGAGGATCTAATGACCACCTCTATGGCCACCTCCATTCCACCATCATCCGCATGCCCACCAGCATCCCCCTGGGACTCCCAAGCACCACTCCCTGAATGGACAACCTTACACATCTCTGCTCACTCACCAATGTGGTGGTCACCATCTCTTCAAACCATTTGGACTGGGCTTGGTTGTAGAGGTCCACACAGCGCATGAGGTCATCTCCTGGAAAAGACCATCAGCCACCATCACACTCTGTCCTGTCCTCACCATGGCTTCCCTCCTCCATCTGTGCCCCATGCCCTCTCCTTTCCCTGGGTCACGGAAGCCACTGGAATGTGGAGAGACGGGAAGCAGAGCAAATGAAGGGGCAACCCTGCATCATGAGCTCGACCCCAGATACTAAGAGCTCAGGATGAGGGTTTCCAGTATGTGTGTGTGTGTGTGTGTGTGTGTGTGTGTGTGCTCCTAGGACCCCCCCAAATTCTACCACGAACCCAAGAGATGCTTTCCTCTCTAAAGATGGCTTCTCATTTGACACTGGAGAGTCCTTCTTGGTTAAACATGTGTCACAAGCAACCTGGAAGTAGCTAAGAGTGAAAGAAGAGAAGTCTGTAAATCGTGTGTGTGTGTGTGTGTGTGTGTGTGTGTACATGCACCAGAATATAATTCTGAAACACAAAATAATGTGCCTGATAGTCTGTGGCTCACTCCTGTACAGTAATAGTACGAAGATATGCACTGGCGTGCTACACACCAATTCTGGGACGGTGGTCACTTTGGAAAGAGAGGATGGGTGGGAAGAAATAAGCTCCTCCCATAGCATTTTATTTCTTAAAAGAGACGGGTGAAACAACCCTAACTCTTCAATCTTGATGCTTGGTAGGTTATTTTCTGGAAAGGCAGGTACATTCGAAATATTTTGTAATTAGAAGGAAAATAAGCCATAGGACAGTTGCAAGCATTACTAAGCATATCAGCACCCAGAACGTTATTGCCCCGAACGCAATGCCTGGCCCTGCAGCCTCAGTATGCCCTGGGAACTTGCCAGAAACGCAGATCCCAGGGCACACCAAAGACCTACTGAATCGGAAACTGCATTTTCCCAAGATCCTCGGGGGAACCCCGTGCACATTGCAGCTAGAGAGGCATCACTTGGGCACACGGCTCCATCTCAATGTGGTTTTCTGATCATCATTGGGTTCCAGAGATAGGAAGGAATCACAGCCTTTGTTTGAGATGCAAAAAACTCAAGAACCAATCCCAAGCTAGCAGATTCACTCTCAATCTAGTAATTCCAGCGGAGTCAATGTCCTCTAACATCCCCTGCTCATGTGTATTCTGAAATGGAAGTGAAAGAAGTTGGGGAGACTCCCGTCCACGTAGCCCAGGGCCCAGCTCAGCACCACCTTCCACTGAACTACACTGTTGCCAAGAGATGAGCCCGAGGAACAGAACAGAACCAAGAGCTCTTGACCCATCCTCAGTAATGGGTCCCTGATCCCAAGAAGGACTGATCTGGAGAGAAGAAAGTGTATACTTCACAGCCAACACATTCCCACCAGGAGCCTGACAGCAACTGACCAACGAGGGGGGTCAGCAAGTCACCCTACAAACATATGATACTCAAACTCCCAAAAAAGCCCTCTTTGTCGATCCTGATCTTGAGACCATGCTTTGGGATCTTGTGCGACATCAGGAAATCGGGTAGCTGCAGGAGGACTGGAGGGTTTGACAAGAGGCTCTGAGGCATGGGGCCAGGCATGAGGCACACAGAAGGGGTTTTGGAAAGGAAGAATTTTTCAGTTAGAACCAAGGGCAAGGACCAGTTGCTTCCATCATAAGAGAATTCCAAACTGTAGAGATAAGAGTCTGTATTATCTGGTGGCCACACAACCAGCCAAGACACAAACAGCAAGACCAGAAGAACAAATGTAGCAGAGCCTTCCCAGCACGAAAATGGAACGTTCTTCTGAATTCGGCTGCAATTGACTAGAAAGAGCAAGTAGCAAGATTGTCCAGAATGTGCGAGAAACGGAATAGCCAAGTATCTACAACCCAAGAGAAATGAATGTGAAGCAAAATATCTAGGATACGATGTAAATGAATACACAAAACAATGGAACTCGAGGAACAGGGCACAAAGCAGTGCTGTGGGTTCAAATAATCTCCTGGTGGGTCAAGTATTTACGTGTTTATTTTTTTACACCTGAGGCTAAAGGAAAAAAGTGATTTAAAAAATATATATTGAGGAAGGAAAGGTCTTTCTAAGGGAGTCACAAAATCCAGACCTTATAAGGGAAAAAGACTGTTCTGCAAAAAAATTCAAGAAGAAAACAAGTGAGCAAGTGAGCAAGTGAAATATAAAGAACAAAATTAAATGCTAAATGGCAACCTAGGAAAAATATTTGCAAGTCAAACCACGGAAGGTTAATTTTCCTGACATATAATTAATCCTTGTCAATCAATCTGTCAGAACAAGACCAGCCACCTGAAAAGAAATAGGGGAGAGGACAGGAGTTCATCCGTTCACAGAAAAAAAAAAATCACAAGTGACATACAGAAGTCTTTTTAAATGCTCAAATTCGGGTGCCTGGGTGGCTTAGTCGATGAAGTGTCTGCCTTCAGCTCAGGTCATGATCCTGGGGTCCTGGGATCAAGTCTCACATCGGACTCCATGCTCAGCAGGGAGCCTGCTTCTCCCTCTCCCTCTGCCCCTGCTCTCTCGCTCTCTTGCTCTCTCTCCCCAATAAATAAATAAAATATTAAAAAATTTTTTTTTTAAAAAGTGAGTTCAGGACATGGAATGGAAAATGACCTACTGTGTATAAATTTAAATATCAAGAAACATTTAAAAAAGTTCAAACACTAGGAAGTGTTGGTGGTGCATCTATTTAGTGAGTTGGATTTTTATATTCTTAGGTGCTGGTCACATTTTTTTTGCCAGGCAGCGATAAAATTGTATTGTTAAAATAATTTAATAAATTGAGCTAATTGAAACAGCCTCTTCCCGTCCTGGGTTTGCCTTCCCAATCCCCTGGGATAAGTATATTATGCCTTCTATTTCTGGATCTGGTTATCACTATGTATTACAGGATCTTTCAATCAAATGTTGTGTTTCTGTCACACTGCTTTGTGATCGACTACCTCTACACCACTGTATGATCACATCCAGACGGTGGGCTTCGTTCTGTAATGCGTTGTCTTAGGTTCACCAGAAATTCGGGTGAGAAGGACACTGGACCCAAAACCTAATCACAGCGCACGCTTTAATCCCAGAAAGCCATCGCATTGCCACCTGCGTGCCACTCAACTTGGACTTCCTGAACAAATAGTGACTATTTTTTTTTAACCTGGTTCTAATTGGCCTTTCTCCCCCTTTCTTGTGCGTCCACAAGTTTTTAACCACGAGGTTGAAGTAGAAACTGACTCAAGGGTGTGTGTGGGGGGGAATCTTTGTGTGAGAATCTGAAATCTGGTTCTTTCACCGAACAAAATGTGGGCATCCGTGGTGGGGCAGGGGGTCTCTCCACTCGCCATAAGGAAGCCCTGGGAGTATCCTCGCAGGGACAGGAGCCTTGAGTTCCGGACGCATGGAGGATTTTGTCTACCTCCTGGTCTGAGGTCCAGGGTGGCCCCCTCATCCCCCAGGAGGGCCTGGACACAGCGTCATGACCCCCTCCACGGTCCTGCCTTTTTTTTTTTCATTTACTTATGAGACACACAGAGAGAGGCAGAGACACAGGCAGAGAGAGAAGCAGGCTCCCTGTGGGGAGCCTGATGCGGGACTTGATCCCAGGACACCGGGGTCAGGCCCTGAGAAGACAGATGCTCAACTCCTGAGCCACCCAGGTGTCTGTCCCTCAGCCATGCCCTTTCTGTACCTCGGAGGCCCCGGCGAGGACCAGAGAGGTAGGGGGCCCGGTGGCCGCACTCACCAGCCTGTGTGGACTTCCTCCGTGCTTTCTTGATGTCTTCCTCCGTCTTGTTGCTCAGCTTGATTTCCAGCTGCTGGGTCTTCATCTCTAGGTCTCTCTGCCGCTCTGTGAGAGCCTTACGGGCCTGGGGTCCAATGACATGAGGAGGCTGCCCATAGGACTCCATGCCAGGGGGGCCCCTGGGGTTATGCAGCCCAGCCTCCCTGTTGCTGGGTAGGGTCCTGACTTCTCTGTGTTTGTGGATCGTTGTCTCCCCAGCAGGTGCTCAGCGGATGGCAGCACCAGCCACCCCACTCTGAGTCCAGATGGGCCCTGGGGTGGCCACAGTTGGCAGGGTTTAGGGTGCCCACAGCAGGATGTGCCCCTGGTCCTGCGCCCCTTCCCAAGGCACTGGGGTTAGCAGCTCCCAGCAAGGTCAAACCTCCAGGCCTCTGCCAGGGGAACCAAATCATCAGGAGGAAATCTGCCCAGAGGCCCGGATAAAGGGCCTGCGTGGACCAGCACACGTGCCCGCTGAGCATCTCACAAAAGCGTGGGCTACCTCGTTTCCTGTGCCTGGGGAGCCCCACTTGGTCTCTCACTGGTCCTTTGGCAGTGACCCGAGGGTCCCAGGGGTGGAGTGGGGGATCCTCAGGTGTGGGCTGGGGGCTGCTGTTCCCCCTACCGCCACCCCAATCCCACCACCCGGGGACAAATGCCTCTGCTGTGGGTCACGGACCCTGCCGTCACCCAGCCTACTGGCCTCCCAGGCCCCTCACCTTCTCCACCGCGGCATAGCGGCTGGCGAGCTGCTTGCGGAGGTCGGCGATGTGGTGGTCACACTTCTTCATGTCCTTCTTAAAGTTCTCTCGGAAATTCATTAAGGGCTTCTCTACCTCGCTGTGCAGCTGTCGAGGAAAGTGTGTGGGGGGGACATGCTCAGGACCTGGGGATGTCAGGTGCAAGATGAGGTGGGGGGGGCACTCTCCCCCACTCTACAGGTCCAGCCAATAGGAAGGCAGACACAAGGGGCCACCCAATAGGTCTCGGATCAGGGGGTCACTTTAAGCTGGCCAGGCCCCAGGATTCACACCTTAGCGTCCAAGGCTTTCCGAGCCCTTCATCGGCTACCTCCTGCTTCCTCTAGGCTCTCACCACTGCTCGTAGGACTTTGCTCAGGTCCTCAGCTTACTTTGCTTTACTTTCCAAACTGGGGTTTGGAAACCAAGCCACCGCCTCTTTGTCCCCAAGTACCTAGCACAGCGAAGGCCTTTTAGTGAGGTGAGCTCAGGTCAGTTCTATTTGCTGAACATCTGCCACATGCCGGGTGCCCCAGATTACAAGGATGGTCTGGACACGGGTCAGAGCTCGAGGAAGCCATGGTGGGCACTGCCCAGGGCCGGGAGAAGATCCCAGCTGCTGGTCTGGGTGACCAGCCCAGGAGGCTCCCCTCTCTGGTCTGCTTGGAGACAGGTGCACCTCCCCTCCTGCCTTGAGGGAGCCAGCCTCTATCTGGAGAGCCAGAGAGGTGTGGGGTTTTTCAAGCCTTTTCCTTCTCTTTTATGCTTCTTCTTTTCCCCCCTACTCCACCCTTTTGAAGGAGAGCTTTTACAGATCAACGTGGCCCTGCTGTGGTCAGAGCCAGGTGGGCAGCCCAGAGCCCAGTTGACTTGGGCCCTCACACTCAGCCTCCTGAGCGCTCTGATTCAGCCTCCCGAGGCCCCCAACTCTGCCTCTCAGAGCCCCTTGACTCAGCCTCCTGGAGCCCCCAGCCCAGCCTCCCGGAGCACCCTCGACTCCGCCTCCTATGCCCCCCCCCCCCACCAGCCTTCCAGGGTCCCTCAGCCAGTCCCCAAAGCGCCTTTGGGAAGCACAGCCGAACATTCGAACATGACCTCCCAACAGGGGTTCTGCGACTTCTCTCTCTTCCTTCTTACCGGTCTCTTGCTACATTATCTTTTTCTCTGGAGACCTCAGGACTTCGGTGTTTGTAGTTCTATATCAAATACAGGTGTGTGTGTATGTGTGTGTGTGTGTGTGTGGGGGGGGGTCCCTGAGGGCAGAGGCCCAGCTGGCTTTGCCCCACTGTGTCCAGAATGTCTGGTCAGAGCTGGTGCGGAGTGGGAGCCCCTTTACTACTAGGGAGAGTGACAAAATCCTTAGTGCCCAATGCCTGGGAGACAAGTCGATGCCTTGGTTGTTGGATGATTGTCAAAGGCTAACAGAGCACAAGCCTCCTGGAGCACTCTGATTCAGCCTCCCGAAGCCCCCCAACTCAGCCTCCCAGAGCCTCTCGAACATTGGTCTTAGCTCTGCATGCGTGTGAGCACCTGTGCGTGGCTATCTGGATGTGGACACCTATGTGCCCTGGCTGCCCATGCAAAACTTATTACTGGTGGGTCCCAGTCAAATAAGTTTCAAGTCACTGATCTGGTCCAAGCTCTTCATTTCATACGTGAAAAAAAAAAAAAAAAAAAAGGAAACAACCCCCAAACACCCCTCTCTCCCTGATGTCAGCTGTAAATGCCTCCAACTTTTCCAAGCCCCTAGAAGCGGACTTGCATAGGAAAACACCCCCACCTGGTGGCAGTCCGAAAGATGCTACACCCTTGAGAGCGGCCCAGAACACGCAGGCCCTTTCCCACCTACATCAGGTGTTGGCGGAGGAGAAGCATAGCTTAGCTGCTGGGGGGACCTGCTCCTGATCGGGGATCTAGGAGGGTTAACTCAGCCTGTCGATTCAGTAACCCCGGGGTCTCTTTCCAAGGGCCTAGGAAGTGGGCTGATTTCCAGATGTCCACGTGCCCAGGAGCTTACTGTCCAGAGGGTCTTTTCAACATTCAGGATTTTCAGGATTCCTGGGCCCCAGCCCCCGGTTCTGTGACTTACAAAAGGGCCCAGTACACCAAAATGTGCCTCCCAGATTCCAAATGACTTTCTGGAAACAAAACGCTACTAGCTGTCACAGGCATGCAATCCCATAGATAGAGATTCATAGTTCTATGTTCTAAATGCTTTTAAAAGACTCATTTTGGGGTACCTGGGTGGCCGTTCGTTAGGCATCTACCTTTGGCTCAGGTCATGATCCCGGGGTTCTGGGATCCAGACCCATACTGGGCTCCCCGCAGAGAGCCTGCTTCTCCCTCTGCCCCTCTCCCTGCTTGTGCGTGTGTGTTCTCTCTTTCTCTCTGTCGAATGAATAAATAAAATCTTAAAAATAAAATAAAAGACTAATTTTTTTCTTTGAGAACGCTGGCTGGGTGTCCTCTTATACTTGTTCCTAATGCCTGAGCATCTTTGCCCAGGGACAGAGGCCTTCCTGGATGCTTGTCCTTGTGACCTCCTGAGCTGGCCTAAGAGCTGTGAAATCAGTTCAGTGTCAGTTAGGTCAGAACTAGCTTTTTGATGAGAAATAGAGAACACCAGGGACACCTGGGTAGCTCAGTGTTTGAATATCTGTGTTTGGCTCAGGTCGTGATCCCAGAGTCCTGGAATTGAGTCATGCATCTTGAGACTTCTCCCTCTGCCTATGTCTCTGCTTCTCTCTCTGTCTCTCATGAAAATAAATAAAATCTAAAAAAAGAAAGAAAGAAAGAAAGAAAGAAAGAAAGAAAGAAGAAAGAAAGAAAGAAATAGAGAACACCAGAGTACATTTTAGGTAGAAGTAGCGTAGCTCTGTGGAACATTTGTCTTAGCTATGCATGTGTGTGAGCACCTGTGCGTGGCTATCTGGATCTGGACACCTGTGTGCTCTGGCTGCCCATGCAAAACTTATTACCTGGGGGTACCAATCAAATCAGCTTCAAGTCACTGATCTGGTCCAAGCTCTTCGTTTCACACATGAAGAAAAAAAAAAAAAAGGAAGCCCAGAGTTGCTAAGACTTGCTCCAGGTCACAAAGTTGGTCAGGAAGAGAACGGATATAAAACTCACGTCTCTGGACTCCCACTGTCCCCCTAAAATCTTCTGTCTGAATGCACGGCCTCTCTTGCATGATTGGATTTTTTTTCTTCTGTCAGAATTTTTCTATTTTCTCTTCCTCAGCTGAAGCCAGGTAGATCCTCCTTTGCATACAGCAATCTTACTTCTTCAGGAGCCTGTTGGTAGGGATGGTGGCTCAAGCCAGGAGATAGCAAAGCCTGAAAGATTGCCATAGCTGAAATTGCATTTCTTAAAGTGCTCTTACCCCTGACACAGAACATTCAGAGTGAATTTCAACAAGCCCTGTGGAGCAGATGCTAAAATGGGTTTCGGCCATAGGGAGCCCTATTATCCATGGCAGATGCATAAATCCTGGGAGCCCCTTTGCTTTTGAGGAATCATCATCCAGCCACTGGGCTGCTACCCTGGTCGCCTCCAAGGGCCACCAACATTCACAGGCTGAAGGCAGGAGAAGCTCCCATAGAAAAATCCGGTTTTCGTGAACATTCGTCACAGATCTTCCATCAGCTGCATGGTGAAGTCAGCCCTACCTTGACAACACCTGGCTGAAAACATCCCGAGTGCTTGGAGGGGGAGGCCTGAACCCCCCTGGCCACCCCCTGAGAGAGGACAGAGTGTCCCTTAGAACAGGGCTCTGTGCATTTTTAAATGCCATTGGTCTGCCCAGAGAGAAGGTCCAGAGGGCAAGCTGCCAATTCCCTCAGTCCTGTCCTCTGCTTCCTCAGGAGCATGTGTGAAATGCAGATGCTGACTGCCAGGGTGCTTGTTAAAACCCAAGGGAAAGGAGTTAGTCCCTTCACGGAACCTTCTAGAATGCTTGCACACTGGGATGCCTTGATTCAACAAATGTGTATTTTGGCCTTGGTCCCCAGCTCCCGGCTAGAACTCCCGAAAGCTTTGTAACCCCCCAAATGATCGGGGTGCTAGGAGCATCTCTGGTGCTAATATTTGGTCTTTGACCCTGGTCCCAGACACAGAACCCCTACCTAAATCCCTTGGCATTTCATGGGAGACAGGAGCATCTTTCTAATGATGTGACCTCGGTGGTCTCCTGGGGAGCTTCAGGATGGGGGCCGGTCACCAGAAAGCCCAAACCATGATTAGAAGCTTGAAACTTTCAGCCTCTCTTCCATCCCCTGGGGAGGGAAGGAGAGGGGGGCAGAGATGGAGTTCATAAGCCATCACGCCTATGTGATGAAAATTCTATAAAAATCCATCAATTATAGCGTTTGGAGAACTTTTGGGTTGGTGACCTCATCCACCTGCCGGGCAGTTGGGACACCCCAATGCCATGAGGACGGAAGCTCCCGTGCTCAGGACTCTTCTGGACCTCACCCTATGGACCTCTTCATCTGGCTGTTCATCCGTATCCTTCACGATGTCCTTTAATCTGTGATAAACCGGGAAACCTAAGTACATGTTTCCCCGAGTTCTGTGAGCCATTCAGCAAAGCATCAAATGTGAGGAAGGTGTCGTGGGAAGTCCCGATTTGTCACTACGCCAGACACACGTGTGGCCAGACTTGGAAGCAACAAGGGGGACAGTCTTGTGGGACGGTGCCCTTTGCCCATGGGATCAGATGCTTCTCTAGGCAGGTAGCGCCAGCATTGAGCTGAATTGTAGGACACCCGGCTGGTGTCAGAGAAATCAGTGGGTGTGGGAAAACCAGACATGGCTGGTGGCTCGAAGTACCGATGCTGGTGAAGGCAGAGGTGGTGGCAGCGGTGAGGGTAAAAAGACGTAGAGAAAAATGTGTGTATTTGGAGAATATTTTGTCACCTGTTGGGCACTGTATAAATAATCAAGACTGGAGGATCTCGGTGATGAGGAGCGGGTGCCAGCAGGGTTCCCGGGGACCCAGCAGGTGACCTTTCAGAACTTATAGATCCAGCTCCACCTCACACTGGCAGCCTCCCTCCCCCATCTCCCCCATCAGTGGAGGCTTCTGCCTCCATGGAGGCCAGGACGCGAGAAGGGAGACCTCAGGGGAACACTCCCTGATCAACAGCTTGGAAATAACTCACTGCTTTCTGCCGAGGCAGAAAAAGGACGCTTCACGGAGCCCCCTCACCCACACTCGACTGGCAGATTTCCTGCGAGGTGCTTAGTGGCTGGGTTAAGGGTGCTGTTGCGAGCCCAGAAGTCTCACTCACGGCTGGTGTCAACCTGACTTCGGGGTGCTAACATCCTTCCAAAGCCGGGGGTGGGGCTGCTAGCGGCATTGTTTCTTCCTCCCACCCCAGATCTTTATAAAGCCCTTTTGTGGGTCCCCATCACTTGAGCCACTCATTCTGCCCTCTGCGTGCAAGGGGGACCGTCACGGGGTAGGGTGGTGAGACACGTACGAAGCCCGATTCCTGCCCTCCGATGGCGCACATCCCAAAGCCCCAAAGGGCAATGCCTACGAGCAAAGCTCCGGAGAACAGATGGAACCATGGGTGCTGAGTGTGGAACTCAGGGAGAAGCAGACGCCTCTGGGAGGTGCTACCTCCACATGGTAGTAAAGGAGGCAATGTACCCTCCAATTTGGTGACAGTGGGAAGGGTGCAGACCCCACGGGACAAAGGCCACCAAGAATGGTGCTACTCTCAAGGATCTCTCTTCCTTTAAAACGCAATCATGCTAGTGGGCAGCCCCATCAGTCATGCACACTTTAGTGTGAATTATTTCCCTTAGACTCTGGGTTTATTTTTTCCCCCTGAAGAGTAGGTGAGAGCCTGAGATGGAATCTGGAGATCTGAGCCAGGGAGCGGGGAAGAAGAGGGTCACCTGGGAACAGAAAGATCCCGAGAGAGAGTAGGCTTCAAAAGACAGGAGTGGGGGCACCTGGGTGGCTCAGTGGTTAAACATCTGCCTTCGGTTCAGGGTGTGATCCCAGGGTCCTGGGACCGAGTTCCACATTGGGCTCCCCACAGGGAGCCTGCTTCTCCCTCTGTCTGTGTCTCTGCCCCTCTCTGTCTCTGTGTGTGTCTCTCATGAATAAATAAATAAAATCTTAAAAAAATGCACAAAGGGAATAAATACTTATAAAACACCAGTACTTATGAAGCTTTGACTATTTTCTGAGCTCCTGAGGGACACGCATGGCCCCTGATGCCACTGCTTTGCTGTCTCTCTGCCCCGCACTGGGAATCCACACCGCGGACCACGGAAGGGGCCGGGGGGACACACTGGGGAGATCCCTGCGAGCCCTTCAGCAGCACACGGCTGCATGTGACCAGCTCAGAGAGGCCGCAGGGCCGGCTCACCTTGGCAGAGAACTTGAGATGAACTTCCGCCTCGTCTGCAAGGCTCTTCTTCACCTGGGCCCACGCTTCTCCCAGGGAGCTGTAACAGGAGAGAGAAGGTCAGACCCAGGCAGCGGCACTGCCCTCAGAGATCTTGGCCCCTCCTGGGGGGAGGGCGGATTCTCCACATGGGTTCAGCGGGGGAGGGGGACCATCCCAAACCGAGCTGAGGATCTCAGGACCAAAGGGGGCAGGCAGCAGCACCTGGGGAAACATCCAGAAACTCAGAGAACCGGGGGAGATGGGAGAAGGAGGTGGGGTGCAGGTGCACAGCAGGCACCTGCCCGTGCCTTCCTGGCGCCCACCCTGGTTCATGGGAGCGCAGTGTGAAGGCCTGCTGGCCTCTCAAGGAAGAAGGAAAGCCACCTCTTTGGGGAGAAGCCCTTCTCAAACAGAAGGTGCCACACAGCCCCGCCTGCGGGCAAGCCTCCAGTGGCCAGACTTCCAAGGTGATGGTGGTGGTGGAGGGGGGGGAGATGGACCCCTGGGCGGAGGGACTGCTCACGGATGCCCACGCAGCAGGGAAGGCTCTCGATCCCCATCCACAGAGGTGCGGCTCCCCCAGTCCTGATTCTGGGCTGTAGAGCCCCACCCGATGCGGCCCACACCTTCCACACCCAGAAGGGCAGAGTACCGTGACCTAATCATCTGCCACCCAAAGGAGAGGTTTCAAAAATAAAAGCAATCTTCTCCTGAGGTCCCCAGGGTCTTCACGAGTGGTCCCCACACCCTCCACCACCTGGAACCCTCGAGCCTCGCTGGGCTTCAAGCGACATGCACGCAGTCCTTGCTCGAGACCTCCCCACGCAGCCCGTAAACCCGGGCTGACTGTTGAGATGCCTTCATCTCATCAAAAAAGCCACCATCACCCCCCACACCCCCACTCCCTCCCCAGAGAATCCGTAAAACATCCAGCGAAGTGGCACAGCTGAGTCAAAAAGCAGCAGGTCGCGCGGCTCCTGGGCTTCGAGCGAGGCCACCGGCAGTGAGACTCGTCCAACAGAACACAATGAGTTCCTCTGGTCACAGTCCAGGGCCGTCTGGCTGCAAGGCTGGCTCACGGGAAATGGCTGACCCATTTTATCTAGGGGTCCGGCAGCACAGAAAGGTCCCCCGGGGCGATCCTGGCTGGGGAGCACAGTCCATCAGGGAAGAGCCGGAGGGAGCCACGGGGCACTCCAAGCTGTTGGCATCTGTCTTGTTCGGAAGGGGACTGAGCTCCCGGAAGCGGTGCTGGGGCAACTCTGGGTGGCCTGGGCTCTCCCTTGATTTGGCAGATGGTCAGGGGGCCCGGGGATGGGGGGAAGGTGGAGGGGGTGGGAGCAGTCGTGGCGGTCACGTGGATACAAGAACAGAATGCCAGGTGCAGACACAGGCACGCAGGTAACAGGCAAGTGACCAGTAACAGGTGCCAAGCACCTGGGGGTGGGGTGGGGTCAGAGACGACTGCATATCCACGGGGTGGTGGTAGGGGAGGTAAAAAAAAAAAATCTCGAACCCTGGCCTGATGCTCCAACATGCAGATTATCTCAAGAGGATCACAGATCTAAAGTGAGAGCCGGGAGGAGTGGGAGCTGGAATCCAGGCTGAGCTCCCCGTGAACCTACAAACCAGAGCCCGGCAGCCAGAAAGGCCCTGGGCGCTGCTGAGCCTGGGCGCCTACGGTCAGCACGTGGAACTGGCCCAGGGCTTTGGAGGCCTGAGAAGGGCATCTGGGTGCTGCCCTGGAAAGGAAGGAAGCAGCCTGGGTCCCACACAGGATGAGGTCCTCGGCCCCCACCCACTGCCTCCAGGCTGGGCATTCACAGGGGGGCGGGTGCCACCGCAACCCTCAGATGGGCCTTTGAGCAAGCAGCACACACCCCCATCCACCCCCCCTACTTCCTCACCCCAGAATTCCAGGCCCCTCCAGAGCCACCTCCCAGTTTAGGGGGGAAAAAAAAAAGCAATTTAGAAATTCTCTCCCTCGAAGACAGATTTTTTTTCATCTGCGGAGAGGTTAATGAAAGGAAGAAAACCTGAGATGTATTTCCATTCCAACGTACGGTCTCAGGCAAGCCGAGTCAAAATGTGTGTTACTGTCACAATTACCAACCCGCAAAGACCCAAAGCTCATTTCCCGTGTGTTCACCGCCCCCCCACTCCCTCCCCAAAGCCCCCACCGGTCCGCCAGGAGGAGTGTGTGGCTGGGCAGCCACGATGGGATGCACATTCACGCCCGCGTTGCAGGTGCACGGCGCCGAGGCCCGTGAGCGATCGTGCGCTGGGTGGCCCGTGTGTGTCAGTGCGTGTGTGTACGGCACGGTGGTGCAGGCCTGGCTCGTGCAGCTGGGAGCATATGCTGAGCATGTTGGCAGGATGGAGTGTCCCTGGCAGCAGCCCAGGCCGAGGAGGTGGAAGCCGGAAGACTCCAGAACAGCCCTGCGCTTGCAGGGCACGGAGATATGCAGGAAAGCCTCCTTGCCAGGCGGAGGGGCGACTCCCCCACCCACTGACGCCTCCTTCCTGCTCCCGTCTTGGGTCCAGTGTCCCAGGGGTGGGGGCAGAAGGGGGCCACGGGGGTGAGCTCATTTCTGTGGAGGAGCCCCTGGCCCTGCAGGGACCGCCCTGTGGCCCACCACACCAGCGAGAAACCACAGAGCGGCCGCCACTTGGCCACACGGCCGGCCCACGCAGAGAGGCCTGAATCAAAGCCACGTTGGGTTGGCACAGCCCGTCCCCTGGAGGCTTCAGGCCACGCAGGCGGATTTGGACTTAGCATCGCAGCCCTCTGACGACCATAACCACCCACAACAGGACGTCCTCCGTCCTTACTTCCCCTCGCAAGAGAGGTTCCAACACAGAGGGAGGCAGCAATGGGGCGAAGGCCTCGGCGGAGGCGGGGGGAACCTTCCAGCTCCCCCCTCCTGAGTCTGCAGAACTCACGTTCTGTGAAATTAATTTAAAGAGAACAATCCCACGATGTTCGGCACATTCACCATATTGTGCAACCACTGCCTCTATCTTGTTCTAAAACCTGTGCGTCCCCCCCCGTTAGGGGCTGAGTGTGTGGGTCTCTACCTGACTCAGGTTGCAACCCTAAGCCTCCCCCACTCCACCTCCTCCCAGGGTGGCTGTTATTTGGAGATGGAGCCTCTAAGGAAGTAATAAGGTCATATGAGGTCAAAAGTGGTGGGGCCCCAATCCAATAGGATTCAGGTCCCTATAAGAAGAGACTCCAGAGAGCCCATGCTCTCTCCACACCAAGGGAAGCCCGTAGGGAGATGGTGGCCTCTTGTAACTCAAGAGGAGAGCTCTTTCCAGGCACCAGCCCTTCCAGCCTCATGATCTTGGGCCTTCCAGCCTCCAGAACCATGATAAGGGACATCTGTGTCATTGAATCTGCCCGGTCGGTGGTACTCTATCATAGCTGCCCAAGCAGATGACTATACACACCCCAAAAGGAAACCCCGAACCCATGAAGCTGTTTCTTTCCATTCCATGCTCCCCTGGCAACTCAGCAACCACCTATCTTTGTTCCGTCTTTGTGGGTTTCTCCTATTCTGGACGTTTTATAAAAATGGAATCCTATAACATGCAACCTTTTCTTCTTTAACTTAGGATAATGTTTTTGAGGTTCATCCACGTAGTAGCCTGGATCAGGACCTGAGATCCCTTTCTCATGGCTAAATAATATTCCATCGCATATCCCTACGATCCAGCATGGACGGATATAAAACTTGTTGGTCCATCCATCCCCCGATGGCCATTTGGGTTGTTTGCATGTTTTGGCTGTCATGGATGGTGTTGTTATGAACACATGCATACGGGTATTTGAGTACCTATTTTCAATTCTTTTGGGCATAAACCTACAAGCGGAATTTCTGGGTCATACGGTAATCCTGTTTAGCATTCTGAGGCCCTGCCAAACTGTTTTCCTTGGTGGTGGCACCATTTTACATTCCCACCGGCGGGCTGCAAGTGTTTTATGTTAAGAAATGAGCAGAAAGGGACACTTGGGTGGCTCAGTGGTTGAGCATCTGTCTTCAGCTCAGGGCACGATCTCAGGGTCCTGGGATCTAGTCCTGCATCGGACTCCCCAAAGGGAATCTGCTTCTCCCTCTGCCTGTGTCTGGCCTCTCTCTGGGTCTTTTGTGAGTAAATAAATGAATCTTTTAAACAAAAGAGAGAGAGAGACAAGCAGAGAAAACTAGTCTTCCACTGCTAGGGACCCCTCTGTGGTTGGGAGGGTGGGGCTGATCCTCTTGCCAGCCCAGATCCTGAACCCAAGGAGGTCTGGACCCCTGCAGCTGGAGAGGCACGGGAGCCTGGCTTTTGAGAGAGAATTCTAAATGAGGGCCCGGGTACAGAATCCTCTCCCACCCAGGGTCTTACCAGCCTGCTCTCAGAGAGACGGGAGCTGGAGTGAGAGTCTGGGGGTTGGCGTGCAGCGTCCAGGGCATGGGGTAGAGGGGCTGCTGACATACACCAGGATCTGGTGGGAGGCCCTTGGTCACCAGATAGAAGATAATGGGGAAGTGCCCACCTTGAGCATGGACGCACATACCTGCAATCATGAGGGCCCACCTGGAGCCAGGCCTATGCAGACTTCCCCAGTCACGTGGGACCACGGCACCAATTAGGGATCAGAGACAAGGAAGTCCCCCATCCTGTCTGCTGTTCCTTCCCATTCCCGTCACCATCCCCCCCACTCACCCTTCCTCCTGAGCAGCCAATGAATTCTGAGAGAGCTTAGCCAAGTTTTTTGCGTATTCCTCTTCTATCTTTATCCTGCAAATGGGAGAAAACCCAACATGTCAGCTCAGCGGCATGAGATCATATCATAGGTCTGACCCACAGCCCTGCCGCCTACTGACCGTGTAAAGGAACCCACTAGACCACAGGCTCTGAGAGTTCAAGGTTCTTGTCCATCCACCCAACACATGGCAGGTGCTTAGAAAAATCCCTGTTGAGTGAACGAGCTTGTGTGAATCTCTGTCTCCTTATCTGTAAAATGGGGTGACCCCATGTGTCTTCTGGGCTGTGAAGAGGCGCTCTTATTCGCATCACTCCTAGCCCAGGGCTGGACACGTGGGAGGCCCTCCGATGAATGAACATAACCTGTGATAGACCACAGGGACACGCAGGACAGCCTCCCTTCTGGCCCCTGCACCCCAGGGGTAGATCCTCCAAAGCGGGGACGGCCCCCACAAAGCAGGAACATCACCTCCCCCTACAGTCCCCCAGCCCTCAGCATCTCCCGACCATCAGGCCTGCAGGCCACACGTATTTCCATGGAAACTGGGCAGTGCCCAGAGCTGCGGCTGCCTCCGTTCCCCGAGCGAGGGAGGTTGCCTTGGATTTTGCTTCCAGCAGGCGAGCCCTTGACATACTTTCAAGGCAACTCTCTGGGGAGTGTTCTGGATTAACTGGCACATCATGTGAGAGTGTTGTCCCCGGCGATGCTCAGCACCTGAGCGGTGCCCTGGGCCTTGTGGGGATGAGGGACCATGCTGTGACGTCCAGAGCCACCACGCAGAAGCCCCCGGACTTTCCCTCGGCAAATAGGAAGGCCTCAGAGACCCTCCGGGGGCTGCAGCCTTGCTCTGAGCAGCTCTGAAGCTGATGGCCCCAGGTGTGGTGATGGCGATGGGTGGCCTAACCAAGCCCCCTGGCATCATTCTGAGTAAGAATTATTTTCTGCTTTGGTCTGAGAGACCCACAACTGTGTTTCTTCATTCATGGCTCTGCTCCCACTGTCATCTCTGGACGGCATCTGGGTCCCACTGGAGTCTCTTTCCTGTTTTGTCACTTCCTTGCCATTGCACTGCCCTCCCCAGGGTGATGGGCGACCAGGGTGCAGCATCCAGTCAGAGGTCAACACATCTCCCTCAAAAGCAGATCTAAGCACTCCTAGCTTCACACTCCCCAAGACTCCTCACTGCCAACTGCATACACCAGGCACCAGGCCTGGCTGCCCTATGCCGGGCCCAGCAGGCTCCACCTGTGTGCCCCTGCCCTCACCTCTCCCGGCTGGGAAAGGCCTCCCGGGAGACATCTGCACTCCTCACAGAAGACCAGAGTGTTCTCCAAGGTCAGATTCCATTTATCTGCTAACATGACATTTTTAGGAACATATAAGACCGCAGGTGTATTCAAACTTTGGCTTCACGGCCATTTACCTGGTCACCTGCTTTGTGCTACTGTTTGTTCGCACCTCAGCGATGTATCCTCTCCACCCCGTACCACCTTAGAGGGTCGTAAAATAAAGATTTGCTTCTACAAATGGAAAACAGGCCTCCTAAGCAAAAGAGGTGCTTTGAAACTCTGAAAAATTACTAAAATTGTTATTTAAAAAAATGTTAAATATATTGCCATTTACTGTAAATATTTCCAGCGCACCCTGGAAACTCCAGAATGGAAAGTTGTGTGTATAATGCACACATGGGGGGGGTGCATACATGTGGGCAGGTGTGTGTGCCTTACAGGGTCTCAGACCTCAGAGGAACTGAAAGGTGGGAGGTGGAGAAGGAACTTAAGACTCTCCTTTTACTTTTTCCTGTTTCCATCAGGATGAATTTATTGTTTCCTCGCTTATGTTCAGACAGACCATCCCTCAACAAAATCACTATTATAATCCTTGCACTTGTCACAATGACGTCACCTGACTCTTGCATCTCACTGAGCTCCCTGAAGGCAGGGATGGGAGTGGGGGGAGGAGGGGGTGGCAGGTTCTTTACAAACAGGCCCGGGACACAGTTTTAGTTCATTTTAGTTCAAGGTAACACTCCTCCTTTTTGTTATGACAGGACCAGTGCTTCCAATGTAAAGGAGCCCAGGGGTCTACGGGGGAGACAGTAGGGAGTGGTGGGGACTGTGGCAAAATGCTGCCTCTCTGGGGTGGCTGCCACTTGGCTCTGGCCCATTGTTGGGCAAACCATTCCTGCCAGACTTTCTGCCTTTTCAAGACATGCCAGGCAGCCAGCTTTTAATGTAAGATCTACCAATTAAAAAAAAAAAAGAAAAGTTAGCTCAAACTTCAAACATATTACACAGGCCAAAGCAACACATCTGCAGATTAGATTTGTCCCAAGACGAATCTTGGGGCGCCTCAGGTCTCATGCTCCCCTTGGGGCTAACTGGTCCAGGTGCCGAGTTGCCAGTGCTCATCCCAGTCGCTCAAGGGCCTCGGGCCCAGAGGACAAGGTGGCGCTGCCCGTGGCCCCGGGAGCTGGGAGGGGGCCCAGGCCTCACCTCTCCCGGATGAACTCTGACATTTCCTTCTGCATCTGCTTGCCTTTCAGTTGCTTCTGAAGCAGCAGCTCGAACCCAGCTACAGTGCCATTGCCTTGAGGATCCTTCTTATCAGCCTAGAAAGGACACAGAGGCACGGGAGGTTAGGTGATGGTGGTGTCCAGGGCTGCAGGGAATGGAGTGTGGGGAAGGCAGCCCCCGAAGGGACCCCCCCGCCCCCTGGCAAGCTGACCTCAGCCCAAGAGGGATGCTGTGCCCACGGTCCCAGCTCGTGTCTCTCTCCTGGGAGGCCTCAGACAAGCTCTCCCCTGGGTCCAAGTCTGAGCTGCTTCATCTGTGAAACTGGGTGTTGGGGGGATGCTGGCGCCCACCTCCTATGGTCATTCCAGGGTAAGTGACCCCTGGAAACGGCTTGGCACAGCACTCACCGGATCCTAAATGCTCGCTAAGTGGTATCTGATGTTAGTCAACTTTCAACCAAGTCAGGACTCAAGGAAGATGGTCAAGTCAGTGAAATGAGAGTTCAGTACTAGATTCATTTTGCAAGCAAATACTCTTAAAATGTCAAAATTAAATGTCTTCTTTCGTTTTGCTTGCATTTCTTCAAGGGGACCTGAATACCTCTTTCCTGCCTCCTACCCAGCAACCCCTAGGCTCAGCCTCCCCTGCAGGACATTCATCCCGGGGTCTGCCCACATAGCTCTTAGAGACTTCTTGGGCCTGGCAGGTACCACACCTGAAGCTGTGTCCTCCCCCATGACAGCCTTTCCCCACCAGGAATCCAGACTCAGATGCTTTGGTGCTTAAAGAAAGGAGTTAAAAATGCATCCTTTGATACCAGACAGGTACATCGGTCCTTGGACCCCTTGTCTCAGCTTAGCCATGGGGTGATGTGGTCAGGCCTTTCCAATCCCGAGCTGTGTCCATCCCCCCTCTTTGCAGTAGGCCTGGGTTGTATCTTATGTCTCTAAGACTACTTCCAGAGCAGATGTTTTAGGAGAAGGGAAATTTGGAAAGGGGTCTGGAGAGAATCCCACTTCCCATTGTTGAGCATTTAAAACCTTACGGACACCCCTCACCAAAACTCCTTTCTGACATGGGATCCCCTTTCCTCAGCCATCCTGACACAAGGCCCTCTAGGCCACACTGCTAATACCTCTCGTGACAGAGAGATCACTACCACGTAGGACACTCCATGGCATGGTGGGGCTGCTCTGGCCACTGAAAAGCTTCTCTGAGTTTTTTTTTTAAGATTTTAAATTTATTTATTCATGAGAGACACACAGAGAGGCAGAGACAGAGGCAGAGGGAGAAGCAGGCTCCCTGTGGGGAGCCTGATGTGGGACTCGATCCCCGGACCCCGGAATCATGCCCTGAGCCAAAGGCAGACGCTCAACCACTGAGCCACCCAGAAGTCCCATTCTCCAAGTATTTTTAAGATCCACACGCTTCACTGTGTGAATGCTACACCTTGATAAAAGCCAAAGAACTGCCCCCCCAAATCCTGGCCTCAATCTGCCTCCCACATGGGATGGAGAGTGATGTGTCCACACTCAGGAAAAGCAACCAGAAATGGTGGACTTTGATGGCTGTGTCAGTGGGGAGGTTTCTGTTAGAGGAAAAAGTGGTGGTCAGGAAAAATAAAGCCCTAGTAAGTAGCAGATTGCAGCAGAGCCTGAATGAGGACAGGACTCCACAAATGGTGCTCCCTTGGATGCTGACCAGTGGCAGGGTCCCTGATGCCTCCACATGAACCCCACATGCACTGTCCTGAAGCTCCCGGGGTTTGCATTCCGAAGGGCTCCAGCCAGTCTCCCCTGAATGCTCCACTTTGCACGCCCCTCTTCAGAGCTGACATCTATAGCCAGCCACTCCCCGTCGCCCCCAATCTCTGGCTGCCACCGTGAGCTTCTGTAGGTGCTGTTGACTCCTCCACCAGCCGCTCCCAGTCCTCCCCGCACGACGCTTCTAAACCTCATCACATTGTATTCCAACATCTTCCTACTGCAAACAGAAGGAGACCTAGCATGCTCATGGGGCCTCCCAAATCCCCTACACTCTGACCTCTGCCGCCCCACAGAACCCTCTCTGTGACGTCTGCTGCCCCTCTCCAGATCCCAATCCCCCCACCCCCACCCCAAGGCCTGGGAGATACACGGCTGGGCCACTGGGAATCACTGGGTATCTTTGAGAGCATAAGTGACTTGTCAACAGAACAAAAGCATGTCTGTCTGGTGCTTGGCTCGCAAACTAGAAATGGGTAGCGATGCCATCCTGCATGGTGGCGAAACAAACAGTTTTTATTCTGTGTGTTAACTGCTCCTCAGGGTCTCTGCTTAAGTGTTTTTTTTTTTTTAACCCTAAAGCATACAATTCAGTGTTTTTTTCATATGTTCCCAAGGATGAGCAACTATCAGCACTATACGAATCCAGAGTGAGGTGATTTCACTTTGAAAGTCACTGCTGGCCTTACAGGCGGAGGCCAAGGGCTATTCCTAGAGCTTCTGAGCAGGCGGGCTGTGCACCTGTCAACAGATAACTGATTTTGTTGTGGGAAAATACACGTAAGATAAAATTTACCAGGTTAACCTTTTTTTTTTTTTTTAAAGAAGGCTCCACCCCCGGCCTGGAGCCCAGTGTGGGACTTGAACTCATGACCCTGAGATTAAGCCCTGAGTGGAGATCAAGAGTCAGGATACCTAACCGACTGGGCCACCCAGGCACCCCCCCGATCTTAACCACTTTTAAGGATGCAGCTCAGCGGCATCAAGCGCATTCACAGGGATGCACAACCGTCACCCACCATCTGTCTCCAGAACTCTTTTTTATCTTGCAAAAGTGAAGCTCTGCACTCATTGAACAGAATGCAAAAGTTCTGGAACCACAGTGAGTAAAGGCAGAGCTCTCCACAGATCCTGGCACCCAACTTCCTCCTGCCTGATAGAAGCAGGAAGCCCCAAAAGGTAAAGCTTTTGTCCAAGGTCACCTTCAAGTGTGACAGAGCAAGTGGGGCGGCCAGATTCCCCCACTGAAGTTGGATCCAGCCTCTTGCTCCTACCAAGCAGCAAATTAGTGACCTTCAGCTCATCTGCATTCTATCCGGGGTTGCCGTTCTGCCCTGAATGAAAATCCCATGGATCCGCTGAGATTTATGAAACTATCTGGCCTCTAAGAGGGTCTCAAACATCTGCCCTGGATGCTCAATCTACCACCAGGTTTCAACAGAAGAGGATCCTCTTCTTTTGAGCTTGAGACCCTTCATGCACCTTCTGGGTGTCCTCTACTCCTGATCCTCGGAGAAGTAGGGGGTGGAGGAAACTGAGGCACACTTACCCAGAAATAGTCACAATAGCTCCACTCGGTTGGTTTCAGCAGCTGCTGCTCCGGCATTGTGTCTGGGTGAGGGAACGTCACGCAGTTTATCTGCAGGGCACAGAACAAGAAAGAAAACGACTTGCCTAGAAGGTTGGGAGCAGCTGGGAAGGCTCTGTGCCTGGCACACGGCATTACAGAGGTCTCCCTTTACACCAGTTTGGCAGAACATGCACTGACTGCAGTCTCGGGATGTTCCAGGGGCCCGCGTTTCCAATGAGGGGCAGCAGCACTCATGCCCACCCCAGGGGGGTGCAACCGGTCCCAACTCTCTGCAGGGCAGCATAACAGGATCTATCAAAAACCACACACGGCCTGAACCTCCAACCCAGTGACCACTATGGAGAGCATGCCCTATGGATGGATCTGTGTCCACGAGCAGGGGAGTGGTTAAACAGCAATGGGCAGAGAGGCATCTATGGGATTTGCATAGGCAGCTGAAAACGTCGGGAGAAAGTTCTTATATGTTGATGTGGAAGGCGCGCCAGGTCGTATTATCAAGTGGGGAAGAAAAAAACCAGGATGTAGAATAGTATTTACAAAATACTACTATTTGTGCAGAAAGACAGAGATTGAGCGAGAGACAGAGAGAGCGGGGAGGAAAAAACATATACACATCTGGTCATTTATGTACGGAATACTTCTGGAAGCCGATAACGTCGCCTGCTTCCTGATAAAGGAACTACGTGGCCGAGGGGTCAGGCTGAGAGTTTACCTTGTGCGTTTTATGCACCATATATATTCTACGGACAAAGAGAGTGGAAGGTGATGATGCTAGGATGTGTGCTTGGGGCCGGGCCCCCCAGGGCCGGACAGTGAAGATGTTCCTGGGGCCTGTCTCAGACGACCCTGCCCAGGCACGTCCATGGTGCCCTGGCTTTCCCCTCCCGGTGGAAGCGCTCCAGCCCCCGCTTCTGTTGGGGTTGCTTCAAGCCTGGGATCCGCTCCTGGGGGAGCCTGTTCATTTGTGTTCAGCGTGGGAGCCATGGAGATTCAGGGAGGCGAGGCCTGGGCCCTGCTGTCTGCAAGCCTCACCCCGGAGCCGGCACCCGCCAAAGCGGGAACCCTGTGATGTTCAAGCAGGAACCACATGGAAAACCCTGGGGTTCTGGACAGAGGCCGCATAAACTGCAATGCTAGGCAGCCGTGTGCATGAACGAGGTGCCTCGTGCACAGAAGCTGTGGTTTGGGTGGGGGTGCCCAGCCCCCACTCTGGGGAGGGGTGCGGTCTGTGGAGATTTGCCCAAGAGCAGATCTTGCTCTTAGCTCCTGCCAATTGCTATCAAGCCGGCAGGAAGAGTTCAGCGTGTCGTCAGGTGACACAACATGGGACGCTGGACGTGCATGTAGCACATACATTCCGCTCTGGCTGCCAGAGCCCCGGGTCTCACCTGCAGTCCCAGGAGGTCAGGACGGTGTGGGAGACGTCCCAGCCAAGGACAGGAGCCCTCTCCTCCGGAGAGGAAGGGCTCCTTTCTCTTCCTGGAAGGAAGGGCTGGGATTCCCCTTCTGGAGGGGAAGACCAGGAGCAGGAAGGATCCAGAAAACCCTGGGGATGTGGAATCTCCTCCTCCTGGCGCCTGAGGGAGTCTGCAGTGGGGGAGGCCCAGCCTCCCGATGCCCACCATCAGGCAACTGTCCCCCCAAACCCTCTTTTCAGGCTGACACACTAGGGGTGTCTCCGCCCAGCCCCGGGGGCTCGGATGGCTCACTGCCGCCTGGATCTCCTGCAGAATCATGGACACAAGGGCCGGATTCCCAAGCGTCGCATATTCCTGATGTCACGTGCCAGCTATTCTCGTTTCAACAAGTAACAGCGATCACAGGGGCATCCTTATTTTGTGTGATAATGTGGTCCGTGAACATTTCAACCAAATCTAGTGACAAACGAATGACGGCGTTATATTGGGCGTTAAGGATCGCGGAACTGGGTGAACACAGAGGTCTTCTAGAGCATTCTGGTGGGGGCTGAAGGCAAGAGGTCCCACAAATGGCCCTGTAATAACCACAGAAGGGGATCTGGCTGGGCTGGGGGACGGGGGACAAGGAGGGCTCATCCCTGCCATCGCTTCTACTGCTTTGTGAGGATACGGGTCCTTGGATGGACTGGCCAAAGGTCCCAGGATGCTTGTCCCTGCCTCTACCAACTCTGGTTTGAGGATGGATGCCCCCCCCCCCCGTCACACAGGGATGTCCCCAATGCTCCTCAGAGCCCCGCATCCCCTGGTAGATGCCAACAAGAACTGCACCCCACAAGCTCCCCGGGGGAGGCAGCAATAACCACTGGGAATCCCTAGGAGGCCTTCACTCAGGCGCCCCACACACATTGCCATGTCATCATTCCAGCAACCCCCACGGGCTGTGTTACACGGGCCTCATTTTACAGGAAGAAACTGAAAATCCCACAAGTTAAGAATCTGAATCGGGGCTGGGTTGACAGCAGAGCTCAAGCCATCAACCACACGGCTGTTCAGTGGAACGCTGGCCTGTCCACTTCCCATGCAAACGTCTGTTGCATGTGCCCCTCGAGATGCTAGATCTTTCCAGCCCTCTGCACACATGCATTTGTAATTATACCTCTCATGACTGTTTAATCAGCCAGAGAGTCTGCTCCATGATGGGAAGGAGACCCTTTCTCTGCTGTCTCCCTATTACCTGGCAAGCACAGAACCCCGAGGGGTGCTCCACAAGTGTACCTTGGTGCAATAACTGAAGGCCAGTGATGGATGGAATGGGTCTCTGTCCTCAACGGTTTTATTTTTTTTTTAAGATTTTATTTATTTATTCATGAGAGACACATAGAGAGAGGCAGAGACACAGGCAGAGGGAGAAGCAGGCTCCCTGAGGGGAGCCCGATGTGGGATTCCATCCCAGGACCCCGGGATCACGCCCTGAGCCAAAGGCAGATGCCCAACCACTGAGCCACCCAGGTGTCCCTGTCCTCAACAGTTTAAAGCCTCACAAGGAAGGCAAATTGGTGCATAAGCGATTGCCCTACTTTGGGATAAATCACCACTAGGGTTAGCATGGGTGCTGGGACTGCAGGAATGGCTGGGGGTTGGGAGAAGGAATCTGAGAGAGAGAGAGAGAGAGAGAGAGATTTAGCTAATAAGAGGGTTAGGGTTAGGCAGACAGGGGGTGAGAGGTACAGAGGGTCACAGGTTCGCAAAGGATCCAGGGTCCGAGGCTGCACCCACAGTCGGGGGATCACTGCTCTGTGTGGCTGGGAGGCAGAGTCAGGGAGGACTGCGAACGGGACAGGGGGCAGCAAGCGCTTTGTGGACAGAGAAGAGCAGCACGCAGGCCTTCACCCATCTCGGCCCGGACGTGCGTGGGGCCACCTGGGAGGGCAGGCAGCAGGCCCAGCTCCAGTCCAGTCCCGGGGCTCTGCTTGCTCCGAGCCCTCTGGCCGGTCACTTCCTCCTGCAAAAACTCCCAGAGGAGGCATAAGTGTGTATTTACAACCCCTGGGGGTGGTGGTTGCAACACAAACGTCCCTGCTGGGCCCCAGATCAACCAAGTGTCGTAGGTCTAGGAACCCATCGAGGAACTGGCATTTTAAGCAAATGTCCCAGAGGCTTGGGCTGCCAGCAACACTTTGCAGGCCAGCTCTGAGCAGCTCCGATTTAGGTCAGTGGGAAGGAGGAGGGGAGACACGAGGCCAGGACAGACAATGAGCAAGGTGCGCTGGAGAGGCGGCTCCAACCAAGCGCCTTGACGCTCTGGCTCAAAGCCAAGGCATGGCGGGTGACTCAGGTCCCTACCCTGGGGCCCCCAGAACATCCCTGCCAGGAAAGCGCTTCCACTTTGCATCTGTCCTTTCCACTTTTCTCCTACTATTCTAACATACCACCATACCACCACCCTCCCCCCTCCTTCTCCCTCCCTCCGCTGGAGGGCACTTGGTGGGGGGGGGGTTCTGCTTTGCTCTGGGGCATTCCCTGGCACTCTGAAAGTGAGGATAATGCGCACTTGGGGGGCCTGCCCCTGGGGCCGGCCCACACCCTGCCCATCAGCTGCCCCTGACCCAGGCCCCACTCTCTTCCACAGGCAACCTCCAAGGGCGGGGGGCACACAGGCCCTGAGTCCTGATGCATCCCAGCCGGGCGAGGTACGGCTGCCTGCCTCAGTTCTGTCATCTGTAAACAAGGTCAAGAAGATCAGTGCGCCCCGAGCACTTACTACATGCCCGGCTCCTGTTCTGAGTGCTTTGGGCATACAGAAGCATTTAGTCCTCACCCCATCCCCGGGGCACAGACACCTGGCATCTCTCCCCATTGTACAGATGTGCACACTGAGACACAACGGGGCTGCTGTGCAGCTAGCAGGTGCTGTAACAGACCCTCTGGCTTCACGGCCACCATACGACAGTGGTCCTGTCACCTCCATCTCACACAGCGAGCAGAGAGCTCCATGAGCCGCTCGAACACTACCAGCACATAGTAAATGCACACCAAAGTGGCAGCAATTACGGTTGCCGATGTCACCGTGAACCCAACCCTATCTTTCATCCAGAGCAGGATTTTCAGCCTGCACGAGCCAGGGTGGCATACCTGTTCTGGGCCTCATTTTCGTGTGGATGGTCAGAATGGCTCAGACCTGCCTGTGCTGGAGCCTGAGGGAGCAGGTCCCCACTCTGGGCTCCCTGCACTCGAGTCAAAGCAGCACACCTAGGACCCCACGTCTCATGTCTCCAAGCCCTTAGCTGGCGGTCTGAGCAGCGGGACAAGGCATTTGTCCCCTTTCCCTCACACGGGCCTGGTGTGTGTGTGTGTGTGTGTGTGTGTTGGGGAGTCCTCCTGGGCTCGCCTGTGGGGGCTTGGTGGGCTTCTAGAAGAACCCCAGGAGGTGGTCTGGCCACTCCAAGCAGGAGCTGCCTGCACCCCTCCAGAACTCTCTTCTTAGAGTTCTTTTCTTCTTGTTTTTAACTTTGACATCTTCCAGAAGTCACGCTGCCCGCAAAGCAACCCCGCCATGGCTGTAATTTACATGTCACATCATAGCTGGTGTGCAGAGCACAGGCTACCCCCTCCGCCCCGCCCGGGCACATGTGCCTCCCCCGGGGAGGAGGGCTTCTGCATCTTTCCTACCACGCCTGCACCTGCACCCAGTCACCCACCCGGAGGGAAAAAGTGAAAGGTGAAATCAACAGAAGGCCTGGGGTGGGGGTGGAGATGAAGGTGGGGCGAGGGGGGTTGGGGATGGGGGTGGGGGTGAGAGATGGGGATGGGGGTGAGGGTGGGGATGAGGATGGGGTGAGGGTGGGATGGGGATGGGGGTGAGGGAAGGGATGGGGATGGGGGTGAGGGTGGGGATGACGATGGGGTGAGGGTGGTGATGAGGATGGGGTGAGGGTGGGATGGGGATGGGGGTGAGGGTGGGATGGGGATGGGGGTGAGGCTGGAGATGAGCTTGGGGTGAGAGTGGGATAGGGATGGGGGTGAGGGATAGGGATGGGGATGGGGGTGAGGATGGGGGTGAGGATGGGTGTGAGGGTGGGGATGAGGATGGGGTGAGGGTGAGATGGGAGTGAGGGATAGGGATGGGGATGGGGTGAGGATGGGGGTGAGGGTGGGGGTGGGGATGGGGTGCGGGTGGGGATGAGGATGGAGTGAGGGTGGCATGTGGATGGGGATGAGGGTGAGGGATAGGGATGGGGTAAGGGTGGGATGGGGATGAGAGTGGGGACGAGGATGGGGGTGAGGATGGGGGTGAGGATGGGGCTGAGGATGGGGTGAGATGGGGATGGGGGTGAGGGACAGGGGTGGGGATGGGGTGAGGATGGGTGTGAGAGTGGGGATGAGGATGGGGTGAGGGTGGGGATGAGGATGGGAGTGAGGATGGGGTGAGGATGGGATGGGGATGGGGTGAGGGTGGGGAAGGGGTGAGGTTGGGGATAGGGATGGGGATGGGGGGTTAGGCTGGGGATGGGGATGGGGAGGAAGGCAAGGGGAATCTCGGCTCCATCCAAGCTTCGGAACTTCCCAGATTCTAGGCTGGGCTTGCACTGGGTCCACATTGCCATGGCAACCGCCCAGCAGGCAGAAAGCCCCGCTTGCCCACCCCACCTGTGAGCGCCAGCGGAAGTCCATCGCTTACCGTGATGGTATTTTCCTTGCTCTGCTTTTTGCCTGGCGATGAGGATCCCAGGTTCTGGGGAGAGAGGCAAGAGACATCATCGAGGCTGTTCTCCATACTGGACATCTCGGGTTTTCTATTCGGGCTCCCTGCAAGCCTCGTGCTGGGAAGTTCGGGGGACGCTGGAGCTCCCATTAACCCTTAAGTCACCATATTCAGGAAGAGGGCAGGCAGGAGCGGCCCTGACCCCACGCTGCTTCCTGGGGGGGACCAGGCGGGCTCGCAGCCTCCAGCCCAGGCTCTGAGGGAACCACTCCAAGCCAGGTCTCCCTCCTCTTCTCGCAGCCCCTGATTTGGGGACTTAACCCGTCAGCTGCCCTCTGCTGGTAAGCCTTCCGAGTGCTGCCTGCTGTCTGAACCTGCAGAAGCCACCGGGGAGCAGAGAGTTAAAAGCAGGCCGCCACCTCCTGGCACCAAGGACTCCGAAAACGAAAACGACTTGTATCCTGAATCCCCTGGGTCCAACACATCAAACCCTCAATCCGTGCAACGTGCAACGGGAATGCCTGGCCCCCTCCGTGACGTGCCACTGCCCCGACACCGGGAGGCAGGAGGGATTTCTCAGCAGAGCCGCCTCTCTGCTTTCATTCATTCAGCCTTTGCATTGCCTTTTTTATGTCTTCCTGCTACCAGCGCATAAGCCACTGTCCCAAATACCTTGGATCCCACAGGTTCTCAGCAGCCTTGCCCCAGTCCCAGCATGGTTCTGAGATGGATTACATTAAGGATTACCAGCTGAAAAGACCACATCTCAAAAGACCAGATCACAGGAGTCTATGATCCTAAAGGGGAGGAGGAGGATCAATGCTGAGGAGGTCGTTGCCCCATTATTAGCAGTTATGTTAGTGACTCAAGAGGGTCTCTGAGCAGGATGTGCAATGTCCACTCCTGTCCTGAGCCACTCAATGAGTGGGAAAGTGGGCTCTCCCCAAGGCCCTGGGAGAAGGGGCATTATATGGATGACCTGGGACCCACAGCCTTTTTGCCCTAGTGGAACCTAAGGACATGGTTGTCAGGGAGGCTTCTCCAGCCAGCCTCAGGGAACCAGCAATGCCCATCCTGGGCCGGCACCACTTGGACCACTGGCAGGATGAGCATCTAGGCTTGGGGGTCAGCCTGGCCTCAGGATGCCATCTGCTCAGCACACAAAACAGAGAGCTTGATGGAGCCCATGCTTGCAGCCCATGTTCATCCTCTTACTCCTATCCAGACGTACTTGGGCCAGTAAGGAAAGTCAGTTAATGGAAGCCCATACCCTCAGGCTAGCGAGCTAAAAGGGACTGTGCACATCATCTACGTCCTAGACAAGAAACATAAATTCACTAGGGGCACCTGGGTGGCTCAGGGGTTGAGGGTCTACCTTCAGCTTAAGTATCATCTCGAGGTCCTGGGATCAAGTCCCACATCAGGCTCCCCACAGGGAGCCTGCTTCTCCCTCTGCCTGTGTCTCTGCCTCTCTCTCTGTCTCTCATGAATAAATAAATAATTTTTTTTATAAAGAAACTCAGTAACTTTGTCACTGTGCCAAGTCATGCGACTTCTCTCACTTTCACTGCTATCAGTGGTCTTCAAACTTTGGAGTGCATCAGAATGAACAAGAAGTGGCCCCAAATTGGGTCCCACCTGACCCAGCAGCTCTTGGGGGTGAGGGGGCAGCGTCTCTGAAGCAGAGTTTGGGGGCCTCCCTTAGGGACTCACTGATCTATGATGTCATTCATCAAGGCTTCCCTACTTCTGGCAGCCACTCTAGTAGCCCAGGAAGGCTCTGGGGCTGCCTCAAGCTTGTGGCCAACCACAGCTTCGATGGACATTTTCAAAGCATCAACGCATCCACCTTGCTAACCCTGGACCCTCCTGTGCTATCATTCGCACCCCAGGGCATTCGCCAAAATTGGGCCACCTGACAGGAAGACAGAGGCCACAAGGTAGGAGCTCCAGTGCCGCTACCCTGTGGCAGGTGTAGGGCTCTCCTGCGGGTTCCTCTGCATGGGCACTGGCCAAGCAAACGCACGCCAGGGAGGGGGGTGCAGAAGGGAAGCCTCCGGTGTGGTAAAGCGAGGAAGTCAGAGCCGCAGGCTCTTTTCTCTTTTCTCTCTATTCTTCTGGCTTCTCACATGGAGGCTGGGGACAACCTCCTGCTTTTTGGGTGTCTTTGCAGGGATGGAGAAAGATCTCCATCATCCACAAACACTGATTTGGGAGCCATTGTGTCCAAGGTTCTATGGAATGAAGCTGGATACAGAGGTTGCCCTCATCCCCGTAACTTGGGTCAGGACAGGAGTGCAAGTAATGGCATGGATGGGGGGCATCCTATGTGTGGGTGTTGGCACCTTCCCACTCTCTTTCCTCCAGGTAGTACAGCCTTAGCCTGGACTGACCACTACACACACACACACACATACCACACACACACACACACACACACACACACACACACATCCCTGCAGCATTCCACAGAAGGGCTTAGAGGGAACAACACCTCCATCACAGGGAGAATACCTACTAGCTAGATGTTGGTTTCTAAATATTATTTCAGACTCAAAGGAACCAGGCTCCTGGGAGAAATGGCTCATTTCAGAAGCCAGGTCCATCTGGAACATCTTATTCTAGGAGGTTAGAAACCATGCAAAGAACAATGCAATCTCACCAATGGACCCAAGCGCCTGCAGATAGAAGTTCCAACAAGCCAAATTTGGGACAATGGGAGCATGATTATGAATAATGACTACAAATGAGTAACTTCAAAGGGCAGGGAGGGAGAGGGGGGCAGCATTCCTTTCTGGAAGAAGGCCCATAAAAATGGATAGAGATTCACAACATCACCATTTGCAAAGCCCAAAGTCAAAATGGATCTGGCCACAGTCACCAAGGATGCTCAAAGCATTGAGGTGAAAAGTCTGTGAAGGAATAGGATATGCCCATGGTCTCACCCTATCACCCCCCCAGATTACTGGCTAATTAGGAAGGGGAAAAATGCACCCTTGCAAAGGGGTCTTTGCATTAACCTGGAGCTCAAACCCCCGGTTTGTATCGCTGGTAGGGTGCTATCCCAGGAGGCCCCAGGTAGTAGAAATCCTTGCCAGAACTGTTAGCCTGAGTCTAAGCATAAAAAAACAACTGGACTAAGCATGCGGGTCATTCTACACCTGGCCTGGACTCGTCTCAAAAAGAGCCTCTGTGGGGCAAGACAAAAGAACATAAAAACAGGTGGTGAATATGGTCTAGATTAAAAGAAGCAAAAGCCATAAATGAGATGAAATGGTCAATCCCTTCAATGGAATACTATGTGGCCATAAAAAAGGAACATGGTGCTACTACATCTGCAACATCCACTGACGTCGGAACATGTCCTAAGGGCAAAGAGCCAGACACAAAAGACCACACGCGCTGCGATTCCACTTATATGAACCGTCCAGAAGAGGCAAATCGATGGAGACAAAAAAAAAAAAATAGGTCAGTGGGTGCCAAAGGCTTCCGGGGATTCTTCCCAGGGCGATGAAAATGCTCTAAAAGCGATTACGATGGTGGTGGCATAACTGTGACCGTTGCACTGTGCATTTTAAGTGGATGGATTGTAGGCTGTGTGAACTGCATCTCAATAAAGCCCAGAGAGAGGGAAACTTTAAAGAGATCTAGCCAATAATACATCCACGTGGGAAACTGGAACGTACCCTGGGCTGGGGAGACAAAGGGGGAGTTTGACGAGGAATTACGTATATTAAATGATCATACCAAATTAACGTCTTCTCACATGGGCTAATGCTACTGTGGTCATGTCCCCTCTCCATGGAGATACACACTCTGGAGCATTTCCAGTAAAAACAGCGTGTCGGGACTTTGCTTTCAAATAATCCTGGGATGGGGGGACAGGAGAGGTAGGCAATGGAGCTATAAATGAAGATTGGCTGAATAATCATTGCAGTTAGAGGACGAGTCCATAGTACTTTATTACAGCAAGCCTTCTGCGTTTCTAAATGTTTGCCAAGGTGCAGAATAAAAAAAATTTTTTTTAATGTCCTTTGCTTATGATTCTGGAAAGTTTTCTCCTTCCTTGTTTCTTTTTTAATTTTTTAAAAAATATTTTATTGGGACGCCTGGGTGGCCTAGTGGTTGAGCGTCTGCCTTTGGCCCAGGGCGTGATCCAGGGGTCCTGGGGTCAAGTTTGGCATTGGGGTCCCCATAGGGAGCCTGCTTCTCCCTCTGCCTGTGTCTCTGCCTCTCTCTCTGCATCTCTCATGAATAAATAACATCTTTTTAAAAACTATTTATTTATTTATTAAAGAGAAAGAGAGAGCAAGCACATGTGGGTGGAGGGGCAGAGGGAAAAGGATAACTGAAGAATGTGTGAATGAGCAAATGAACACATGGGTGTTTGAGATACAGAGTTGGGGGTGGGTCAAGCAGGTTGCCCATTGGAGCAGAGAGCCTGATGTGGGTCTCGAACCCAGGACCCTGGGATCACGACCCGAGCCAAAGGAAGATACTCAACTGACTGAGCACCCCCAGGCGCCCCGCACCTTCCTTTTTTAAAAGTCCCTGCCCAGCCTGGTCTCCTACTCTCACCTGGGCCACTCTGCTGTCACTGCAAGGTGAGGACCCATGGGGGTGATAACACACAAAACGGTGCTGGGTGGACTGCACTAACCCATGGGCCCCGGCTGGGCAACCCTTCTTGACCCCGTCTTCAGGCCCCGTGAATCCTCAGAAGGCGGGATGCAGAATGAAACCTCTCAATGACCCCCCTGTTCTGGTGGAAGAGACCCAAGCACCTCACAAAAGGCCTGTGCAGACCCCTCCAGCCCCTCACCCCCTGCCCTCCCTGCACCTGTGGGTTCAATAAATCCCAGTCCCACTTGGCCCCCGCAGGTTCTCTTAAAATACCGCTCTGCTTCCCCCTCCTCTGGGCATCCACACGTGCTCTTCCCTCCACTGGAAGGCTGTTCCCCATCACCACCCTGCACCACGCTAAGCCCTCACTCAGATGTCCAGTCTTAGTTCACTATCTCTTCTTCTAGAGCCCCGGCACTGGCACCTCCACCACCACCCAATGGCCACCTGGCCAGGTGCCCAGAGCACATGCCTCCCCTAGCGCTTACTGCTGCGGACAGGAAATTTTCACTTATCTTGTGTCTTCTCTGGCACCAGCCACCAGCCTCCACTAGAGCAGGGGCTCTGTCTGTCTGTGACCCAGTGCCTGGCTGAGAAGGAGAAGATGCTCGATGGAACATGTGTCGCTGGACTGAGAGGGGAGCCCCGTTAGGTGGATGAGTCTCAGCATCTCACCTCTACTCCCAGCTCTTGTCTCCGACGGGACCCTGAGTTTCCGACCCATTGGTCCCACCCCCATGCTCCTGGAGGACATTTCTAGGAAGCCAGACCCACTGTAAGGTTGGTCACAAAAGGGGCTGGACTTTGGTGTCCAGGTCCCTTCCCTGCTCCCACTCCAGGCCCTGCCACGTGGGACAGGCCAGGACATGAAGGCCAGCAAAACTCAGCCTTTGACATACCAGCGTCCCCTGGTCAGGTGGGCCCCTTTTATTTGTTTTATTCTTTTTTTTTAAGATTTTATTTATTTTTTCATGAGAGACACAGAGATATAGGCAGAGACACAGGCAGAGGGAGAAGCAGGCTCCCTGTGGGGAGCCTGATGTGGGACTCGATCCCAGAACCTTGGGATCATGCCCTGAGCAGAAGGCAGATGCTCAACCCCTGAACCACCCAGGTGCCCCTAGGTGGGCCCCTTTTATCCAGTATTCCGGCAGCCCACTCCAGGGCTGCAAGCCAGAAACATCCACTGGGTGGCACTACATCATCACTACCTGTGCCCAGCCATCTGGTCTCCCAGAGCTGGGAAGTGCAGGTAGGTTCCCTGGAAGAGCCATCAGTCCTGCCCAGGACAGGGGGCCGGGGTGGGGGGGTGGAGACGTGGGGGTGGGGGACAGCTCACAGGCCTTTGAGCAAACCCTGGGCAACCTGCTGACCCACCCCCAACCCTGTATCTTGAACACCCCTGTGTTCATTTGCTCATGCACCCACTCTTCCGTTATTCTTCAGGTATCACTATGTTGTGATTGTTATAACCAGCAGTTTGGGACTGTGTGAGCAAATACTATGCATGCTGAAGAGCGCGGTCTATACTTGGGGGATCATTTGTTGGCGGCACTCTCTGTAAACACCCAAATTTCTCATCCTTTTCCTGGGACTGGCCCCAAGCACCACTGCGAAGAGCCAGCTCCACAGCTTCACGAATCCCTCCACGGCCTAAAAAAAATACAATAACACGCTACCTTCTGGTTCTGGGACTCGTGAACAACTGCTTATTGGCTCTCCGTGCACTTGCTGCATTATTTTGATTACTTCGATGACACATCAACCCTCCACGTTCTCATCCCAAGCGACTACACCCAATTCCACCTGCCGCTTAATGCGGCATCCCCAAGTACCCTGCTTCCCATAACGCTCATTGTACCTGCCTTCTGTTAGTCAAATGCGTTCATTTTGGGAAATGTAAAAGATACTACAAAGTACAAGGAAAATAAAAAGTACTTTAGACCAAGGTTTCTCAACCCCAACACCACTGTATTTTCGGACTGAATAATTCTTTGTTGGGTGTGTGTGTGTGTGGGGGGGTGCTGTCCAGTGCATTGTAGGCCAACTAGTCATAGTAGAGCCCTACACACTAGAGACCAGCCAGTGGTACTCCCCCTCCCCAGCTGTGACAACCAAAACATTTCCAAACAAATGTTCCCGACTGAGAATCAGTCTTAGATGCAGACAGAACTACCATCAACTGTTCTGATTAATTTTTCTTCCAGTCGTTTGTCTTCATGAACATGTGGATTTCTTCCTACCAGGTAAGACCGGCTGGGCATGGAGGGTGTGTGCTGCTTAACCTCTACCTAAATCATTAAGTTTTCTTCAGAAATGGTATTTCTCGAGTCTGTGTAACAGAACAGGCTAGGTGGTGATTCAGTGCCAACATCCACTGTGCCTATCCCCTGTGGCTGGACAGTTAAGGCTCGGTCCCATGCTGCAGAGCCAGAAATAATGCTTGAGGGAACGCTTCCCACACTGATCAGAATCCCTGAATGTATTCCAAGAACAGATGCTAGAGGGGATATCCCTGGGTCAAAGCAGCTTCCGAGAAGGTTCTCTCAATATACATTAAAAAACAAAACGGTTCAGTAACAACTTAGCAGTATTTGGGGGGCGGAGGGAGTCATGTACTATTAGGGAAAGAAGGATGAATGATGGGGCAGTGGAGAGGATGTTTTCAATCTTCTAGACGATACCCAGGGTAGCACCGGCTCTTTCAGTTATGTTACAACACACCAGAACTCAGACTGATGTCTTCAGAAAACAATCTGTAGCCAGGAGGTAAACCTGCTTCATTCCAAATAGATTGATGGAGGTTGTGCTGGAATGGCTGTTGGGGGCTTGGCAGAGAACACACAGTGCCAGGGGTGTGTGTGATGTGTGCCACGAGCAGGGGAGTGAAGGGGACACGGATGGGGACACACACACACACACACACACACACACACACACACATACACACTGTGCATTATCTACCAGGCCCAGACTGCCCCCTGCTTAAGACAATGGTCCTCAGACCAGCATGATCAGCATCCCCTGGGGGCCTGGTTGGAAACAGAACCTCAGAGTCCTCCCTAAAACCCCTGAATCAGAACCTACATTTTTAACAAGAGGCCTGGGTGATGAGTGAGTGAGTCCATCAGAATGTAAGAAGTCTTGACCCACACAGACTTCCAAATTCTTTTCCCCAGCGCCTGCTGAACCGACCGTAAGCCTGATGCTCAGCTTCCCAAGACAACATAATAAAGTTTCCAAAAAGTAAGACTCTTGCCTGCATTAAAGCTAAGTGTCACATTTTTAGCAGGCTAAAGGAATGGATCACGAGGCCTTTCTTTGAACGGCTGGCACACAGGACTCGCCAGTATGGGTGACAAGCAGCTCTTGTCATCCTGAATACCAGCACAGTATCACCTTCACCATCACCATCACCCCTGAGGCCTGGAAAGGGATGGTAGAGTCTGGAGCCTTCATTAAGAACATCTTCTGGATGGGCACACCTGGGGGGGCTCAGGGGTTGAGTGTCTGCCTTTGGCCCAGGGCATGATCCCAGGGTCCTGGGATCAATTCTTCATTGGGCTCTCCACAGGGAGCCTGCTTATCCCTCTGCTTATGTCTCTGCCTCTCTCTCTGTGTCTCTCATGAATAAATAAAATCTTAAAAGAAAAAAGAACATCTTCTGGATAGACTTTATGGATAGAATAAATAAGCCAACCCTCACTTCCTTAGACACAGTGTAACACAACTTGAAAGGCCATGAGGTGTGGCATCAAGGTCCATTCCAATCACATATTCGTGTCAACCTGCATGGGTTGCTGCAATGGCCTGATACTCAGTGGTCTCACCTGTTGCTCGGGAAAGGTACCCATATCTGTACAGATGTCAATAGGTAGGATGAATGGGAAAGCAGGATGGAACTCTTACACCATTCTCCCATTTCCTCTCATCTTGTCATTGTGGGCTCTGTGCTAGATTATTAAAGGTAAGATAGCATTTTACAAAATCCCCTTCTGGGTGAAGTCTAGGGGTGGGGAAAGAGAGAGCATAGAAGAAGGAAGATGACGTGATCCGGCCCCATCCGTATTCTTAAAGTGACAGACACCTAGATTCTACATATTGGGAATCCAGGTGGCAGGATGGAACCCGCCGCCCTAACGATAGGGACAGTCCACTGCCATTGCCCCACTGCAACGACCCTCCAGTTTTCTAGAGAAAACCAACAAACCACAACTGCCCACTCTCCCCCAATCATGGTACATGGGAATGACCCAGATATACCAGCCACTCTGTACCAGGGGCAGAACCGGGCTGTGGTCACCTGGACCCCTGCTCAGTGCCCTCTTGATGACACCTCCCTGGGCCTGCTAGACTGGCTACCCCTACTTCCCGTAACACGACCCCTTACCTGGGAATCACCGGTGGATTTTCGGACACTCATGTGGGCAGTCTCGGGAGGGTGCGCTGGGGTCCCTGCCACGTGGTATCCATTCACTGTGGGAGAGAAACAGTGCTCAGATGCCACGCCGGCCACACACGGGCGATGCCAACTGCCTGCAACTGCAGCCCCTTGTGCCATGTCACTGCCCGCCAGCCTCTGAGATGTCTCGCACAGCCAGGACCATCCCTTGGGATCTGACCAGTGGTTGTGGGGCTGGAAATGGGCTCCAAGCATCTCTGTGATCCCCAGCTCCCAACTGCGGATCTCTCGGGGGGGACCACATTTCTTTCTGAACCAGAGAGGGACGTGCTTAAGAGGAGGGGTGGGGGTCACTACAGTCCAACAGCTATCACTGAAGATGCCACATCAGCTGTGGCCACTGGTGCTGATCCAGGGTCCAGGCTCTCTCCAGGGTCAGGCAGGACCGCCTCTACCTGCCTGCAGCTCCCCAGAGGAACCACTTCCACCCTCATCCTCACAGCATATAAGAAAAGAGCACTGGGTTTACTGGTTTCTCTGAAATTTGGCTTTGCCAATTAATAGCTGGGGTGGGGAAGGGCATCGCAGACCATCTCTTTTGAGTCTTGGTTTTCCTAAGTTAAAAGAAAAGAAAGAAAAAATTCAAGGCTGTAATATACTAGCCCTGCGACACTACTCACTCACGCTCCCAAGGGGTGCGGATCAACCTCGCTCTCTAAGCGGGGAGCCCTGGTGTGTAGCATTTGCCAGTTTCCTTGGCATATTTCCATCAATGAGGATGGATTCACAGGTCCCATCGACACCTCTGTGTGCTCCTGATGTCACAAGTAAGTACACACTGGGACCTGTGCCATCTCAGTTCCCAGAGGGGACACTGCTCTCTTGCAGGCATGGCTACATAAGCTTAGAGAGCAGTTCTCCTCGGTGAGCCTCAGCTTCCCAATCTGAGAAATGGGGATAATTCTACGCGGCTCTGTTAGCATGAAAATCAAATGGGGCAGTACTTGCTCAAGGATGTTTAGACTCATTAAATAATTCTTGAGAAGGGGAAAGGGGACAGTGGAGGGAGGGAAGGTCACTGCTTTCTGCTCCTGAATCCAGTCGCCTCAAACCCCAAGCCTGCATGATCCCCAGACATCAGGGAAGCATGCCTCCTACACACCCCAGGCTTGGCGGCATTGCCACAACATATGCACTGTGCAGGTCCAACCAGGGGAGGTACATAAACTGAGTCCAGTGCATGGTTCTTGTTGAGAGGGCCCCACGGGGTGGCCAGAAACAGGGGGAGAGGTTGGCCAAAAAGTCACTAACGTCTACTGATCTGCCAAAGGCAAGCAATGGGCTGATGAAGACCACCCCACGTGGGACTGTCCTCATGCTGGGGGATGTCCCCCAATCTCCAACATTTGCAGTGAAAAATCGAGGGCCCCCCTGCGAGCAGAAACACAGACCACCCTGCAGACCCCAGTGGGCAGCTGGGTTTCTCCCTGACATGCAAGGCTGGCTTGATACTCCGGAGGAAGGGTGGGCAGAGATACAGGAAGGCACTAGAAAGCTGGGCACGGAGCTAGCCTCCCAGTGTAGCGGCTTGGGGAAGCGACAAGACACAAGAGATTAGCCCGCATGGCGAGTCACAAGCCGGGTCTGCACTCAGGCCCCTTGGCAGCTGATTAAACACTGCGACTACCGTCCACAAGTTCTCCAGCTCGAGGGGAGCCAGGGTCGGGATTCCAAGAGCATCAGAGAACATTGAGAGGATTGAGGAGAAGCTACTCACATTGGTATAAGCTCTGCCAGGAAGGGCACTAGACAATGATAAATACAAGACCCAATGAAGGTGTAACATTCTAGAAGTGTCATTTATCAGTGTAGCACGGAAATGGATAAAACCTATGTGCTGGAGAATCGGGAGAAAACCTTAGCAGCCAGCTTTTAGTAGATGCTGAGTAAGCAGACAAAAGTGAGGATATGAATATCTCAGTAATTTCACTTAAAAGCTGAATGAACTAGATATTTAACATCATGTGCTACGAACAAAGATAACATCTTTGGCCAACAAGCCATGGAACATTTAAAGAAAAAAAAAAGCCTGGGCATATTGAAACCACAAAGAAAGTGTTGGTAAGTCGCAAAAGGCATAACTAACGCAGGCCACATTCTTCAACCAGAAAGCAATAAAAGCAGATATTAATAATGAAAGAACAAATACACAAGGTCCCCATCCCTCCGACTCCCAAACACTTGGAAATTTCAGAAAATGCTCTCCTATTCTCAGGTCAAAATCAAAACTGTAATTATACAACATTTAGAAAACAATCATGAGAATCATGAGGAACATATCAAAAGGATGGGATAAGGCTTGAATTATATTTGGAGGAAAAATCCACAGCCTTCATTACTCAATTACTGAAACCAAGGGAATACAAATACATAGACTAAACCTTCAAATTAAGAATTTAGAGAAACTTTTAAAAGCCAATAAGGTAAACCAAAGGAAAACATGAGAAGGGTTATGGTATAAATATGGCACCAGAAATGAATGGGTTAGGAAACAGGATGACATTCGCAGCTCAGGCAAGTTCTCTCTGCGTGGGGGTGGCTGTAGCGAGGAGGAATCATAATAAAAAAGCAGGTCAGCCCATCTAATCTGAGGCTGAGCGCACGCACGAATGCTCAGACCACGGAATTAGAAAGAAAACATAAGCAGATCTTGTTAAGAGGTTTTTTTTTTTAATGCAAGGGCATATGATTTAAAACTACAGGCTAATAATATACGTAACCCTCCACTAGAATCAAATGATCAAAAAAAAAATGGTTCCAAAGGACACGAGAGAAACACCAAGATGAGTAAAACCTTTGAGGACTGACCTCCCTCAAAAAGGCCCCAGACCCAGATGGTTTTATGGGCAAATTCGTTCTAACGCCCAACAAAGAAGTACCTAGACACAAACTGCACCGAGAGTTTGTAAACGTGGCAAATTTCCCAGCTGGTTAGACAAAGCCAGTGTTGCCCTGATCCAAAAATCCACCGAAGGCAACAGAAGAACTGAACCACTGTGACCACAAACACGAAATTGGTCAATTCTTACCTGAGCAGGTCTTCACTTGGAACCAGTCACTACACCTTTGATGGTACCGGGTCCCTGCACATCAAGGCTGTCCCCAGCTCCTCCTGACCCCCACCTGCTCCCCTCACAGCACCCCAAAGTACACCCTCAGTACATGGTTGTCTATCTTCTGCTTCCTGCATCCCCCACGCACCCCTCTTGCCACACGAACGGCGGCCAGGAACTGCCGAACGCAGGGCATTTTGCCCCTAATCCACCCTCTTGTTCTCACTTCAGTTCTGAACTGTCAGCTGCTGGCTAATTACTTTCGGTGTCAAAACAATTACTGGGAGAGAAAAAATAATTTCCCATCCAACCACTTCTCCCCACCCAGCAGCTCTCCGCTGCCCTGGTCTTGCTGCGTTTCATGCTACCAGTCCCAGGCACGCTCAGAAGAGTGATCAGTGGAGATCTGAACACTTACGGCTCACCCACAGGGGGCTCTGATTATTTCCAGTCCTCTAGGCTCTCAGCTTACCAGGGGTTAGATGCAACACAAGTGAGGCCAGAAGTGGGTGCTTTTGATGCCTCCAGCCCCCAGGGGATGGGGGGAAGTGAGGTTAAAATAAAACTGGTCAAGGATTGCTCATAACCATAAGGAACATAATTCAGTCTGGGGATACCAAAAAAAAAAAAAAAAGTAAAATGCCAAATTCAGCTGTTTTTAAGATAAGAAAAAGGGAACGGAAAGCTCTTAGGTAGTAACTTTCATAATTTCCAACACAAATATAAACACACAGATGCACACATTTCATTCCTGTTTGTGGGTAGTTGGAAAGAGAGAGGGCTTGAGAGCTGCGTAAATGAGAGGAGGGGACGGGCATTTGGGGAGAAAGGAAAAAGGAGGAGGTCTTTGGGGCGATGGGGGAGAGGAAGTGGATAAAAATGGAAAAGAAGGAGCAAAGCAAGAGTTGTCGAGAGAAGCCAAGCAACAGAGAAGAGCCAGCAACATCTGTTGCCCAGAATTCATGCTCCCAGGAGCTCTGTTTCCCTTCCTGCTGCAGTCCCCAAAAGAGAAAGCTCCGTCCTCCACGCCCCACTGTCCACATTTCTGTTCCCTAAAGGACCCCAAAGAGGAGACTTACTCTTTCAAACAAGAAAATCAACCCTGGAGACAGCCCCCCTTTCTGCCTCCTTCAGGTCTGGCCCAATCTCCCATTATTTCTGGAATAAACATATAACTTCTTTCCTCAAGCTGAAAGAAACCCAGGAGCCCCAAGGCCTCGTTCCTGCAACACCCCTCCCACCACCACCACCCTATTCCCACATTCATCGCGGCGGAATGCAGAGTTTCCCTGGGCATGTGACACCCAGCACCAGTTCGGCAGGATGTTTGTTCTAAGTCCGAAGCAGTAAAGGCAGAGGGTAGAGTCTTATGCTCCAAAGAGTTTGGGACAAGTGCCCCCATTATTATTCAGAATTAAATTGCTTTATTACAGGAGGAGGCCTTTTTAGATACAGGCGCACCTCAGAGATACTGCAGGTTGGGCGCCAGAGCACCACAAATAAGCGAACGTCACAATAAGGAGAGTCGAATGAATGTTTTGACTTCTTGGTGCATGTAAAAGTTATGTTTACATTACACTCTATAAAATGTGCAATAACATTATGTCTAGAAAAAAAAGCAATGTACGTGCTTAATTTAAAAATGCTTTATTGTTAAAAACCAACCATTAACCATCATCTGTGCTTTCAGCGAGTCCTCCTCATCTTTGCTGGTGGAGGGTCTTGCCTCAGTGTTGATGGCTGCTGAGTGCTCAGGGTGATGGCTGCTGAAGGCGGGGGTGACAGTGGCAATTTCTTAAAATCAGACAACAATGAAGTTTGGGGCATTGATAGACTTCCTTTCATGAACGATTTCTCTGCAGCACATGATGCTGTTTGATAGCATTTGACCCACAGGAGAACTTCTTGCAAAACAAGAGTCCATCCTCTCAAACCCTGCTGCTGCTGCTTTATCAACTAAG